TATTGTAATGAGATGATCAATGTTATTCCCTTCACTTGTCAGTAGTTCATGCTGTGGCTGATCGACGTATGTGCACGGTTTTATTCCTGGTCTGTTCCTGTCTGTGTTCTGCCCCATTTTCAAGATAAACTTCTGCCTTGTAAAGTGTAGGAAATGATATCTTTAACAGCACTATGACATTAGGGCCTTTGTTTGGAACAATAACCAGCATATTATACACACAGTCAAATACAGAATATTTGTTGTCAGCTTTTGCTTGAGCATAGTGTACAACCTTTTGTGTCAGAGCTGGTAAAAGGAGAGAGGAAAAGGACTAAGTTAAGCAGGAGCAGTACCAGCTGCAACTGGTGCATTGCAGCACCTGGCCTACCCCAGCACACGGACTCCTGCTGCGAAGGCTCATTCAGAACGCAGAGACACAGCATCAATCACAGCTGCTCAGCCGGCTTCTCTGGCCCGCTATTTCACACAGGCCTTATGCTGCAGTCACCAACAACGCCAGTCCCCTGTTTTCATTTGTCATTGCTGACACTAATTCCTTGATTACCCAAGGTGCTTAAAAATTTTGCTTCTTGACTAACTTTGTTGGATTTGTTCCTTGGTGTGCAAGAGATCTCTCGTTGGCATATAATTGATTATCACTGACATCTCCTCAGGCAGCCCAGAGGTTTGAGTGTCACCTGAACACTGGTCATGTGATAGTGCTTCAAAAAGGCGATCATTTTTGGAGAAGCTGGTTTTGGGCAGGAAACAAGAAGAGAGAAAGTGGGAATGATACGTAACCACAAGCCAGACATGAATCTGTGATGTTTTAATTCATTTTCTGGTAGTTTCTGACATTGATACTTTATGTTGAGACATTACAGGTAGTTACAAAAACCCTCCACCTATGTTCTGCAGGCAGTAAAGTCCCATAGATGCTGCAATTATTGAAGGAAATTAATTGCATAAGTCTACTGTGTTGTAACTGCCAAACTAATATGTCAAAGGTGCAAAGGAATAGATCCTTATGACTACTACAGAAATAAATAAGAAAGTTCTGTGTATTTGTACCAGCAGCCCAGTCCTCATCTATTCCAGACTCAGTGAGGCAGGATGCCTTTGAGTCAATGTCCTTTCCCTCACCTTTACTCAGAGCCGTTACTCATTGCTAACCACCTGCCACTCTGTTACCCGATGAGCTTTTGGCTGAAAATTCTCTCTCTATTTTGCATAGATGAAGATCTTCTGATGTGCAAACAGGAGAGCAGTTACCTCTTCTTATGAAGGAAGCACCCATGGTTGTGTAGAATCAACCCCTTAGGAATAGTGTGTAATGGTGTGATGACACCTGGTATTGATTTTTAAGATCTCAGCTTTTATAAGACCTTTTTTTTTTTTGTAAATCATCACCTGGCCTGAAAGCTCACTAGACTCTCCTGCTGGGGTCTAATTTATCCCCTATTTGGATGGCATTGCTTAAAAATGTAATATCAACTCATCTTTTGTTTGGCACACTGGATATGCTAAATGTTAAAACTGATTATTTCTGGGTAAAACCGTACATTTCCTAAATTGCTTTTATTTAACACGTCTTACGTCTTCAAAATTCAAAAGCTACCAAGTTATTTCTTACTACAGACTTAAAAACAGAACTAGAAGGAATCACTAATAGACTACGATATATTGGGGAAATGAAGCATATACCTTTTCTTTGTCAACAGAAAGGAAGTTCCCCTTCTTAAGTACTAAGCACCACTCTTAAATCCCCTGCTGCTGTGTCCACACACCGTTTTGACACCACGCTAATCCAATAAACCACCTATAGTGATCTGACGTCTTGCATAACAGGCCTGGGATCGCCAATGTTTTCCCCGGTGACCAAATGACTGCAGGGTGCCATTTATTTTTAGCCCTAGAGCACGCGCTAAGGAGAGAAACTATCAGGAGATGATGTTTGGCAGCAACTCCTCAGTAATCCTCTTTTCAAAGCCAAGTGGATCATTAAAATAACAAGAGCTGTAATTTAAGATTCAGGGTTTGAGTAACATGAGCGAGAAAGTGCTAAGCGTAAGGTGAGAATAAGAGGGAAAATGAAGAGCGGTGAAAGTGGGAAGCGTGACTTTGAAGACTGTGTCAGCCCTCCACTTTGTTTCCTCTTGACTTGACATGACAAGAAAGGAATACTGCAGGCAGGGGCTCGGGGCGCAGGCTGCAACTGGGGCATATCCGGCAGGGGCTCTGGTTACAGTACCTCATGACACTGCGTTTTGTTGTTGTTTATGTTTTCAGAAACCAGCTCCCTTCTCTGGTGTCCCCCTCTATCTGTGCTTCCGAGTGGTCCTTCTTTTCATGTTAAATTCCAGGGTTTACTGTATCTGTAGTTGTGGAAGCTATGCTATGCATGCATTACCTCACATCCCCCGAATGTCACAACCACTACATGCTGGGGAAGGCCGTCCAGCACCCACCGGATCATATGCATGCAATCTGAGAGTATGGGAATACTGTTGACCTGAGAGTTTGACAGTAGTGCTCTCTTGGCATTGCTGAAGGCACTAATCTAGACATATCAATTAAAACATGAGGATAGGGAAATGTGAACCCCAGGGACCTTCATTTAGAAAAAAGAAAAATCATTTCTCATCTTGCAAACAAAATGATCCCTGTTAAATGTGCTTCTGTAGAAGTGTCAGATGTGATTCCACTTTGGTAGAGCATTTGTTTTTCATTGTGTCAACGTGAAACTGGAACTGCTGTAACTTCAAAATGGCAGGTGGAGATTAGGTCAATGAAATGTATGAAAAGTTCCTTTTAAAGACCCCTAACTGTTGCCTTAAAACATTTTGGTGTTTTGTAATTCAGACCTGGAGACCAAAATTGTTGCAGATTGTTTTTTCTCTAGTTGATTTAAGAAAATAATCTCCTAATTATTTCAACTTTACTTTCAATATCAGCAGTGTTAAACAGGTAAACTACTTCTTGAACATTTAAAGAGACCGAATCCACTATTTGAGAATATTTTATGGACTTTTGACAAAGTTTTCAAAATGAGAAATGTGAATGCTATACCAAGTCATGATTGCCTTACCCTAATGTGTAGAGTTGGATTAAACCCTGTTCATCCTCTGGATCTTGCCTGACCAACCCTTGTACGTGATTGTTTTGCGTGTCACTCTCTATTCTATAGGGAGTTTACATTCATTGTTAGCCTTCCAGTTCTGCACCAAACAGCTTCAAGCTTTTGGCTTGAGATTTTTCTGCAACATCCCTTGACATCTTTTCTACATGATGCAGCACCTGTCTGCAGCATGGGAAGCATGCACGTTAACTGCATGTTAACTGCATAGCTGCGCTGAACAGGGCGTGCATTTGTGATGTGTTAAAACCTGTCTATAGAGGCAAACTAAGAGACAGCGATGCCTTTTGCCAATCAAAAAATCATTTGTGTGGGTAAAAAAAAAACACCTGAAAAATGTACTACATGTATAAGCATCTCTGCGACCCACTTACAGCCCTCAGCATACCTCAGTAGTGTTGATTTAGCCACCATAGATTCATCCTACTTTGTTGAACTTGGTGGGAGCAGAGCACTGCCTCGCTTTTCCAGAGACGAAGAGAATAAGAGTTTCATCTACCCAGGGAGAGGGTTTTTCAGCACTGAATGGTGCCTTCTGCCAATTCTGTGTTGTTGTTGTTGTTTTTTTTTTCATAGAAGACAGAGAAAGATGGAATGATTAATTGAGTAATGAATGGGTTCTCTATACTCTTCTTTTATGTATCACAGCAAAGTGGGTCTGAGGATTTCTTGTGGGGCTATGTTCCTGCACTTTTAACCATAGCAACGTAGTTTTTCAATTTAAAAAAGTATTTAGAAATGTATTTAGTAATGCAGTTTGTTAAAGGTCTTCCATGTACAGTATCTCTTGATTGTTGTTGTCTGACAACAGATGATCCACGAGATAAGTTCTTTGTTCTCTAAAGGATGTCAGTCTTGACTGGAAATTCCTCTCTTATCACACATTTCTAGCCACAATAAGACTTGTCACCAGTCCAATGGCTGAAATGTGAGCTTTTGAACATCTCGTAGCTAATCCGACTATGGATTACTCTTTGTTTTTTTGGGTTTGTCAAAATGTTTGTTTTTCTTCTTTAACATCGGTTTGTTTTATATTGCTAACATAGTTGTATTCACACACACTGAACCTAAATAGGGTTTTGTGGCTAGAAGACACAACACGTAGGCTTTGCCTTCAGACAACTAGAGGAGTATTAGTGTTGTCGTCCTCCACAAACGTGTGAGTCATACTTTGTACACGAAGCAGGTGATTCCTTGTCTTATTATACAACAGGGCTTTTCTCCTCATTGGCATTTTACTGTGGCGGTAGTAATAAGAAGTGTATTATCAGTGACATGCCATTTGGCAGGGCTGCTGTTATATTTTCCAAAGCACCTTCTCACTCCATTAAGATAATAATTTGAGCATTATACTGCCATCTGATTATTGCTTCGGAGCTGAGGAAAGTTTAGTATTCATCACATTACAAATGTCTTCTCAATGCATTGTGATTGTAGCCTACTATTAACAGTTGAACTCGTATATTGTGCACTCCATCAAGGCTGCAATGAAATACAAGCATTGTGTTGTAGTTATACACAGTTGAACACAGTTCCCAGTTTTCAGTACAAGATTTATTCATTCAAGGAGTATTACAATAAGTAACTTCACAATGTCAACTTTATCCATCACAGTGGCAACAATAAGTCAAATATTCAGGGTAACATTAATATATGTGGAAAAAGTTGCATAATATATGTCTAAGTCAGCTGAAGCATCAAGGTCGACTAAAGTCTCTATAGATTTCACTGAATGTAAGACTTACTGACTTCAAAACTCCAAAGAGTCCTTTGGGGACTTTTCGACACGCACCATCTCAAACACTTCAAAACACCTTTTCATCTTACCTTTTGTTTGTGCTCAAGGCATATTTTTTTAACGTATAAAATGTTTTTTCTGCAGGATATGAAAAGACAGAGGACACATCAGAAAAGACATCCTTGGCTGACCAAGAAGATGCTCGACTGATACACCTCAACCAGCCACAGTTCACAAAGTTTTGCAGCAATCGAGTCAGGTAAGAAGATTATTTATAGAAATGTGCTGGCACGGAAATGTTGATGAACTGATGAAGAATTTGGGGATCAAAATCATTTAATAAAGAGCCGCAGTGTGTGGTCATAATCAGGGTAATATTAATTTTAAACTCGTTGCATTTAGTTATTATCAGTTGTAAAGTTTAATGGCCCACATTCACAGCTTAACTCGATCAACTATATGCACTGAGCTGGAAATTGTGCTCTTTGCTGCCTCTTCTCTGTCTCTGAGAAACAAAATGATATCTGTTCTCATTGCAGCTACAATGGTGCCTAAGAAAAAAATACAAAAACAACAGACAAACGCAGCATTGTTTATCACTAAACTCAGAATGCAACATCAGCAACAAACCTTCCATAATAATGCATCTCCTCTGTGAGATTTCAAATGAAGACAACATCGACTGTAGGGTGTTAATGTTCAGCGGATCAGTATTGGCTCCTGCTTTTGTAGGCCATAAAAATAAAAAGGCTTCATGCCAGCCACACAAGATTGACCTCTAATGCTTACCATCCAGCATTTCCAGTGTCATTATTTAAAGGGAACATGCTTTTCCCGTGCCACTGACAATGAAATGTTATCTCAGCTGCTTTGAATATTCAGAGTTTTAGTTTGAATATTATGCTGTTGAAGGGGACATGCTGCTATTTCTGACCTGGTATTGGCAACCTTGAGGCCATCAGTGGTTTTCATGGTGACCTGCAGCATAACATGCCTTTAACCCAATGTTAACCTTCAGAGTTACAAGCAAAACAGTTAAATGAAGTCATGCTCTGACTGTTCAGCGACCACCGAAATGTCAGCCTTGTGAGAATTTCCCAAAAGCAAATAATCTTGAAAATTTGAACACATTTTGAAGGCCCCTTGGACATATCTTTTATGGTCCTACAAATGTCTTAAGGGGGAAAAATTAATAGATACTTTGTGAAGGAGTTTACTTCCTTCTTTGCAGCCACACTAGAAAAAGGCAGATGATTTACAATATTCTTTACGTTAAAATTTTGCTTTCAGCTTTTTTATGACGCTTTTTTGAATACATCCACCATAGTTTAAACAGTTTACAGAGCCAGCTCTTGTTGTGCAGTAGAGAGAGCCGTTGCACATGTGCAGCAATGATAGCACTGTCAGTCACATGATATTTGATAAATACCTGCAAGATTTGTATCATAAGCGCAGCATTAGTGCAGATATTCCAGACTGGCCTCTTTATCCTGTTGCTCCTCTTGGAGGAGTGCAGTGCTTTTAGCATTAAAGGTCAAGTTTGTTGGGTCAGGCCGTCCTCTGTCAAGGAATATTACTGTTAGCATTCCTGCTGCATGAGCAACTTGAGATATGTATGTGCTTACACAGGCACTGCTAGAAACTGAACAGGAATAGTAAATGGAAAAAAGCCCATGAATGCAAGTGTGCGTAGGGTAATTCCATTTGTTAGGTCAGCTTCATGCAACGAAATGACAAACAACAGACGCAAGCAGCTAAGAAAATTGCAGAATATGTTTCCTTTGAATTACTCAGCCGTAAGACAATGGATGCTGATTCTCTCTTATTTTTTATTTTTTCATGAAGCTCCCTTTACAGTTAGTTGGGTAGATGCTACATTAATGGCACATTTACTTGTACTATTGTCATTAGTTATTAACGGTCCTAGATCTATGAGCATTTGCATTCAAGACAGCTTTTCCTGCTTAAGTACGAGATAGTTGATGTTGAATTGCAGTGTATTGCATCAGAAAAGTTTAATTAGTATGGCCTTTGCTATCAGAGAACATCTCTGCCTACTTTTTAAAAGCGTATTAGATTTTTGTGACCTTGCTGGAGGCAGTTATTCAATGGAAGACTGCCCACTGTGAAAAATAAAGCAAAATATCACATTAGCTTTATTCAGCTGAATCTAATACTGTAAACACTACAAACATCATGGCCAAAATACGGTAATTATGAATAATAGATCATTTTTATACAATTTCTCAATACTCTAGACTGATGTGAATATTGTGAGCACAGGTATGGCTATTCCTGTCTACCTCCCAGTTAAATCAGGTGGAGAAACACTTGGCACGTGATTGACAATCTGTTTAATACTGATACTGTACTGAAAATACCAGATTTGATAAGATGTCAGTTAGAATGTGTGTAGAAGTTTGAATGTTTGCAACACAGATTTACAGCAGACCTAGTAAGTCAGAGTACACAGTAAGCTTTTCAAGCTGGTTTTAGATCCACTGCTTTTTGATTTTACTGCAGTGCATCCAGGTTGTTTTCTGTCAAATAATTAATGAAATGAACACTGCATTATTTCAGCAGGGAAATGCATTGCTTGCAGATAACTTGACTTTTGTTGAGTTCTTCTTTGTCTTTGTAGATTTTAAATTCCAAATGTGGCCAAACATTTGTCTCAGGCCATGAAGGTACAGGCTATAGGCTTGCTGTAAACATCTCATTTGTTCAACAGGATTGGTTGCTGTCTCACAGTGACCTGTAGAGACACTTACAGCGGCAGAGCCTGTGATAAATGATGAATCTAATCTTACAAGCAGACAGAAAACACTCACACTTTTCTCGCTTTAACTTGATCTCATTCTCCCACGAATGCATCGCTCCCTGTTCACCGTCACACTGATGTACACATATTACTCCTCTCCCATCTCCCATCACAGACCGGCACCATGGTTTTACGTAAGTGTTGCTGTGGATTGTTTGTTCAGCTGCTCTGGTTGATGGCTGAACTGGTTGCAATGTAAAGGTGATTAATCGCTGAGATGTTGACAGCTTATCCTGTAGCAAACAGGAGTGGCTGTGCAAACCCTTTTACTGTTGAGTATCCCTGATATTTTGTGAAGAACTCAAGAAACAATAAACAAATAGGCACAAACACAATAAGGCATGCTCATAGAAATTACCATATTGGCTTGTGTGGCGTATCTGAACTTGTCTTACTCAGCCAGCCACACAGTGATTAATTCCACTGACTGGTATTTATGCATTTTCCTCAATATACTGGGTGGATTTTTTATATCATATTCAATCTTGTCATTATGATGGCAGAGTTTAACTAAATACTAAACTATGCATGTGACACCCTCCACGTCAGTTGTACTTCTGCTGGTGTGGGTAGTTACAGATACACGTAGGAGCACATTTTGGATTCGAAGATATGTAACACGAGGCCATTCATCCGCCGAGGTTACTGGTTAAACCAGTTGGTCGTCTTTATCCAAGCTTTGTGCACGGTTGTGTTTACACATGAAATTAGTTAGACAAGAAAAGACCTACATTGTCATTCTTTTTGTCACGTCAGACATTAGCTAACCACCTGTCTGATTATACAAGCATCCTGTAGACATAATGTGTATATTATCATGCATTTAACTGACAAACATTATATCAATAACAGTGTGATTCATACAAAGCTTCTCCAACTTCTAAATGGTGTGAATTGACTATGATTGACTGTTGGTGTGATTCTTGCTGTATATGGCTAAATATATGCTGATAATGCTTGTTGTCAGCAGGCAGAGAGTCACAAATATACTGCTTGGAGGGAGGGAGAGAATTTCCTAACCAAAAAAGTTCACACAAAAAAAAAAGCAGTTTGAAATTAAAAGCACATTAGACTCATTTGTGTATTTCTGATATAATTAATTTGTTATTTTTAGGGCAGAAACCACTTAAAGATGTTTTTTCCTTCAGCTAAAATCATGTGTTTGTGGCATAAAAGAGAGACCGGCTCCTCTAAGGTCTGCGTTCAGCAAAGCATTAAAGTATTCACTGTGTGCTGATAGACAGAAGGGATAGTCAGCTTTTATGCATGACAGTAATGATGAGAGAGACTCGTGATCTGAACGCATTTGCGCTCTCTGGTGCCTCTTGCAAATCCATGTCATATTTATGAGAGTATCCCATGAGCCATGACACACAAACACCTGCACCTGTCCAGATCAATGATGTTAGACACATTTATTGACAGGGAATGAAGCTAGACACACAGTCCAGGGCACTTGGTTTGTCTTTAATGCTTTACTCAAAGCTGAATGATCTAATGTTTAGTCAGCTGTTACAGCAAAACATGTAGATATATAAAATGAATTAAAGAAATGCAAAAATACCTAGTTTGAATAAAGTATGAATATACTGAACTTGTCATTCTTTGTATTGGCAGAAACATGCCTCTAAATGCTCCAATTCACCAGCCACTCAGTGGTAAATCATTGTTTTGTGTCTGAAATATCCCAATCACATTCATATTTTAGCAGAATTTGGCGAGTGGCTGGTACTAATGTTCCACCCTGGAGTTTTGTTTGGAAAAGATGTGATGTGTCAATTAATGGTGTTGCTGAAAGATGAAGACCGTCCAACAAAATATGCGTGTAATACACACCAAAATACACGTCCATAATGATGTATCACAGTGTTAGTGGTTGTACTGTGCTGAAAATGGCCTCTGGTCCGTGGTTCATGGCTATAATTTGAATATCTTTATGTGAGTGAGGAGAGGAAGTGATCATCTCATATCATGTTGATCATCAGTACACTGCCAGGAAGTAAAATCTAAGATCCATGTTCATGGGCAGCAGGGACTAGAGATTAGACATGGCGTCCCTTGAGATGAGATCTGAAAAAATGGTGAAGAAAATAAGGTGGTTAGTAGAAGAGAAGAATGGTCTCAGAGACAGGATGACAAATGCTTTCAAAGGCAAAACAGATGAAGCCATGGCTTTCCAGCTCACCTGCATCAGAGCTTCACAGCTGCTCTTTCTTTATATCTCAAGGGGATAGGCTGTGGTGGTAACTATGCATTAGCACTTAGGTGTTTAATACCCAGCTGGGTCACAAGCCTTTTATAAACGTGAAGGCACTCATGGTATTGTTATGAGCTTTGGATGATGTATGGCAAATTATTTAATAGTAGTAGTGAGCTCCTGTGGCTGTGCTTTATATTGAATGATTTACTCTACCTAGAATGGAGGGGGGATGGGGGTGGAATGTGATCTAGCATCTGGCTAAATAAAATCTGGAAATCTGATTCTGCAGATTAGAACAATGATCAGGAGTTTGTGTTGAAAGCTCACACTTTCATTTTAACTTCACTCACACACTCGCTCAAAGAGACACATAATGCATTCTCAGTCCACTTCCTTGTTCCTTCCTTGTTTTTTCCCTTGCGTATCTCACTCAGCTTGTTTGTTGGCTTTTCACCTTATGACAGGGAACTTTTGGGAAACTCCTACAATGCTCTCTGCTTACCAACCTGGAACTGCCGCCTCCTCTGATCGCTCCAGCATTGAATACAGTTAATCTACAAAACTTTAAGTGTATGTTGTCTAGGAAAATGCCATTGGCAGATACAAATTAATAATTGTATTTGGATTGGCGGCAAAAAAATTTAATCGGAACATCCCTAATTGTTATAACATATTACTAAAGGGGGAAAAAGCTCCCCTTTTAAAAGGAAGAAACCTCCAGCAGAAGCAGGCTCAGGCAGGGCAGTCATCTGCCTCAGCTAGTTAGGGGGAGGGTTAGGGGGAAAGAGAACAGGATAGCAGATTGAAATCAGGCAAACGTTGCATAAGAGCACAATAAACACTGGAGAGAGTAGTCAGGCCAGTAACTGCAGATCAGAAACCTCACGACATGACACACTTTCTTTTCCTCTTTTTATTCTCTGTCAGAACTCATGTAAATCTAAATGTATTTTTAACGTGGCTCTGTCAATTACTCAGCAATTAGAATTGGTTTGTTTCACACAAACTGAACTGCTTACTCTTAATACTAGATGTGTACAATGAAGCAAAGCGGTTTCTTTTTTGCAGCCTTTTGGACGAGGTTCATCAGGCTCTTCTGTGAGGCTGGCATGCTTTCAGTCTGTCCCAGACAACTTCACTGTATCAGACTGCTAGGAAGACAGTATCTGTCTTTTTTTCTTTACTTAATTCAAAACTGTTCCACGTCTTAATAATTTAAGATGTGCTTATTCTGCAAGAGCTGAAACTGTGCTCGTCTAGTATTATTCTTTCTTTTTGTTGTTTGTTTTGTATGCAGGAAATAAATGTAGCTGTCATTGTTTTAGATAGTTTCCACATAGAAAAGAAGGAAGTACTTAAATTGTATATATGCGAGTTGTTGTACATTTCTTGCGTAGTAAAACACTATGAAGTTTCAGGTGTAGGCAGTGAAACATTCAAATGTGATGGAACAACAGAAAGAAAAGAATTATTACCTTATTATTATATACCTTATTATATACATTTTCCTCGATAACAAGTGCATATCAGTCTTTCATGGTGAAGTACATTTGCCAGCTCTTTGACACTTATATGGAACCTGAGACTTGTTTCTATCTTTCAGTTCTGCTAAATGTGTCTGGCCAAAAAGATGGAAAGAGAAATGGCTAATTTCTCAATAACTGTTCAAAAAGGACAGAGTAGGAATTAAGCTGAGTAAAGCATACATAGAGTCTTGAGTAATGCTTTTTTAAAATGCTTTTCACAAGAAACAATGTATAGTGACTGGAAAACTTTCAGTTTTGGACAGAATCAAAGATGGTGATTGTGGAGATGCTCCCGGGAAAAATTGCGGAGAGTCTGGGTTTAGGATACGCAATTTTTCTGTCTTTTTGCTCTTGTCAATTTTTTTTACACACTGTGGGCTCAATTTCCACTGTACCATAAGGTTCTATGGAGACAACGCAACCATAACTAGAAGTAGAGAGAACTCACAAATTCCTTCAGTACAGCATGCCAAAGTTAGAATGCCATAAATCATAAAAACTCAAAAAAGGTTTTTCTTCTATTATTTATCATACAAAACATTAAACATACCTGGAATAAACATACGCAACACATTTCCAAGTGTCCACTGTGTGTTACCAATAGTGTAAAAACTTGGGTTCCACATGCTGTAGATTGGCTATTTGACCTGGCCTGTTCACATGTGTACAACTTGTACAAGCTGGGTGTTTTTCCACATTGCTCTTTACATTAGCTGTAGAGAGATATTTTACCATGTATCTATGGTGTATGTTCTGACAACTTTCTTCATTGCGTACAGTTTTTTTTACCCATGTTGCATTCATTGTATTGTGTATCATTTTCCAGAATTTTTTTCTTCTCATTCTCTGAATTTTTGTCTCATGACTGTTGGTTGCAGCTGAAGGAATAATGGCTTCTCAGTTGCACTGAGGAACGCAGATGTTTTTTTTATTTTTTATTTTTTATTACTAGATCTGATTAGTGAAAATGTTTCATTTTTTGGTAACTTCATTTGAACCCATTCCTCCCTGACAAAATGTCACAAATGTAAGCTAATTTCATCCTGTTTTTGTAGGTATGTCACATGGGATGTGTCTGACATTGTTCAAATGTTACCCAATATTAGGAATTTCCTGTCATAGTTTCTGGGGCACAGTCTTCTGTAGATCCTCTTCCCAGACTACTCTCAGTTTGTCGCTGGATACGTCTTGATATTTCTGTAGAATATCATAATACATGGTAACAGAATCCCTTATGCTGGGTTGATGCTTAGGGATCTCATCTAAGGTTTTATGTCTCTGCCTATTTTGGGGTGTGTTCGACCACAAGTATAGTAGTTCCTTATTTGAAGGTATCTGTTAAAATGCCTTGAAGCTACTGTATATTTCAGTTGCAGTTGTTGAAAAAAGAACAGATTGCCATTTTGATTTTTGACAAGATCTTTTGTTGGTGCTATATTCTTGCTTTTCCAAGAAGTGACGACTAGGTCAGTTAAAGTGAATGGAAAAGCATTGTTATGGCATATTGGGCTGTCTGTATATACTGAAGTAAAACGGGGTGATTGCTGATGTTGAACTCCATATGCTCGGTTGCCTTTAGACGAGTTGGAAGCCATGCTCTCTGATATTCTGCTTGTATATGTTTGACGTCTTTTGTGTGCGCGTGAGTAAGCAAGTCATTGCCAGTAGCTTGGCAGACATCATGGTGTATATCTTCTCCCAAAGTGGCTGCTCTGACTGGCCCTTTAACGTGGCTGTAAATCAGACTGCTGGAGGTCTGACTGTGGGGTTGTTGAGAACTCCACCAGCCTCAATACACCACCATCGCCACCAACCTCACAGCAACACAGGCAACATAGCTCACATCTGCCAGGAGGTCTTTACGCCCTCTCTGCCGGCTCCCTTCGTCCTTCTAATTATTCTTTATGAGTCCACTGGTCTATGCTGTTCATCAGCCTCACACACAGACACCCTACAGCACAAAGGATCTCTTGAAATGGGCGGGCCGAGTGCCAAAGAGGTGGTAATTGAGAATGGATTTATACGACCAGGGTTATCTCAGTATGATGCCTCAACATGTGTTTATTTACAGAATCGGTCTATGTCAATCTGATATAATTTTGGAATCATTTTTGTCTGTGTTCATATTTTGATAACTAACATGTTACTTTTTTTTCTCTCTTGTCTCCTTGCTTCCTTGCTCCACCCTTTGTTTTGTTGGTTTCTTGATCCGATCTTCAGCACAGCCAAATACAATGTCATCACCTTCCTTCCTCGATTCCTCTACTCACAGTTCAGGAGGGCAGCCAACGCATTCTTTCTCTTCATTGCACTCTTGCAGGTAAGATGTGGTGTTTTGCCATTCTTGTGCTTCTGTGACATACATTTAAATACAAAGCTAAGCAGCAAACCAAAGAATTAAAGTTAAATCACTCCTTTACTCATATTTAAAATTTCGTCCTTATTAATGTGTGATCAGACCTTTTTTTTTTTAAACTGTTTTCCGTGACCTAGACATCCCTTTTCCTCAGTCATGTCTGTAATTTCATATGCACACTGAAAGGCTCACTCACACAAACACATTCAGACACAATACTTTATATATATCCTGATAATGAATAATACATGTAATACTGCCTGTGCCTACTTTAAAAGGAAACTGCATTTACCGACAGGCTCAACACACTAAAACTACATTTTGCATGCCTCGGAAATGAATGAGATATACTTTACTGTCCCGTGGATTACTGTACTACCCCTACCACTACACTGCAGTACCGAAACTGCTTTGTGCTTCTAAAGATTTAAAACCACAAGTGGGATGGCAGGGGTAGTGTGAAAATGCTTTGCATTAAACTTGTTAAAGAAATGACCCTCTCCTGGGCAGGAGGTTTTAGTGTTCATCTGATTATCAACTCAGGTCGTGTTTTGATTTCAGCCCAACAACAGCCACATTTCTCCTTATTACTGGCACTGTTTTTGATTTAGCAGAACAAAGGCTTTCTCGCCTTAAGGAATTTTGGAGTGGTTTGCTTGTATAGGTCAATATTAATCCCGTTTAAGAACACTTTAAGCCTCAACGGCCAATTATTACTGCATGATTCAAAGAAGTTTAAATCCATATCTCAAGCATTCAAAGCTTACCAGGAAAGATTAAGTAATGGAGAAAAGGAAGGCTCCATAATACTCAGTTTCTGTCTTTGCCTGTATTCGTGCTGACAGACTATCCCATGTTAATGAGAGCTCTGAGGATGGGAGAGGGCTTTATCCAGTGACCTTGAAGTAGCTGCTTTGAAAAGCAGCCAGTGTGAATCTTCATTACCTGCCCTGTCGATGTTGTGACCTTGAATAAAACATCTATGCAGATGAGAAAGACGAGAGATCTATTTCATTCAAGTTTCCTTTGAGCAGTATAGCAGTGACTGCCTCCTGTGGCCCTGGCTTGGTTTTAATTATGCTGGCATTTGCCTTTTAATTTTGAAAACCCTAAAGTAGTCAAATAATTAGATATTCAGTGGTAATGAGAACATTCCCGTCATGCTAGGACAGTTGTTTGGGCTAGTTGTACCTTACAGTTTGCATTTATTATTGAGTGGAATGCTGTTTATTTTTTTTGTGTAAAATACACACCATTTTCAAAAGCTGAGTCAACCTTGCAAATGAGGTGAAAAAAACATGCTTTAAATTTATATGAAAAACAGTGTGTGTAGAGCAGCATTTGTCTGTCATCCTTTTACTGAGCGCTAGCTATTAAAGCATCCAGAAACTTATCTTCAGAAAGAAAATTGCCCAGATTTTACTGAACTGAGCTCTTGTTGTGTCTCTTTTAGCAAATTCCTGATGTGTCTCCCACTGGTCGCTGGACCACACTGGTGCCGCTGCTCTTCATCCTGGTGGTGGCTGCTGTGAAGGAGATCATTGAGGATCTGGTAAGACAAACCTCTAGTATTATATGATAGTAGTCTTTCAACATTTTCCAAGGTCTGTTGTCTTTCTGTAAAAAAAACGTCCATAACTTGTTTTAACGTATTCAATTTATAGACCTTTTTAACCAAGGTTTTTGTTTGATGTGGTTTGTTTTGCTTTCCCATTGCATTTATGCAAACACACTGAAGAACTTTTTGTCATCACCTATGTTGGCAACGTCTCCTTATATGGGGCACTGATCGATTTATTGACAAGTGCCCAGAATGCTACCCAATATATTAAAAGAAATTTGTCCTCACTGGCTGACACATCACTTTGTTTGTAATGGCATTGCACAAGGTCGTAGTACACCTGCGTTTTCTTTATCTTCACGTGGCATTTGCTTTATCACAACATGGAAGTTGTTCCAGTTGACTTTATATAACACTGCCAGACCAGATTTTCAGTGAAGAACACATATGTTAACTTAATGTAATTGGTCCAAAAGTCTTACTTGACTTCTTAAACTTAACCATAGTTTACTTTGATCCAGACCAAGACCACCTGTTTTTGTTGGACCACAGTTGGGCTGTTTGGTCCAGACCAGGACCTGGAGGCAGTTTTTGCCACCTGTAATTCTGGTTCAGATCAAACTAAAATTTCCAAAAGCTTGGACCAAATGCATTATGTGTGAGAGGGGCTCTTATTGCTCCAAAGTATTTTTAGATTTTATGGCTTTAAGGGCTCCAGACTGTAACCAAAATGATGTTCGCGTATGCAACATTTGTTTGGGAGTGTATGAACAGTTCCTCCAGTAGAAAAGTTAGTCTGAACCCCTGCTGTGTCATATATTGTTCAAAAGTGTTTGTCATATGATTCACTCTTAGAAGTATTATTACCTGAGAGCCATTAGCTGACCTAGAAAAACACTATTACTGCAGGTATTAATACATGCACATCAGCAAGACCCTGATTAAAAAAAAATCAGGCAGTCAGCAACTATCAAAAGGTAATCAACATGCTTCTGAAGGCCCAATTTGCATTTGGTTTACAGCAGCCCTCACATCACAGCGATCATATTATGGTCCTCAATGAATGCAGACAATGACCATATGTCGGATAGTCTGGTTTAAAGGTGTGTTTTGGACACAATTTGAGCAATGTGCTTTCAGTATTTACAGCAGTTTTGCCAACAGTTGTATGCTCAAATGATGAAGATATTTCTTTTTTTTTTATCCAATCATGTCATTAGTTAAGTCAGTTGTCAGAGTAAATTGAATGCATAGAGTAAAATCAAATTTTCTAAAAGAAACCTCAAAACTAGTATTTTGCAATAAAATAGGTCAATAGTCCTCATTTGAAGTGACATACCTTAACTGGAATAGACAGTCCTCCTATACAGAGTATCCAGGGCTTTTGTTTTGTCTCTTGCTGTACAGTGTGTCCTCTGAGTGCTGAACTGTTCCCTGTGAAGCAGAGAGGAGGCAGTGATGGTTATGTGACCACAGCAGGATACTCCCCAACATATAGACACATCATCAGACCTAGACATGCATACACACACACTCAGAGGTCACAGCTGTGTCTACTGCACCCGGCGTACTCATTCAGTCAATTAACCTAGATACTGAATGCTCATGTACAAAGACAGTTAGTACTAACAAAACAAAACAACTGTCTCCCCCCCTCGAGCAAGTCTGAACAGATGCATGAAAAAAGCCAGTGCAATATATTAGGCTGAAATTAAATTCAAAATATGTGTACTGTGGTGGTCACAGGACTCCACTCAAGTCTGTTTGAACTAAGTGAGGGAATGTTGCATTCTACTGTATCGCAGTGACCCTGCAATGCGATCCTCTATGCAGGTCCCAGTGGACAGTTACTCTATACTATTAGCCTCTATCTCGTGCTGAAGGGACCAGCGCAGCACTTTTTCTCCTGGCCTGTTGTGAAAAACATGGGAACAGAGTGGTGATGACTCCGTCTTTATTGCTGAAGGTCACCTGCACACACGTCTGTTCCCTGTACTGCGCTGTCCCTCACAAGTTGACCTGACAGGGCAACATCGACCCCTAACTTCATGAATCATGCACCAGAGACGCACACTGTACAGCACTTACGTTACCTTGTTGCTGAATGTCTCTGCTACAGGAGACTCAACAATCTTTTAGCTTAACATGTTCCGTAAACTGGTGTTAAATTTAGCTATGGTGTGTCTCACAGTAGTGTGTGGTGCACTTTTACTCAGTAACAGGATTTCTTTATACTCTGGCAATCAAACTGAAAACAGCAGTTGAAAGAACAACAACAAAAAAAATCTTACAACCCTTTTGTTGTTAAATGACCTTCACTACTTCTTACTGTCTCATTAGGTTTATGTTTAAGCCATGCAGGATTAGCAGGTTAATCAAGGTAACATTGCAGATGCTGCTTTTATCTTACCTTCCCTTTTATATTTCCCCTCTATGGCTCAAGTCTACAGAGGCCTGATACTGCAGTATTTACGCATAACCTCTGCGCACAACTTGCCTTCTACTGCACTGTAATTACACACATCATCTAAATACAGAACATCTCCTTTTCTCCACGTCCATCGGGACAGAGGGAGAGAAAGAGGCAGGGACAGCGAACTTGAGAGGGCTGAAAGCAGGAAAAGTTGTGGAGTAACTGATACAAATACAGTACAGCTCCTCCTACTTGTCTGAATAGAGGAAGGTCTGCATAGCCAGACCTAATAGTGTGGATGAATGAAATTAGCTGACAGCTCTTGCACAGGGGATGATGAACGAGCTTTGTAAAGGTCTCTACTAGGAAACTTTTTCTGGGCATAGTGCAGCTGGTGAGAGGCTGAAGCCATGTGACACAGCCAGCCTATTCATTAGACAATACAGCATGTTGCAGGAATATTAAATCAAATCTGATTCAACTGGAGCCTGAAATGGAAGAGTGGCGAGCGGATGGTAGAGAGGAACAGACCAAATGCATAGGAAACAGATACACTAGAACATAAAATGAGAAAGAGGCAGAAACAGAAGAGGAAGAAAAAACCTTTTAGAGCAGATTCATTTGTTTTATACTTTACTCTTCCTTACTCTTCCTCTGAGCAAAACCATTGTTGCTCAGAGGAACTTTGCAATGTAGGCTTTGATATGACTGTACTGATAGCAACTGCAGCATTAAACAGATGATTTTTGGACTATAAGAAATTCTGTTCGAGGAGAGGAAACCTTACAAGTCTTGGTGATAGAACCCACTTCACCTTTAGCGTCTCTGTTTTCTTATTGAAAATCTCAAAGACTTTTTGTCCCCCGAGATAAACAGTGTAGTATGCCAAAAAAAAAACCAAACTAATTAGTTTAGAATTGAATTAGAGTTAGTCGGATATAAAAGATCTTCTCTTCCAGTAAACAGGTTATTCGCAGCAATGTAAGTGGATATGTCCTCTCTTTGCTAATCAAGTAGAACACATGTAGCTTTCTTAAAAAACAAAACAGTTATGATTTATATGAGATGAATGCAGCAACACATTATTACTCAGAGTGATGCTAGCTGACAAGCTGTCCCTTGGAATCAGCTGTTGAAGTCACAGTTGATTGCATGACTGTTCAGCCAACAAGAGGGACATGGGGGGAAGCAATGCTGATGATTTGAGCTTTGATGTGGTCACACAGTATACATGCTATAGTTTGTATAGTTTGGTGGAAGCTACTGTGTGAATATGAGAGACCGTAGGGCTACAACTCATGATGATGATCTTTGGAATTCCAAGGGCCAAAATTTAAGTTTTTGAACTGGAAAACTCAGAAGTTCTATATTGAGCCTTTTTACTCTCTTTAAATTAAACCAAAATTCCGCTCAAAAAACTGCAGAGATGGTTGATTAGCTGTTAGGCAGTCCAAATTGTGTGATTTACTTTATCTGGCTGTGTTTCTGCTAGTATCCATGGTGAGTAGCTTTAGCCATAATAACATTATATGAACAGGGACTCTACTCTGACACTGAACACAACACACAGCGCTTTACAGCTGATCAGTGTAGCTTCTGCAGCCCCTTGTAGCGCTGCATACCTTAAACCCTCTATAACACTTCACTGTGACTGCAGCAACATGCTGCTAGCTTCCCACATCAAACCTGCTGGTCTGCATCACAAAGTCCCTAAAGGACGTGTCTCACTTGTTAGAAAACATAGTAAATAAATGTTTAAATTCATATAATTATTAAGTGTGTTTACTGTGATAGACAGAGATGGCGAGTTGTGGAGGAACTCAGACTCTTGACTTATTTGAAGTACTAATGCCAAACTGTAAAGGGGCTGCACTGAAAATGTCCCTGAAAGTAAAACTAGTTTCATCAGTAAAATGTACTATGGTATTAAAAGTAAAAGTATTCAATGCAGGAAATGTCTGAGACTGTTGTACCGTAATACATCACTTAATATTATTAGATTATTGTTACTAATCCTTTATTGTAAAAGCAGGATTTTACTTTTGTAGTATCTCCAGCCACCTGTTCCTCAAAAGTTTAGAAAAATTCTGATTTAAGAATTAGAAATATATACATTCAGCATCAGAGCCATTAAAATATGAATGATAGCCAACCCTATACAAAACATAAAGGTGTGTAGTCCTTGTGACAATATCGCTCTGCAGTCAGTGCAAGTCTAATCTTTGTTCAGCTTGTAACTACAGACCTGGGTGGGTCCATGTCCCTCTCCTGTTGTAGTAAGTGGTCATATACTGTGTCAGCTTCTTCAACCAATACAATCAGAGAAGCAGATGCTTTTGTACACTGGGACCGTTGTTAAATGATACATTTCTTTTCTTCCTTATTTGTTTGCAGTGTGCATGACATTAATTTCTCACTGAGGAATAGTGCTCTTCCTGGGTTACACCTGGAGAATTTTCTCATGCGTTGCACTCTTGCTTGTTCTCACTTGTTTTGAATTGTTGCTTTATAAATATTGTATTTCGGTGCATAGCATGCGTGTGATGTGACTATTTTTCTTTTGTCCTCACAGAAACGTCACAATGCTGACAATGTTGTCAACAAAAAGGAATGTCAAGGTACTATAACACTTTCTTCTTCAGGAAACATATTCTTGGTGTTACAGAAAGCATACTGTTGTATTTAGTGTAGTGTGGAAGTATTTACATTGTCAACAAGCAGCTAAGACTTTCTAACCACTGTTCTGTGTGTCTCTTCATCTTTTTGTCTTTGTCGCTTTGGCTTCCTCTTTCTGTCTTACTCTAACTTCCCCCATCCCTGTCATTACGCACCACAGTTCTGAGGAATGGTGCCTGGGAGATTGTGCACTGGGAGAAGGTATGTACCCACAATGTGCCACTAATGGTCATTTCAACCAGTTCACATTTTGTTCATCTGGAGCATCAAATATTTTGTTAATTCTTTCACCACCTATTGTCCTGTTGTCACTTCTAGAAACCTCAGGCATACACACACACACACACACACACACACACACACACTGACATGCTCTATGCACACACAATACACGCTCTGACCCCTCTAGTATCCAGGGTAAACTAATTAATCCAGTGTTTCCATGTGGACGGTCATTAGAAGGCAATGCTGGAGGACAAAGAGCAGTGTCCTCTCTTCCTTCATAATGAAACTGTTTTTTATTACTGTGGCTGAAACAGTTTGGTTAAAAGCAGAGGGTGAAACAAACATCAAGTAGTGCAGAACACTTGATTGGTAACCCTGCTCCCTCCATTAGAAAGTACATTCAGCATGTAGCAGTGCAGTATAAGCTGAAGCTTTCTTTCTGCTATAGTAGATATGAGGCACACGATAAGAATTGATTTGTTACTTGAAGTAAATGTCGATTTGTTTTCGTGAACTAAATTAATAGCAGCATGTGTAGCGTCTGTGTAAACATGTTACCATCTCAGCTCCCAGGTTGATAATTGCACAGCAATGGAGATGTAATGTATTAAGACAAGCAGACAAATAGTCCTACAGTTAGATGGGCTGGTGTATCAGTTATTTCAGAGAAAAACTGAGTTACATTACATACTTGGACACAAAACAGCTCAAATACTTTAAGTATGATATAGTAGGTGCTAAAGTATGAGCTTTAGGGTTTTCGTGTGATGACATTAACTGTGACTACACTTCAATCAAATTACAATGTTACTGTACCAAAGAAAACATTTGAGTCATGCACTGAAATCATCACAGCAGGAAGGAAATCACTGTGCTACTTGCTGATATGAGAAAGTCCCTTCCCTTTATACACATAGAAGATTCTCTAAAAAGCTGAGCTTTAAATAATTAATGCTTTTTGCATCTTCATCATGCATATTGTAAAAGCGGCCTCTGTCCCAAATTTCTGTTTGGTCTCCAAGTTTCTTTAATTAGTAACTCTTTCTGGGAAGCTTGAATAAGGCCAAAGTGATTAACTTGTGTTTTGCTTTTTCTTTTTTCCTTTTTTTGGCCAAATATCTAGATCATAGTTATTAGTAACAGTGTCAGTCTTCATGCTTTTGGAAGCAGAACTGTTTTGTTATGTATTATGCATCTTATGTAATCCTTTTTTTTTTTTTAGCTGTAATATATTTCTTATACTGTAAAAAACACAATGTTTGGATTTTGCATTGCTTATTTCAAATACAGTTTTTTTGTTTTTTTCTGAATTCACTGAATGATTGAATCTGTGCTTGTACCTGTTATGCAAAGTTCAGCTGTAATGGAAAGAAGACTCCAGCTGTGTTGTCAGTGTGTCTTCTCACCAGTATTGTACTCTGTTTCAGTGCTTCAATGTGCTCACCTTTTCTTCCTCCCAGCTGTGAATTTTTCCTCTAATGTTGAGCTCATGTTTTCTTTTATGCTGTTTTATAGGCAAGCCACAGCAGTAACCAGTTTATTTTCACAGGTTGAAGTGGGCGATATTATTAGAGTAAATGGCAGTGATTTCGTTCCTGCGGATGCTGTCATTTTATCATCCAGGTATTGGAGTCCACCCTGCTGCCAGACTGTGGGGAACTTCTCCCTGTTTCTCTTTTTCTTCTTCTTGCTTTCACTCAGCTCTCCCTAAAGAAGTGATGGTTAGATAACACATCAAGCCAGTATAGAAAGAGTGGTTTTAAATATCTTGATTTTGAAAATCAACCATAATACTTGTGTCAAAACATGATTTTAAAGCATTTGAATATGACATAATGCTCTACAGCCTGATGTGGCAACCATCACTTCCTTAGGTGGGTTGATGGTAATGTGATTTTGGATTAGAGTTGACCAGTCATATCAGCATAAACCTACCTACCTCCTTCACCTTTTCAAAAACCATTTGGACACACTATTAATGGCCAGCCAAGAGTGGTTCTCTACACACCTTTAAAGATTTTTTTTTGCTTCAACTTTACTACATATTTTAGTCCAGTTTCCCCTCAAATGCAGACTGGGAAGCCTGGATTATATTAAAACAAATTCCTCTGCTGGCACAACATTTAAGCACAACCAGCAATTACAGTGTGATGTGTTTTTCTAAATGGTTTTGTGAAAAGGAGAACAGATGACCAACCATACCTCTGATCATACAGGACTGATCATTGTGCTCTTCTCATCTCCCTAAAACTGAAACAGTTGTCTCTCTCCTCTTATGTGTTTGCTGTTTGTCTGTTTGTATTTTTTTTTTATTTTTACCCTTTACATCCTTCCTTCCCCCCCCTCATCCTCTCCTCTCCTGCCCCCTGTGCGAACAACTGCCACACGTCCTCTCTCTCGCCCCCTGCTGGTGTGTGGTTGGTAATATCAGGTGGCTGTTGGGGAAGTAGTCAGAGCTGCAAATGGGGATCACCTCCCGGCTGACCTCGTCATACTGTCGTCCAGGTCAGGAAACCAGCAACATTACCAACAAAACAGCGGTGGGAGAGATAGGGGCTGTGTGTTCCAACTGGGATGAGGCGTTTTAGCTCTCCTGTCACACTTGAGGAAGGAAGGGGCCTGTGATTATTTTGGCAACAGCCAGATACTGGAGTAGCACAGTCCAACAAGACCACATTCTTTTCTTTGCTTTTACGTTGCTGTTTCTTCTAGTGGTTTGGCAGTTATACTACTGGCTGTTTATATGGTGATTTTATTATGTTGTATTTTGTTTTACAACATAACATTTAACATAGACCCTTTTAAATGTTTGGCTGAAACTTCTAACACCGCTCAGAGTGAATGGAGACATCTAGTATTATACCACAGGAGCACATGCTCCTTTTTTTTGATACTTTGTTTTGGGTGTGAAAATATTTTCCATATCCTTGCCCTTGCATGGCTTGTATGGCACCCTGAATGCAACAGTTTACAGGCATGACAGTTTGCATGCAGTCGCCTTCCAAGATGAAAAGATCGAAAACCATCTGAGATTTATAGTGTTGTTAACTTTCCACAACATGTTGCTTCACTTCCTGGCCATCCCAAAAGACCTCAGCTCATTTCCATGAAACAAAGCTCTCATTCGATGGCTAATAGCAGCAGATTTCAAACCTCTCACTGATTGTGGTAGAGCTTTAGGGTCTTTGGTATGAAATAAATACGACTATTTAAGGAGTAGCTAACCAGCGACCCAGCTCACTTTAACCACCGGCATGCTCTAACTCTCTGTCCCCGTGCCCAGAGTCTGCCAGAGGCCTGTTTGTCTGCTTTGTTTGTTGTGCTTGGTATGCCTGCGTGCTCATGTCACCCCACTTGGATATTTTCTCTCTCTCTGTCTACGCTTTCTGTCCCTTTGCCGTGTGTTTTAGCTCTTCTTGAGAGATGGTTAAGCGCAGGGGCAGCATCAAACAAAGATGTTATGTCTGTCCTAAGGATATTCACTATACACTAAATGTATAACTTCGTTAAGTGATCTAGTTTTATGTTCCTGAGTCTTTTTGGCCGGCATCTTTGTTTGCAGTGCTCTAGTTTTCTGCTATTGTTGTTGTAGCCCCGTTCTCCATCACATTCAGTTTATAATTAAGCAGCACTGATGCAATTGATAGTGTTAAGTATTATTAGTAAATAATTAGTACGTTTTGCTATACAATATTATATAAAGTTATGGTTATTTAAAACAATGAACAGCTGAGGTTAGAAATACTGACATATATCATTGACTAGCAGTTTGTTTTATTATACTACTCGTCCAAGTGTCTGTATCTTCTTCCTCCACAACAGTGAACCGCAGGGTATGTGCTACATTGAAACATCAAACTTGGATGGAGAAACAAACCTTAAAATCAGACAGGTGATTTTCCTTGTTTAGTCCATCTTTACACAGGTTACTGTCCATATGATGTGAACGTAAAAATTAAAGTGACACTTCTTTAATTACATCAACAGGGTCTCCAAATGACTTCGGACATAAAGGAAATCGACAGCCTGATGCGTCTGTCTGGGCGGATGGAATGTGAGAGCCCAAACCGCCATCTGTACGAGTTTGTTGGGAACATCCGCCTGGATGGACACAGGTGGGCTCAGTTGTAGAGCTCCCTGCCTGGCTCTCTGCCTCTATTACCAACTCAATAGCCCATTAACCAGGAGCAGAGCCAGTAGCAGGGCATTATGAGGTTTTAGGGAATATTTAATCTTCCAGCTGAACAAATGAAAGGACCTGCTTCAGTGATAGTTAATGACATTTGTTTGGAGGCTTTGCCATTGTTAAGGAAATGCATTTTATTCTGTATGGCTGCTTTTGATTTGATTGTAGGAGTCTGGTACAATCAAGCTCTCCTGCTTAATTGTTATTACTGGAAGTTACCTTTGGCTTTTAGGGGATTCATACTTTTGATCGGCCACATTTTCATGTCAATGGAAATCTTTTTGCAAACTATATGTAGTTTTAATATATAAACAACATGTATGTTAGCTTGCAAATGGAAAAATGCAGTATAATATAAATGGAGGCACATTTTTTGACCGGCTGTTTTTGTGAATATTATTGACATGAACAAGGGCTTGACAGTATCACAAAATCCAAATGACCTCGTTTCTGATGTTGTGCTATTTCTGTCGCTGTCAATATACATTACTTCGTGGTGTTACAGTGGTTATTGGTTTCTGTTACTATTGGCATATTTATCAATATGGAATCAGGAAGGTTTACGTTAAATTAGTGGTTGTATGTAAGGTCAGCACCTAAATCAGTCCTTTATTTTAAAGTCAAGACTTGCATCAGTGGTTGTATTTAAGGTCAATGCTAAAATCAGAAGTTGTATGTAAGGTCAAGACCTGCATCAGTGGCGGTATGCAGTGCCAATACTTATTGATTTAGAGTGAGATAGAAGTACGTATAAGCACTAATGCCAGTAATGTTGTCATTATGCAGCACGGTGCCACTGGGTCCAGACCAGATCTTACTGAGAGGAGCCCAGCTGAGGAACACACAGTGGGTCCATGGTGTGGTGGTCTACACAGGACATGACACAAAGCTCATGCAGGTAAAGCACTTTTATAGTATTTCCTGTAATATTTGCAGTCATAAATGGGAAACAAACAAAAGCAGAGACAATTTGAAATTCTTATTATAAATCATATTTGCTGCAGATTTTTCCTTTTGGTGCCTATATAACTGTTGCCAAATGTGTTTAACTAATTGTTAAATTAATACAGTTAACCAAACTGTTTGTCAGGCTGCATGCTTGTGTGTCACCAAACCTCACTATGCTTTCTCAGTAAGTATTCAGATATTTCATGCTCCATAAGCAGGTGCAAAGGTTTAGATGAATGAGATTCTCTTTACTGCCACAGAGCAGAAAGGGAAGTCCACCATTTGTCGTACTTCTTCATTTTTTCCCACAACTGTCTTGTCATGTGTTACCCAGAATTCCACACGGCCTCCTCTGAAGCTGTCCAACGTGGAGCGTATCACCAACTTTCAGATCCTTGTGCTGTTTGGCTGCCTGCTGGCCATCTCTCTGGTCTGCTCCATTGGCCAAACCATCTGGAAGTACCAGTACGGCAATGATGCCTGGTACATGGATCTCAACTGTAAGAGTCCCAACAGCCCACGCTGCACATCTTATTCCACACATTTTTGTCTCACTTGTTCATATCAGCTTATTTCTTTGTCATTTTAAGTTCTTAAATGCTGGTATGTGTCGTGTCGTTTTTATGTTGCCTCAGTTAAACAATGTTTCGCATTACAAGTGAAATATGTGGCAAAGTGGGAATAAGTGAATTCCCTGTTAACTGAGAAAAGACAGCTGTGACATGCATAAATGTGTTGTGAATGAGTCTGATTGAAAAAGAAATGGTTGAATATCACTGCGCTGCTGTACTTTTTTGTTCCTTTCTAATGTTCTGTTTGATTTTGTTGTTTTCTTTGTTGTCGTTTTTTTAACAGCTCCAGGTAACAACCATTTAAAAGCCTTGGCCATCCGTGAATGACCCTCCCTTACTAACCCTTTACTGAAGCTGTGCCTTTGCTAAGCAAATGAAGCCCCCTACCCTCGCCCCCTATATGGTTGCCCTACTTTGTATGGGCCCATGCCATGGACAAGCACATACCAGGGATCCAACAATAGGTTTTTCCCCTCCAGCTCTCTTATACCTTCGTCTAGTTATTTTCAGTGCCTGATGAAAACAGTGTCTCACTTTTCCTCCATTTTTTTTAGTGCCACGTTAAACGCTTTGCAGTTCCCAAGCTTCAGACCGTCATTTTCCCCCCCTCATTTTTTATTTTTTATTTATTTTTTTATAAACAAGAAATGAATAGCCGCATTTACTTTGACTGCAAGGGAGTTGAGGTTGTGCTCAGGAAGCTTTTCATAGCAGGAGGCTCATACGTGTTTATTGCTCGAACACAACATGTGGCGCAACCCGAGGGGCACGAGCTGACATTTTCTAAATGCCTCTGCCGCCTTCTTTCCTTGTGTGGATTTTTCAAAGGACAGACTGAGAGGGGAGGGGGAGAGGTGAAAACCTGCTTAGCTTTTACATGTATTCTCAAACCATCGTAGAAAATGCCTCTATTTTATGTTACTGTTATAGACTTTAACCCAATACAAAATACAGGCGCAGTTTTGACTTTTGGTCTGTTGTGATGAAGCTCTGAACCTGGTATGCAAAGTGATTATCGTGACACTCTGGCCATTACTCTGTACCCTGATAGGCCTGTGTAGGAGAGGTTGTGCCCTGGTCAATTTAAGCTTGCATTACAACTTACACTTTCCCTTTTAATGAGATGTTGCATTGGCTTCTCCTGGTTTTTGTAAGGGTTTTAGTATCGTCCTAAGTGGCTTTAAAACCCACACCTAAAAGACCCCATATCAAACTGATGAGGGGAGTGTAAGTTATAAAGCAAGCGTCCATCTTGAGACTGATTTTACTTCCATAAGGAGTTGTTGAGACTCTGTCCAGTGCATATTATCCAACCTGTGACAAAAGAGAGAGGTGGGGAGATTGTCACAGCTTAAACATTCGATTTTACTCTCACCACTTTGTTTTCCTAAATTACTGTAACTTCACTCACTCATACAGACAGGTGCAGTAGAGTCTGTTTTAGTCCACACACATCACACAAGCTCATGTGTCACTGAAGCCTTTCATTACGCATGCCAGACACACATACATTGTGACAACTTAATGAATGCAGGCTCTGAGTGCAAAAATGTACGTGTATTTATTTTGCACTCGTGTGTAGCCACTCACGAGTTAGTTTTCGTCGATAGCAGTGTAATTATCACCATATTACTGAATTAATGCAGAGTATCTCTGCAAACTGCTGCTGTCTTAACTGACAGCTTGGTGAAAACAACTTTGTCCCACTTCTGCTGCTAGCATGAAGGGATGTGGTTTTATCACCCTAATATAGACATGCCTAGCGAACAGAATGCATAGCTCAATTTGCAGTCACATTTCTGTGAATAAATGATCAGAAATGGTTTCATGTTCACTGGCTTGAATAAACATGGTTAGAATATGTGTGTGACCTGCGCATGTCCTGGTTTGCTATGGTTTGATAGTTTCTCTAATGACTCCCTACTGGTCCAATCCAGTATCGCTCTGTCATCTACTAGCAGCATTTCTGTGTAACATAATGAGCTGGCTCCTAGAAATGAGTGAAATGAGGTGATGTAGTGATCATCATTAACACCCAAACTTTTTCGCTGACATAATCCACCCACTCTTTTCCACTCCTTGTTGGTTGAGAATGTGCTATGGACTGAATCTCCCTCCTTTGTCTTGAGAGCATCCGATACGTTTGTCTTCCCCCCCACTTCTGAAAAAGTGCTCCCTCCTATATGTGTTGTTGTAGCAGTAGCTTCCATTCTGCCACTTTCTTTGTGCCATTCAGCTTTTTGTTTTGCAATCGTTCTTGTCATGGGGAAGGGCTGGCCCTCTCAACCGCAATGCTAAGATCAAGGCTTGGGTTGAGGAAGGTAACATTTGCAACTCCTGCAAGCTGAGGAAAGGTAAATCACATCCCTCCTGTTTTCATGTTTGGTGTCAGTGGGCTTACATGTTGATCATTGCCAATTGTTTGGGGCTTTCGGGGGAACCAACATCATTTTGCATAGTGCTTTGTGGAATTCATTGCCTGGATCATGCTGGATGCCAAGGCTGCTGCTGTGACACTAATGACATTTGAGATACTTCAGTCCCTGTTCGCTACTTTGAAATCTTTGGGACATTAAATTGGATTGCTAATCGGTTGAGTTGTAAGAGGATGAGGTTGGGTGGAAGAAATGGTTAATTCCAGCTAATGCATGACATTAGCCCAAAACATTCTCTGTATTGGGATAATGTTAATAATTGGCTGGAAGTAGCTTTGGGCATTTTCATTTAACTAACTGATATTTGCAAATCAGCACTGATGACTCTCCTGTGTATCACTTCCCTTTGTCCAAAACTCATCCCCTGATAGATGGCGGTGCGGCAAACTTTGGCCTTAACTTCCTCACCTTCATCATCCTGTTCAACAACCTGATACCCATCAGTCTCCTGGTCACACTGGAGGTTATCAAGTTCATCCAGGCCTTTTTCATCAACTGGGTGAGCTGAAGCTACTGTGTACACTTTAACTGAACTAAACTCTAAATCTGAGATAAATGCACGATTTTCATTATAGGTGTGATTTCAAAAAGAAAAAAAAATGCAAACAACGATTCGATGTATTTACCTCTGTATTTAAATACTTTATTGACAGAAATATGTCTGAGCGTAACTGTCACGTGCTATGTTATTGCAGGCTGTGAAAACAAAATGTCTTAAAAGAAAATGCAATTTTGTTGATCGCGGTATAAACAAAGCAAGATGGGTAGTGACTGTGACTGGGTAGTGACATAGCACACTAGACTGCAGTTAAAGCTGCTGTAATCGACGTTAGCGCTGGATCAGATTATTATTTTTTGTCAAATGGGAGATGGTAGTGATGAGCCCTCACAGTTATCATGCACTACAGTACACAGCATTTTAGCCTGTGTACAGTTTGATAAACTCTTGCTGCTTTCATCAGCATTGTTTTGGGATGCATCTGATTTTTCATCAAACCTTAAAAACCCCCTGTGCAGAGTGTAACCAGCACCACATGGAGGGCAGATGAGTTTAGTAACTAGCTAGTGAACATAAATGAGCATGTAGCAGCCTCAGTCATTGATTTAACCCCTAAAAATTAATTTGTGTGTATGAAAGTTAGACATTTAGATGTTTCTTTTCCTATGAAAATAATCCCTTCTCGCCTTAAGATGACTTTGATGTGACGCTTCACTGTTGCCTTCTCTAGAATGTGTGGATCTCCTTATTCCTTCTATCCTCCCACCCTGCTCGAGCTCACTAGCTAACCTAAACCTTTGCTTAAACGCAGCAAAACTACTCTACACTACGTAACGACAAGTTGTAATCCTGGGTGATTTACCCATTCATGTTTCATGTTTGAATCTGAAACTGATTCTGAAGAAGAATAATGATATGGAAAGTCCCAGTCAGCAAGTTGACTGGATTGGATCCTTAGGTTTGGTACTCATGAAAAACCAGAAATCTTAATCTATGCTTTTGAGACTGTCATCTGTACACTTTTGTTTCAATTTGTAAATGCTTTTCCATGGTGCTGACTGCTTATTTCTCTCCTGATGCATCTTTCAGCATATGAAAAACAACATATAGACATGTTACCCAAGAAAAAAATGTGATTGTTTCCATAGAAAGGCTGCAAGGTGGTTAGCACTGTTGCCTCGCAACAAGAAGGTCACCGGTTCACGTCCCAGTGAGGACACCTACACTTTTGTGCGTGGAGTTTGCATGATCTCCCCGTGCAGCATGGGTTCTCTCCGGGTTCTCCGGCTTCCTCCCACACAGTCCAAAAACATGTTGAGGTTAACTGGTGATTCTAAATTGTCTGTAGGTGTGAATGTGAGTGTGCTTGGTTGTCTGTCTCTAAGTGTAGCCCTGCGATAGACTGGCGACCTGTCCAGGGTGTCCCCTGCCTTCACCCTAAGTCAGCTGGGATAGACTCCAGCCCCCCCGCGACCCTAATGAGGATTAAGCGGTGTATAGATGGATGGATGTTTCCATAGACATGATTCCAGATGAATATTCATGTTGCCTTATATCTGTTTACTGTGCAAAAAAAAGTCATTGTTTGATAATCATGCACCATGTCACCTTTGTTAGATGATAATATGTGAGTGTTGTTTTATGGCTTGATGAATTTCCTCCAAGAAAACTGGATGTCAACATTGGCTTATCAAAATAAAAGGGTGTGCAAGTAGCACAGCGACTGTCATTTACTAAATCTTTTTAAATGTACAGCATGTATTCACATCTGTAACACAAATGTTGAAGCCTTTTAACGAGCACCAAGAACATACTGCGCTTACATATACTTTGTAAGTAGGTCAACCCTACCAAATATCTCAGCTGAGGAATCATACAGTTTTTTTTGCCCAAAGTTATTCTCAGCCCCTTATATTCATTAAATTTTAAATGAATCCCTGGCAAGTAATTTTTAGCAACATTTAGGGCAGTTCTCAGTTGGTTTCTCTTCCCGCGACTCCAGTCGGTTCAGTATTTTCTTAAGGGCATATTGACTGTTGGGACTGAAGTGAAGCTTCAGTTGTTTTGTTTTTTTTTTGTTTTTACTGTCGGCAACGATTTGAAATTTACTTTGATGGAAACTTCTGTTGTACCAAAAATTTTGCTTCTCAAGCAATGTTACAGTCAAAGTTCTTCTGTGATTGGTTTTAGGACACTGATATGCTGTATGAGCCTACAAACACACCTGCCATGGCCCGCACCTCCAATCTGAATGAAGAGTTAGGCCAGGTAAGCAATGCAGTTTAAGTAGTATGTTGTAATGTGCTGTTTACTTGAAAGATCTCTCAAATAAGAATAAATTATGTATTTACAAAGCATTCATTTGTGTTTCTCTACAGGTCAAATACATTTTCTCTGACAAGACTGGGACTCTGACCTGTAACGTAATGCAGTTCAAGAAGTGCACCATCGCCGGTGTGGCCTATGGGTATGTTCCATTTTCCTCCCCCGTTCTCACTTTCCTTCCCTCCCTCCTCGCATCCTCAACCGTTGCCTCCCCCATCACCTTCATTAAATGCAGAGTGTGCATCATAGTACATCTGGCGTTTCTCTCTCCTCCCCTTGCCTTCTCATTAGCAGCTGCATCAGTGCTCCTCTCAACAGAAACTATAAATAAAAGGCAGACAGACATTTGCAAGCAAAGGCACTTTACACTCTCCTTCGCAGGCTCTCGTCCGTCGTCTGTCACGTCGGAGGTGTTTGTGAAAACTGGCTGTACCTCTCAGTATTCTCTCTCTCTGTGTGGTGCCGAGGACAGTGACAAGTTGATATCATGCAGCATCCTATTATAGACATAAGGATTTAAGCGAAATTCACACTTCACATGAATTTCCTTTTTTTCCTCCGCTCCACCGATATATGAGCAGTTCCAGCTAAACATTTGATCGAATCAGCGCTAATGTTATTCATCCCTCATTTTATTTTTGTGCATAGATAATTAAACTCAGTGGGTGCAAAACAAGTGGGAGAGAAGAGTGTCTTCACAGAACCACAGCAAGTGCAGGCGTGACAGTACATGATTAATCCCATTACGATTCAATTAATGGGATGATTGATGAAGTGCAGACTGAAGGAAGAAAGACAGCGTTTTCTCAGGAGTTCTTTGTGCTTTCATTAGGCTGTGATTGTGAGCCCAGTGAAGGCGCTGACAGCTTGTCATTGTTGGGTCAACAATACAAAGTCACTTTAAGTAGTTATGATGTACATGTTGATGATGTGGTACCTCCTAAATCATTGTCAATATTTCTTTTTTAAGTGATGCTGGCTAAACACACATGTGACAGATTTGTTGTGTAATATTTTGGGCTACAGAATGTCTTTTTGTTTTTTTTCCATTTTTGGCTTTTTAACGGTTATAATTGGGTCAAGCCTGCTGGTCATTAGGGACAAACGCTGACTGAAGTTCAGCAGCAGCCCGTCCTTCGTTCATCCTAAGTGAAGATGTTTTTCTTTGATACTCTGAAACGAGGACTCCCTCTTATGCAGCTGATAAATATGGATGAGTGTTTCTTAGCAGGAGGGAGGGAGACAGGTTCTAATGAGGCAAGGCTATTTTTGATGATGCCAACGTTTGGCCGACTTGTCTTCTTCTTCTGGGTTTTCTAAAACAAGAATTGGGAGTTTCAAAAACTGTTGACAGTCATTTTTCTGTTTCCTTATTCCTCTTAAAAATCAGAAAGCAAACTGTAAACCACTCTAATGCTCTAACTTTGTCCATCCAAACCAATCCATCATATTTTACCAAGAATGCTCTCCCTCTAAACATTGTATAATCAAAGTATTTACAAAAAGCTCAACACAAATTGTACATTAGAATTTTGAAAGTCAAAATCGACATGTTTCTTATCTCAGTATTTCCTAAAATTTGCTGGGTAATTGTCAAGTATTATTGTATCCTCAGGTTTCTGTTGGGTGTTTTTCTGATGTGTTAAGTGAAAACAAATGTCTTTAGTTTTTCCTGACGTAAGTATTACTGAGGCCAAAGTGATTATTTTTATTACTGCCCCAACAGAGCTATTTCTTTCCAAGTTCTTAACAAGGTTATGTTTTTACAGTATAAAGCTGATAAATGATAAAACCCCTAACAAATTTATTTTTGTTGCATTGACCCATCAGAGAAACTGCTCGGAAGCTTGAAACCGTTGTTTGTTACACAGTTTGATGACTGGTATTTCTCTCTTGTTCCTATCATAGATGCTTTCAGCTGTCTACTCGCCTTAGGTTAATCATAAAATATGGATAAAAGTAGCAAGGAGGCAGATAATGTTTTATAATTAAACTTTAAATTCTGTACTTAAGATACCTGAATTATTTTTTTACCATTACATTTTTACCTCACTGTTTTTGAGAATCTTATCCTACATCAAGATAAAGCAGTCACATTGTGCAAAATAAGAGACTATTTAAAAGCAGAGATGAAAACATGGCACATTTAAATACAAACGAATGAACAAGCATGTGCATAGTAGTTACTCTGCAGCGTGACTTGTAATTTGGTGCCAGCACACACACATAAAGCCCCCCTGACACTGCCGCCTGCATGTGTTCCTCACCACAAATTAAGTGCTGCTGTAATTAATAAAGCCATCCCCAAGGGTGTAGACATTAATTAATTCCACTGGATTGGAGTCCAAATCTGAAGGAGAGACAGCGTTTAGGTTAGAAAGGCTCCCACAATCCTCCTGGTTCTTATTTGTAAAAGATTGACGGAAAGCATGTTTTATTTAGATGTACTTAAATGACAAAACTCACAAAAATGTGTTTTTTTTTGGTTTCTTTTTTAAATAACACATATTTGTCCATAAAATTCGTCACTGTTCTGTTTCCCTGCAGAAATATACATCTGCTGTCGCTGTTATGTCAAATATTTGCCAGTTTACAGACAGACTGGTTTGTTGCTAAAGCAAATACTCACAATGTTTCTTTACTGAAGGTAAAAGAGCAGAAGACTCACAGAGTGAATAAAACTGAGTCTGAATCAAATGAAGAACTGTAATGTTCAGTGGAGCACATCGTCTGGTCGGCTACACTCCTCACAGTTAACGAAATCCTGCACTGCAGTCACTTAGAGCAGAGATGCCAAAATCATTTGCTGCCTTCTTTTTGAGCAGAGTGCTCTCTGACCACATTTAATTTCTTACGTTGTTGTTTTTATCTCTACACTTACTATGAAAATATATGCAGTTTCAAAGACGAATTTCTGCTGCTGTAGTAAATCATTGTGTTGTTATTAATTATTAGAAATTCTTATTTAAGTCTGCCTTTATTTTTGGTGGATCGGCTTGGCTGTAGTTATAGTTGGTAGTGGTGCCAACATTTTATGTGTTTTCTTGTGATCAACCTTACAGTGAGTCTGCTGAGCTTTCTGGAGGAATTCTTCTTCTCCTTCAGTCAAATTCAAGTCACACCAACTTGATTTCATACCAGTCACATTTCAAATTTTGCTGCACGAGGTCTGATAAGGGCATAATTGAGGATTTTAGTGATAAATTTAATTCTTCCGTTGAGGGACTTTGTAATGAAAGTCAGCTATTATTGCACTGGCATTTGACAATCATGCACAACTCAAAAAAAAAAAAAAGAAAAAAGAACAATAGCATCCAGTATAGTGAGCTCTAACTATCTGGCGTACAGTGTCTTTCTTTATTGCAAGGAAAGAATAAATAACCTGTCACTTGTGAGACCAAGTAGGGATTTCCATTATTAATGATAGCTTAAGAATAAATGCCAGTGTATATATAGAATTGTAAGGAACACTAGCAATTCATATTATTGTTACTAATGTTTCAGTAACCGACTACTGAGGCAATGGTGAGCTGTGAAAAAAGCGTGACTGGGTTGGTCAATATAACAACCTAAAGCCTACTAGCACCACAAAAGCTACATGCCTTTTGTTTAATTACGCCATGCAAAAACCAAAGTAGAATAACCGACTGCCTTTGGTACGTAATTCTTAGTAATGAATTGTGCGTCTGCCATTTATATTTTTGAAATATTCCTTTAGAGAATAATAGATTTCGAGGACCTGCTGTAATCACTGCTGTCAACCTAACCCCAACACCTTGGCTAAATTCCCTCCTCGCATCTGACCTATCATACTCTAACACTAACAATCCCATTTTAACTGTAATCCTGGCATCTGCACATTCACAGCACGTGTTAATGAAAGACTTTGTCAACAAGATGCTCTTTGTTCTCCACCTTCGCTCCAACAGTCACGTCCCTGAGGCTGAGGAGGGTAGTTTTGCAGAGGACGACTGGTAAGATGATGGGTGTGAAATGATGGTCGTTTTTTTTTTTTTTCCCTCTCTCTCCCGCTCTCCGCTTCTGTGATGTATTAGTGCTGCCTTGCCTTGTGGAACCTGTGACTTTGAACACAATACCTCAGTGTGTGTTTGTTATTTTTTCTTTGTGCGTTCAGTACTCTTGGGTCGTGTTGTATGTGACTGTGGCCCTTGAAACACTGTGTCTATCTGTTGATGTGAAAGGCCAGCTTTAAACAGACGATGCAGTATTTGTTATCTATAATTGTGGCTGTATCAGAATTAATATTGAATCATCAGTATTTCAGTGTTGTGGCTTTCTTACAGCGTTCATCAGCTGGTTTGATAGATGAAGCTTTCCAGTGTTTACTGTATGTCGTGCTGAGGCTGAAGCTGTGCTGTACAGTCTTCTATTCCCCAGTTAACATCAAACTAACTTTGGAGGTGGTAGCTACACACCCACTTATTCTTTGTCTTCCTCACACACACACGGAGCGCACACACAGAGTCCTACTTCTGAGATCCATCTGCTACAGGGTTTAGATCTGCAGTAACAGCATGGGCGTGTCTCATCCATTTTGCATGGGGGATTGGAGCCTGTTTGTTAATGCCTATTATGCCAAAATGTTGAGTCTTGCTGCTTTAAAAGACGTTGCCAGCTTCCATGAAAGCATGTCTCTTTAAGACGCTATTTTTTCCCCCTCTCTGAAACAACACTCAGATACTTTACTTGTACACAGGATAGGTCAGAGATACAGAAATAGCTGAAATATTGAATGTGGTATGTAGGTTTAAAAGAAACAAAACATCACTAATCAGACATATTCCTGTGGTCCTGCTTGAAGCAAAGCTGGTGAGTCCAGGGTCAAAGTTCAGAGTTTATCATTTCCTCCTCCTCCCTGGAACAGGACAGCATAGGTCTGATCTGGAACTGGTCCCTGTTATTGACTGTGAACAGCCAGCACCCTTGTTCCCATAGTGACAGGACCTCTGTGTGCTGGCAGATAATCAATATCTGACCGTCCTCCTCGCCCAGCCTCGTGCCTCGCAAATTTCATCAAGACAATTGATGAGGCGATCTACGCTGCTGCTGCTGCTGCTGCTGAAGAGGAAGGCTTAGGGCTTCCTTCCCTGTGCAAGGCTTAGAAACAGTAATACTGACACTATAGATCTTCTGACAAAAAAATAACATCTTTGTTGTTTGTGGCAGAATTTGCTCATGTTTTTATGTCACATATGAGCACCTGAGTAGTTTCCATGCATTTGGATGATGATGCATGGGTTAAACCAGTTGCATTCTATATCTTTTACATTTTATTATGCTAAACCTAAAACGTAAGTCTATTTAGTCGCAATATCTGCCCTCCTTGTTTATGTAAATGGAGCATTTAGAGATGCAGACTTTGTTTTTCAATTTCTCCATGACATATTTTAATAAAGCCTCTAAGTGTGATAAATCTTCCCAACCTCCGGTGCATCTAGCAGGTGTAGCACAATATCGACTCCAGTCCTGCTGTTTAATTGCGTTGCTGTCTTTTTCCTATATCTTCCTTCCTCCAAACCTCTATTTTGTGTGCAGTAGATGGTAGTATTCCTAGCCGGCTGGCCGGTTGGCTCTCAGGGATCTGAACGGCATATCCTGTGGGATTAGAAAGACTTATGGTTGCTAATAGCAGCCTGAGTAACATTTCTATCAAGGCCCGATGCTGTGGACAAAGCTGCTGTCTGCCTGATCTATAGGACTCTATTTATCACAGAATCATGAATCGATCCCCGCTGGACAGCCAGTGAGCCGCTTGTGGCTACATACAGGATCACTGCCCTAAGCCACTGTTAGAGGGATGAAAAACTTCCTTTCTTTCATCAATGAAAAGTCCTCTGCAATCCAAATTGTCATTTTTCCAGTTCAGCACGGCCGTCTGTTGTTGATGAAAGATGTGTATTTTTCTGATTTTGCCATATTCCTAATGGACTTCAAGATATTGAATTATGTTGCGTCTTGCCAGAAATAAAAAGTATTTCTGGTACAAGAATAGGAGACTAATTGTGTTTCCAGTAATTTATTAGGGCTTGGCTTTGATTAGTGTGTGAGTAATGTGGTCTTTTTCAGCTGCCAGAAACTCTGCCTGTCTGCTGTCCCTGTAAGCGGTTCCTCATGCATTGTTTAATTTCCAAAGCAAAGGGGAACACCATTTATTATTTATGTAAATGACTGGAGTGAATATGATATATAAACGGGATAATGAATAAATGTATGAGCGTGAATTCCTTGTGCATTGGTAAGTAATAATGTCCCATTTCAGGACATTGCTTTCTCAAAGGATGATCTACTTGCACCAGCGTGGACAGAATCCCAAACAGTCACACACTGTACATCACATTACTGAAGCCCAGGGGACCAGCATTTGCATTCTGCCTGCACTGTGGTTAATACTTTATTCAACAAATGTCAATACTGTTGGCACACAGCACTGGCTGTATTATTACCACTTTGAGATCTGTTTTGTGCTGCCAGTCTCAGTGCAAATTAGTTTTATCTTGAGCTGAAAAGATGATTTGCTTGACAAAAAATTCATTTGTAACTACACTCAGGGGCGACTTTATTTATCTACACCTCTGTACAGTAGGTGATGTTAGAAAAATGACTAGAAAGCATTGACCTTGCTAACCTGCCAACCCCCCTGTGTGTTTTGATTGGTGGCGTGGAGTTCCCTTTGGATCATCCCTGTTCAAAATGAGCAGTTCACCTACTGCCCAGTGCAGCTTCACCCATACAAATAATTTTCACATACAGTATTGTGTCATTGAGGTTATAGTTGGCATGACTGTAAACTGAGAGCTCAGTGGCACAGTGAATATATGGTATAGTTATATATAGTATAAAAATGTGAACAGAAATCATGGAATTCAGGCAAACTTCAAGAGGCTCTGGTGCATAAGAGCAGAGTTTCCTTTTCTACTTACGAGACACTTTGGTCATGTTTCTTATTTTATTGACAAAGCTGTCATAAGCTGCTGGAAAGTTATATTTTTATCTCCTTATTTTGTTTTCAGATCCATTGTCAGAATGTTCTTTGATCATGATGCAAATTAAAGACCCCCTGCACTGAAGATTTATTTCCACCATATTAAGCTGTCCATATGGTGTTTTTTTTTATCTTGTAGAAGACATGAGCAAAATAGGCCGTCAACACCATGGCTGAGAATTTACACCTTGAAATGTTGTGCCAACGATGAATTCAAACTTCTGGGGTTTCATACATAACAAACTGAACTAACAAATACCTATTGACGTGCATCTTTTTGTATCATTAGTCTTCTCAGTAATTGGGTTCCAGTTCTAACCTGTATATCTAAAGTACTCCAGCATTTGCCATCATGTATCGTAGAGTAGTTTCACAATGTTGAGCTGTTGATTTGCTACTTTTGCCTGAACTGCTAGGAGTGAGGAGGTGTTGATGAAGAGAGAGGACGGGACTTCATAAAACCACAGGAAACAACCATGTGCAGTTACATCTGAGCCATTTTAAGACAGGAAAGCATTATTTCCATGTAAACATCTTCTAGCCCTAAAGGGTTTTAATTAATGACCGGAGAGGGACTTAGCTATTTGTTCTTTACTAGTCTAGTCTTAATGTCTGGGCAACATGCTCTACTTGGCTGTCGGTGGTGCCATAAAGTATTCCGGTGCATTCTGTCGGTTGTTTGACTTCTCCACCTCTTCTTTCCAGGCACAGCACACACTCATCAGACGAAGCAGGATTTAATGACCCGAGCTTACTGGAAAACCTCCAAAGCAATCACGTAAGTAATGTCAGGGTTCCCTGTCGCCCACCTGTGGTGACTGCTGCCAATCAGGCTAAAATTAAGAAGGATTTTGAATCTAATTGTGTGTGGTTGCATAATGCCTTCTCGCCATTTCAAGTGATGACTGTTTTGACTTGTGTGTTGAGTCTTAAAGATGGCAAAGCAGCTGTACTGTTTCATGGCATGCATCTTGTCACATGTTGTGACGAATTTAGACCAAACGACATAGATTGAATAAAACCCTGCTGAGGGGCGGATCACTGTTTCCTTACACAATACTATAAACAAAGGCACGATCTGACAAGATTAGGAGCCCCTTCATCCACTGATTTGCTTATTTACCATAAGAACCTCAGGAGATATAGCAAGAAAACAGGCTTTTACAAAATACACACGATCACGTGCGTTAGTGGTCGTTTACAGGACCTAAGAGGGAGCGGAAGTGGCCACCTGTAGTAATGGAATGGGTGAAGACTGATTGATTGGCTGTTTGAGTCACTCAGCTGCAGAACAGTGTGGGGGAGGCAGAATGTCACATCTAATTACGTACAGTAGTACCGCCCAGGGAAAGTAGTAATCCCACTGTGATGTTTGCTTTGTTATGACAGCAGAATCTCTCCACACATTGAGTTTGTCTAAGATCTGCTTTAGCTTCATACTGATAGCCCTTCGCCCCTGCTAATTATGGTGCATAACCAACTGCTGTTTAGAAATCGCAATCTCTCTGCATCTTTGGTGATGATTCTATTCTTGAATAATCTGTTGGGTTGCTGTTGTACTCATGCATTGTTAATGTTGTTTATGTTAGTCACCTTCTGTTTATGTATATCTTTGCCAAAGATTCTGGTAGACCAGCCATGCAAGCTGTTTCCAGTGTTTATGCTAAGCTAAGCTAACTGGCTACTGGCTCTCACAGACATTAGAGCCATCTTGAAGTTTTTGTCTGACTTTGAAAAAGAAAGTGGATAATCTAATTTTCCATTAATGCATCATCAGTACTTACATGGCCCTACTGTAGACACTAAATGACTGTCATTTACGCAATTTTATGTAATACCTGATGCTCTCACCATACAAACACTTATGGCCATCAGGATGCTTCTTGCTTAAACACTACTAATCCTTATCGTTAACAACAGTTTTGCGTGGCTGCAGGCTGTTTGTAGGAGTGATGTTGATACAGTGTTGAGGGAGGATGGCAGACTACAGGAGAGGGGAATTAACGATACTGACAAAAATAAACATCCCCCCGGTGCTTTTCATGTTCTCTTGAGTCACTGGACATGTTCTCCGCCTGCAGAGCTTCAGCAGCCTTCGTGGGTGTTTGTTTGCTCGCCCGCCGAAGCTCTCTGCTTCATGTTCCCCCTGACCCTTCAACTTTCTCCACACTGGCCACGTCTGAAGTGATGAGTGTCCGTCACTGGTGCCGTGACATAGGTTACCCAGGAGTCAGTCGGGGTGATAGCTGGCAGCATGGACAGCACAGTATTAGCTGTCGCATCTAATTGTGCCATCAGAGCAAAGTTCTGTCTAGGTTACCACCTTCCTGGATAGCATAGGCACACGCATTTGTACTTCTATTCTTTTGAGGTCCCTCTGTGACATAATGCGCTTCCTGGACAACAAGCCTATCCCTAACGTGAAAACTTTTGGAAATACGTTTACTAATATCTGCAATTTAATATGAGGATGGAGCCAGGAAACTTTTGCTTTCACTCAAGACAGTGGGGAGATGCATCTATCCCAAGGATATGTCCAGAGGCAAAAAGTCTCCCAACAGCTAGGAGTCAACCAGTATTTTTTAAAATTTTTTTACAGGACCAGTATTGATTATTAGTAAGGAGGGAGACTGATAGCTAATATTTAGAACTGACATATGCTGCATTTGTAGTGAAAATGAAAACCTTGGTGTCAAAATGTATCATTAATAATGCAAACTTCGAAACAAAACTTCATGAAATGCCTTTTCTTATGTATGTTAACAAATGTTTAGCTAAAAGAGATTTTTTAACGTTTTTCCTTTAGCGTTGATAGTTGTTAAAGTCAGGTAGTGCTGTGAGTGGGACATTTGCTCAGGTAGAGAGAGTCAGCTGTATCAGAGCCAAAGACAGGCATTTTCAAATTAATTTATTTTATCAGCAATCAGTTAACAGAGTAACATACAGATAATGAGAAAAACTGAATATTAGATTTGATTATCAGCCAGGCCATTAATTGGTTGACCCCTACTAGCAGCACCACTAAATCTCATTGCCTAACATATATCTAATTTGTTAAATCTGTAAAGAACAAGTTGTGGTTTTACAAAGAGATATTGGCTCGACTATTTTGTGGTTTGGCACAGTTAATTCTGTGACTTCCCAGAGTCTTGTCGTCACTGTGGGGTTTCCAGCACTGAGTTGAAAAATGGCAAACTACAGTAACTCCATCCCTTTATGTACATTTAACAAAAGCCTACTTCTGACCTGAAACCAAGTTAAACCCTCACATAGAGCTGGCCACAATGTCAGCACTTTAAAAAGAAAAAAAGAAAAAGAAAAATGTCCTCACTTGTGGTGTCTAAAACTCAAGTACACATACAACACACACACTGACATGTCCTTCAGAGGATACCTGTCAGCCCAGACCAGATTAGCATGCTGCTAGGAGGCAGAGGGGACTGTCACAGCCACCTGGACTGTAATAGACTCTGTGTATTTTCATTTACAAGAGGCCCTTTGATTTACCCCTCCTCCCCCTTCATTCATTCAGTTTTCACAGCCAACAGAAGGAACAAATTTAATCATACCGTGTGTTGACCACACTGCTTTTTGTTTGAGAAGGCGAGTGAAACGGATTCTTTGGAGCAATCACTTTATGGCATGCCTCAGTCTTTCACCTTTTTAGTATTAATCATGGGAGGTTATGATGTTTGTTAGAGCTGCTGTATATTTTCTGCTTCTGAAGATTTTTGACAGCTGTATTCATCAATGCTTGCTCACAGTGATGGTAAACTGGTGTTGTGAATTAGCTTAGTGTGGATGTTGTTAACAAAGGTTTGCAGGCAGACTACAGTTGGTATTGTTGCTGTATTATTCCGGCCTGCCGTAGCCCTGGAGGCTGCTGATATCTCTGCCTCAGCTGTGGTCACTGACTACATGCTGGTGGTCCTCCAGTCTCAGACGAGAGCCTCAGCAGATGTCTGTCTGGCTCTACCCCATGGCAAGTTAGTCATACTGTTCCCCTTATTAATGTAAAATGCCCTCAGTATATAGGTTAGGCCTTTTTTTCATTAGCTGAAGCAAGTGTATGGGTTCAAGGGGCACGAGTAAATGTCTGTCAGCAGCTGGCGAGTTCCGTGCGATCCTTTTGGCTTGTTACCAGCAGCCATTTGTCTGGCCAAACCTGACTAGTGAGTACTGAAGCCATGTGTATTTCAGACAGTGACAAACCTCTGGCTGGCTTTGAAACCAAATGGAGAGTTAATGGCTCTTTAGACACTACAGGGTTGAAAAAAAGTCTTTTTTTTCTCAGTTTCTTGACTGCAGTAAATAACAGTTTCCTTCAAGTAACCCATGAATCAGGACAAGATATATAAACAGCCATGTTTTGATTTTAGTTTGGTAGTTGTTCTGCAGTGATATTTACTCCTTATATACAAATAAAATTGAATTGAATTGAATTGAATTAATATCACAGTGACATATTTATACCAGAGAAGTGGGGTTTATGTTTTGTGTTCAGTGACTGGGGTGGAGAACACTTAATATTTACTTACTTAAAAATGAAAAGTGAGTTTCCTTTAACAAACAATTTAAAATACTGAAAACCTGTCTTGCTGTTTACTTATAGCAAGCTTAAGACACCTAAGACACTGCAGCACTGAGTGGAGACGCTAATCTGTAAAGCAAATATGTGGCTAAACAGTGTTTCCAAAAAAATCTTGATGTGTTATTTGTTGTCTAGCTGAGATGTGTTAAACTGTGTTAAACAACTCAACCACATCAACAGCGTATACATCTATTTAAAGGAGTCACCTGTAAATGTGCTATATACTCCACACATGTAGTGACTGTGTTGTCTGTCTGTCGCATGTACATCCACTGTGAATCATGCAGGCTGATTATTGTCTGTCAACAGTGTTCTTGCTGCCCTTGCATTATTGTCATCAAGGTCTTTCTAGTTGTTTTGCTTCTGTTACATGTTTTATGAAGGAACATTAAAAGTCAAAGTGCCCTTTCCACTTCCTGTAGCCTACAGCTGCTGTTATCCTGGAGTTCATGACCATGATGGCCATCTGTCACACTGCAGTCCCTGAGCGCATGGATGGAAAAATCACCTACCAGGCTGCATCTCCAGGTATGTCACACCTTCTAGTGGAATATAGCTTCAGGATATAAGGGAAGCTGCGCTGGCATTACTCCAGGGTATGAAGTGTGTTCACACATGATAATTTGGTAATGTTATTATTAGCCAGACTTTTGTCTAGTAGCACAAGTGTGAAAAAACAGAAACCTAAAAAAGAAATCCAAATAGCAAATAGGTCTTCCTTTCTATTTCTGTTTATATCATCAAGGCTTGATATTATGGCGCCGAGCAGCTGCTTTGGCATTCTGCACATTGTTCACATGTATGTGGTTGTTTAATCACTGCCAACCTGCACCACCTGTATGTAAGGAAGCCAAGACCTGGAGATTTAAAAGTGATGATGTCGCCTCCTCCAACCAAATAAAATAATAGATTCTGCAGTTTTAACCATTGTCAGATTTCACCAGTGAAGTACAGATGTATACCTGATTTCAATAATACCTTATTGTACAGATATGTAACACGACAGCAGGTTAGAAGCCTTTACTGTTGTGATTAGTACTCCTCCTTACACTCACACCCGCTGCAGCTACAAATAGAAAAGAATTAGCTCTTGCAATACTTGTTGCCTTTAGGTGGCATAAGTGTCAAAACTGCAGGAGCTGCTACTTTTCTAGCTTGTCGATGCTGCTCTGCGGCATGTTTATTTGTAATTCCAAACTGCTGCTGAACAAGTGGTCTAGTCCTCTAGGTCCAAAACTGCAGGCCTGATACTGCAGATCTTAAACTGCTGGTGCTGCAGCTCTGACTGGACCTGTTTCCAGGTGCTTTACATAAATGAAACTGCATGTCCTTGATATTTTGTTGTTGTTGTTGTTGTTGTTGCAGTGTTTATTTTCCATCTAGTGACCTCTGTGGCTTAGTAAATGGAACGTACCACCATAGCCTCCAGGCACCAATATTTCATAAAGACATTTATACAATCATGAGAGCACGAGAGAGCCAGGAAACATATTATAAAATGAAATCTCCTGTTTACACAATGCATGGCGTGTGTCACTTTGATTGTTTAAGCCTCACTGTGATGGCTCAGTCTATCACATTCACAGTTGAATGTAATAAACTGGGACAGCTGTCAATCAAGGAAACATGCCCTTCAACGCGATTCTTTTTAACTCTACAAAATCGCTACCATGATGAACATTCGATAAGGTGACATTAACTACAGACACCCAAAAAAAGTTACATTTGTAATTTGAAAAGAATGCAGCCTTATCGTATCTGGTTTGACCCCTTGTTCATAGTAGTTGCCTCTAGCAGAAGTATGTAAATTTCCTGAAAATAAAGGACCATCCTAATGAGCTCAGTCTGCTCAAAGGCACAAATCTGTGATCCAATTGTAAACAAAGAAGTCATTCTCATGAGGAAAAACTAAAAAGATGGAATTTGAAGCTTCTGTTTTTGCCAAATTCTCTGTGTATAGCAGACTGCATTTAAATCAGAGGTGTTAATGTTTTCTGATGCTTTTCACTACATCAGTAATGTTTTCAGAGAATTGCAATGCCGCTGCTTTTCATCTTCATTTTGCTGTTCATAAGAGAGATGACTTTTTTTGCCTGATTGCTTAGAACAATCATGGTCTTATGGAGCTTTGGGGTTTGAGGCAGTGTGGGGAATGGCTGCAAAGAGAAAGCTAGCTAAGTGAACTGTAAAAAACAAGTAGAGAGCTTTTTTTTCGCCCTGCAGCATCCTCATGCAAGCTGTAGCATAGGTTACCTGGTTCACAGCGTTCAGCCGCTGTCCTCATTGTGAAAATGTGTCAAGATGAACTCGGTTTATTTACCAATTGGGAACCTGTTTTCACTATTAAGAATGCCAGGTTCAAATTTCAGGTCATCTTGTGTATGCTGACCACCTGTATGCCTGTACATTTGTGTTTATCTGTAACATTTTCTTTTTGTTTTCAAGATGAAGGAGCTCTGGTGAGAGCAGCACGAAACCTTGGCTTTGTGTTTTCTGGTCGAACTCCAGATACCGTCATCGTGGAAATAGTGAGTTGGATTAGACAAGTTTAATGAACGGCATGCAAGCGATTGCCCTGATGGATGGATCCACTTTATCTTTAATCTTGGCATCATGGTGGTCTCGTATGACTTCAAAGTTTGTCAGACTATGGCCCCAGACGCTGATGAATGTGTGATAATAATGGCGAGGGTATGGGCTAAATCCAAATAAAGAGCTGTCTTTGTGAGCTGATGTCCTATATTTAAAAAATGTGTTGTAACTTTTATCTTACAGTAATTTTGACCTTTCATTAAGGCTATTTCATAAGCACATCTATACTTTTAAAAATGTACCTGTTCTTTTTTGTTTGGACTCTCGTGACTGTACAGTATGTATGAAGCTTAGCTTCGCAGAAAGAGTAGAAACAGGCAGAAACAGTCAGCCAGGCTCTGTCCAAAAGCATCAAATACACAATACAATCAAGTTTCTTGACCCAAAGCAATTCCCACCCAGCAGAGACTCCAGGAAGTTATTGCACCTTGTTGAGAAACAGTCAAACACATAACCCCAATAAAGACCACAACTGTTGTTGTATCTTTACCCTCATTAACGGATTAAACAAAGAAAATATAACGTTGATTATTGAGCTTCAGAGACTGTGGAAGATTTTGTTCCAGTGTACCTTTGGAGTCTGCTTTGGCCTGCTGTTTCCCCTTGTTTCCAGTTTTTATAAAAAGTTAAGTGAAGATAACCTGCTGCTGGTTCCAGCTACGTATTTATCATACACCCCCAAATTTTTTCCCATGAAGTTGTACAGTTTCTACAATCAGTAAATTGGCTCTGGGCAGTAAATTAAGTAATTAATGAACAATTTCTTGTTGTTTTGCTCAGATGTTCCAAAACAGACCTTGAGCTAAAAGTAATATACATAAATCAGTTTGAATTCACTTGGGCCACAGTAATGGAAAATGACTAATGCCACATTTGCTGTGATTACATCTTGAGCTGATGCAGTGTGTCCTCTCCAGAGCTCAGGTCACCCATCCTGTTGTTCCCTTAATTGGCTAACCTGATGATTGCACTCAAAAAGCCTGAGGTGGAAAGGCCATTTTCATTTTTTTTCCTTCTGGTCAGAACATCTCGTCTCCAAGACGTCGGTCCCATTTCTTAATCTTTATTAGACCTTCTAAAGCTCTCAGCATCTACTTAATCACTCTGTCTTGTACCTGGCGGTCTCTACAATTAAGGAAGTTAATTGAATTTTACCTTGTTATTCTCCCTCCATCAGCTCAGTGCAGGCAACTGATAAACACATTTAAAGTGCAATTAAGGCTGATTGGAGGAGGATGGTGGGGTTGGCTTGTGCTACTTAAGATAACTTGTCTCAGAAGACTGAGGTGTCTCCTTTTAGAGTATGTTAACTTGCATGTCTCTTTGATTTAGCTCGGAACAGAGGAAAAGTATGAACTGCTTCATGTGCTGGAGTTTACAAGGTACTTTTTTGTTAACAGTTATCTTTATTACTAATTTTGTTGAGTATGTTTAGCACTTTGTTGCCCATTTGGACTATAGATGTGCATAGATGCATTTGATCCTTAAAATAATTATATCAAAAATACTTCAGCTTCTTTATACCCTTATGATTTGTACTAATTAGTTGTGTGACTGAGGTGTAATATCTTGTTACCACCTCTTAGATTTTTTTTTAATTTCATAGTTTGTTGTAGCAGCCCAACACCTTGTAAAGTAATTTCTCTCACTTGCTTTCTCTCCTTTATTCCACCTTCTTCTCTCTTACCCTCTTTTTTGACGTTTTGTCTCCTAGTGTGAGGAAGAGGATGTCAGTCATCATGCGCACCCCATCTGGGAAGATCCGCCTCTATTGCAAAGGAGCTGTGAGTGTCTGTCTCTCTCCATGGCAACGCATGACAGCCCATCACCATCACTGCCGCACGCACACACACACCCAATTGTCGAACGCTCTTCTCCCCTTATTGCCTCTTGCTCATGTCAGGAAATCTTTTCAACGAGCAGCAGGATAAAGTGAGATCACCGCATTTCACTCCACACGTGTGGATCTCTGCAAAATACCAGACACACCAATGTTTTGTTTTATATGACAGCACTCACCTGCCAGACTAGATTCAATCCACACTAGCTCAAGTATCTAGAACGTCCTGGATAGGTGCAACATTGTACAGTCAAAATAAAACAATATTTTTCAGGGAATTTTGATATTCTGAGACCGTGTTTCTCCCAATTTTGTTAAGACTTCAGCCCAGCTCGCAATTGAGAGTAGATTACAGTGTGTATAGTTCTCCCTTGTCAGGTTTATCATTTATTTATCAGTCACGGCTGTAAGATTCTAATTATTTTCCTCAAAGTAGATTAACATTGAGTTTAATGGTGACTAATCAAACACAGATTTCTGTTTTCACTTGACAGACTGGCTTATCATTTTGTTTTAGTTTGATGCTAACCTCACTGAACTTTCATGTAATTTGATTACTGATAGCACGTGATGGTTAATTATCAAAACCCATTACGAGGTTCAGTTACATTTGTCATATATTAATTCGGACAAGTAGCTAAAAGGCCATTCACATTTTAGTGGAAACATAAAGTGTTACTCATAAGGGCTGCATCCAGCCTAGGAACTGCATTTGCAAAGTAGCACCAGAAGTCCAGGAGGTTCCTTTCTTTCCTCTCTGGGTGTCAGTAACCAAAGAGTGTTTGTTTCCCCTCAGGACACAGTGATCTATGACCGTCTGGCAGACAGCTCGAGGTACAAAGAGATCACGTTGAAGCACCTGGAGCAGTTTGCCACTGAGGGTGAGTGGACACACATCGCCCCCTGTCTGCCACAAGTAAAGCATTTTTTAGGATGCTCCTAGCATACTGTATATGCATTCCTCATTTATTGCTGGTCATATTCCTTACCTGATCCTCTGTTGAAGAAGCAGAACAAGTTTTGTTTCCATAAGAGGTTAACTCCTATGTCACTATTTAGTGAACAGTGAATTCAAGTGTGAGTCATTTTCAGGAATATTAGCATGAGGCAGTGGAACTGAAGGAAACGACACCAGGCGCTTCTTCTTGTTCTGTGTTCATACTGCCCCCTTGTGAGACACCACAAAAATGATGTCATTTGGAATATTTGATGTCAGCTAAATATAGCATTCAGGACAGATTGTGAAGAACTTCAGTCACTGTAAAGTAGAATGAGCTGAAATAAGGTGGCATCCTTAGGCTTTCCAAAAAATATAAAAAACACAACTGAATATTTAATGTGTCTTAAATGCTTTTAGCATTATGGACAAATGTACGATTTATGATTTGAAATTTGGTCTTTCAACTTGTTTTTGTTCAAATGAACTACAAAGCCGATGTAGGGACCCAGTGCACATATGTTATAGATGTGTTACTGAAATCCTGATCAAATGGTCTCAGAATTTTTTTCATGTAAGCTACTTTGAGTACTGTATATGTACAGCACAAAGTAAATGTCTTTATGGGTTGGCTTGGCTGCAATAGTGAAGAAATAACTATAAACTATATGATATCTGTAGTTATGATGTTGGCTGTTTGGTAAAGAATTTATTCTGCCATGGTTTTGTCTTTCTCTAGTGGCAGGAACTTTGATCAAAAACAATAACAAAAAAAGAGATAAATACATCTGGTGTAGATAACCAGATATAATTTGTTATTCCTTGCCAAGTATTCAAGTATTTGTCCTGAAAATAGCATGAAACCACAATATCCTTTACAATTAATATATACAGCAACAGAAATATACATGCACAAGTACACATCCATCACCAAATAACAGAATACTGCACTATAACACATAGTAGATTCATGGAGGTACTGTTCATGCTTTGCAGTGTTCTACACGGCAGCCACCCACCAAGTTCTTTCAAAAAGTCACGACTGATGGATAGAAATAATTAAATTTATTTGAACTGTACAGTGAGTTCAACAACAGTTACCCTACAAAAATTAATCTAAATGACATGCCTCGTGCAAACTGTAGAGCTTAGTTTAGTCAACAAATCAAGTTTTCTAAATGTTAAATGGTCGGAAGTCCTGACATTTGAACCAAGCTTTGCGATGCTCTTTTTAATCTTCCAGGGCTGCGCACTCTGTGCTTTGCGGTGGCAGACATCAGTGAGTCGTCCTATCAGCAGTGGCAGGAGATCCACCACAGAGCCTGCACATCCCTGCAGAACAGAGCCCTGAAACTGGAGGAGAGCTACGAACTGATAGAGAAGGTTTGCTTCATGAATTTGTGTTCCAGCGCCATGACCCTGTTATGTTCCCTAAACTAAACATTTTACTCACTTTTCCAGTAAACCTGATAAATGAGAAGCAGCTTTTCTTCTGGTTACATGCTGCATTTACTTAATGACCAGGGTTTCATGCACACCATCGTTTTGATAGGCTCGGGCAGAAAAATCTAACTAGGCACAAACTCAAATGTAACTAATGGGGAAAGTGTAATCATGCCTGGAAACATTCAAAAGTTCAAAATTGTGTGCATTTTTGTGAGAGAGTTTCAAGCAGCAGGTAGATTTGGTTTTGCTGTGAGGTGGGTCTGTGTGGAACCGTTAGTCAAACACAGGAAGCCACAGCTGTAAATCAGCTACTTGGCATGTTCTTCATGGCTGCTGCTGCTGCTGCTGCCTGCCCAAAACAAATGGAGGCAATCAATCATGAAATAAATATAAAAGCTTTCAGAAAGGAAAATGTAATGTGCATTGCCTAATGAGAAGAGTGTGGCACTGCTGCTGCCAGGGTTTGGAGTTCATTGCTGCTTGGGGCCACCCACACCTAAAAATGAACACAGTGAGACCACAGGGGGGCACAATGGAGTTGCAGTGAAAATTTAAGGTCTGGCATTCCAAAAGTGTGTGAAATCAGTCATCTGAAGTGACTCATTCACATCATTTCTCAGCTAAAATGCTCAAGTGTGATTGTTTATAGTGTCCTGACATTTTTCAATGAAATAAATGTCTTGATAGTAACTGCTTTCTGATAATATGCAACTCTCGTCCTTTGTCCTGTATTGGAAAACTGTTTCACTTTCTTAATAACTAATTCTTCAATAGATTGTCAAAAGCTAAAGATGATTTTCACGAGCTTTACAGTGGTGTGGGTCAGGAATAGGTTAATTAGTGCAATCCTGACTTAATCTTTCACTTAAGTGACTGTTGAATTTTTACCCTTTTATTGTTTTTGTCTGCAGTATGTCAGTGTAAAGTGAACACGCAGCAAAAGTCCCTCATTGACTTAACTGATTGGTTTAAGCTGCAATTTTTGTTTTTCTGGACTACTTGCACTTAACGCTTGGCCATCTACCAGTAAGTTAACACAAATTTCCAGGAAGACCATCAGGAGGCCAGTGTTTCTGGTTTATGCAACACATCACTCTGTTTCTTACACTGCAGCCCCAGATTGTACAGTTCTAACTTTTCTTTTTACACATTGGAGACAGCGTAGCATTGAACTGCTGTTGCAAGAGGTGCTTTCAAAGAGTTACAGGGACACTTATCTGCAAATGTAACCTCCTTACATTTTGGTTAACGTACCAGCACCAGACAGAATCTCCCAGCATTTGGTTTGTCGTCCCCCCCCCAAGTGCTTCTCATATCATAATCCACAGAGAGTGCCTTAAATAACAACCGCTGGAACAATAGAACGATTCACATCAAAAAGGCAAATGAGGACTCAGCAGATATGGACATGTTCTTCCCCAGGCATGGTTTTCCGTGCTGTGTGGTTCCCATTGATTAGAGAGGACTGAACCACAGACGTACAGGCAGCAGTGCTCAAGTCACAAGTGAAAGAGCTTCCCCAGCCTTTCCTCCTGTCTCCCTTCCTACCCCTGGGTCTTGTCAAATCTATGGCCCTGTGATGGGCCCATACAAGCCCACAAGCAGCCCCAAAGAACCACAGAGTTTCCTGGGAAAAAAATTCTACCGTATTTTGTGGGTGAGCTTGTGTTGGAGAGATTGTATCTATAGATGCACACACACACACATACACGATCACACACAGGGCGCAGTAACTGATCCAAAACCCCTTAAGCCCATGGTGGGTTTTCTGGGTGATAAACAAGAGCAGCTGATGAGGGGAAAAACACAAGTGAGTGAGTGACACAACCCTGGCTCAGATGGTTGTCTGACACATGATGTTTTAAAGGCCTTCCTCTGTTATGGTCTGGACTTACTGACTTGTTTTTACTGACTTTCTCTGCTGTAGAACCTGCAGCTCCTGGGGGCCACGGCCATAGAGGACAAGCTCCAAGATAAGGTGCCTGAGACCATTGAGACTCTAATGAAGGCTGACATCAAGATCTGGATCCTGACTGGTGACAAACAGGAAACAGCCATAAATATTGGTGAGCAGTTACATGACTTTACAGTCTTTGAGGTTTCCCATGGATGCTGCTCTGATGTTGATCATGCACAGTGTCATGTTGTTTTATGGCTAAAATTATTAGCAGTAATACTGATATTGGTGCAGTTCTTAAACAACTTGCACTGGAGAATGTGCCTTTTAAAATGCTCCTCACATAGAGGACAAATCTCAAAAACATTACATATATTCAAAAAAGAAGTTCAAGTTCAGCTCTGCTACCAGCTGCCAAAGAGCAGATTGATGCTGTAGCTCCTACGACTGAGTTAGCTATTAATGTGAAAGCTGTGTTTTTTATTAATGCTGCATAGCACACTCTCGCTGTGTTTGTGCACTTGCTCTCAAACCAAATGGAAAGTCACTGGTGAACCTGATCTGTGCTCTGCTATAATGTATGCCAGCCTCTTGCAGGTACTGAAGTCAAACTTGTAGTCATTCTTCACCCAGCAAGACAAACTACTGACAAGCTGAATGTTTCTCTGTCACACATATCTAGCAAAAGCATCTGTCGCAGAATGCCAGATGATGTATGAGCCCAGTGCACTGACATGAAATAAATAACAGGCATATGTACACAAGCAGGCACCTCTCACGTATCTAGCTCTCCCACAGGTTTTAGTCTCGCAGATGTTATCAGAAAGGTGAATAACTCACGCTGCCAGGCCATTTCAATTCATATTCCTCCTCCTTAAATGGCCTCGGCATTACAGATTTTAGATGTGGGGTAAACACCACAAATAGATCAACCCCGGGTATGGCAAACTCTGTAACACATAGTTCAGAAAAATAGATATCAAAAGTACCTCCGCTTGTGGCTATACCTACCACTGTGGCCTGACTGAATCAGCCCTTTGTGCCCACTGTACCCAGATGTGAGGGGGCTCAGCAGAAGCTCATGCTCACTGCAAGTATTTTTACAGGTCTGCTTTTTGACTGAGTTGCTCTGTAAAAACTCTGCTCAATATTGACTTTGTTTTTTACTATTTTCCTCACTGAAAGACGATCTCCATTGCCAAGGTTAATGGTGCACCTTTTTGCCAAATTTGACTGATGAATTCAGCCCAGGACAGTTTGATCTTTTTTTATTTCACATTTTGCGGCCTAAATCACACAAATGCTACGTTTGGTACAAATTATTTGACATACATGCTGTTGATTTTACATATTTACTAAATTCTTTGCTAAAATGCTTGTTTACTAAGCATGCTGGGTTAGTTTGACTGCCCTTAAGCCTGAAACATCATGACATAATGTAAAGTTACTTCTCTGAAAGCATGTGTTTGGCTGCCTAAGGCAAGAGCAATGTTTGCTCTGGGACACACTCGCAGTGCTGTAAGCTGTTGGTTGAGGGGAGTTGTATGTACGTAATGCTTAAGACAGGTATGAGCCAAAACTCAGTGAAAGGAAAGAGCCTGCTGCATTGCTCACTTTACTAATGTGCTGTTAAGTTTGGCCAGAGGGTGCATCATCCCCTTACGCAAAGAGACATTAAGAGTAAACACAATTCCTTATCTGCTCACATAAATATGAGCTTCCACTATGCCTGCCTTTCCATCTTATTTTTATTTTTTTTACCAGGCCAGCATTCTTCATTCTTCATGCCTCCCAAAGTCCTCGTCAGCATGCTATCCATTCTGAGGGCCTCCTGTGGCCAAAATTTGTATCTTTAATTATTGCTCCCAAGGCAACATCCCTGATTACTGTGACATGAGTGTCGTTGTTACACATTCCTCAAGTCCTGTGGGAGCTGTGTCTAGTTCCGCCTGAGATGGAGAAAGGCCAGGAATGTAACTTTGGCGAAATAAAAAAAAAAAAAAAAGGGCAGTCAAATGAGCTCAAGGTAAACACATTAAGCGGAAGGGCTGTGGCAGGAATCGACAAAGGGGGGGAAGGGTGACAGTGTTGAGATGGGGAGACATTTTCCACACATTGGCAAATTTTTGGACGTTTGCACCTTTGCACTTAAGAAAACAATCTGGCAGAACCCAGACCCCAACCCTGTTTGGTTTTGACTCTAGAGGTGAAACTTACTCATTTCCTCTGTGTGTGCACTATTGTGTTCAGCTGTGTGTTTTTGAGTGTTTTCTATATAATCTTATCTCAGTTTCACTCGTAGAAAATGCCACCCATGCATTCACAAAACACAGGCTTTGTGGTAACTCCCCTTAAAGAAACTAGAATCTCTTTCCAGACAGAAGCAAAGTGTTGAAGCCCACAAATATTCGTGTGGTTATGCCACAGATGGCAGCCTTTTCATGCAGCCACAGCACTACACTGAAGGCTTCAGTCCTGGTTCACGAAACATTTCTGTTTTCCCCAATGGGAGGCTGCCTCTACCACCTTGCTGGTGACCCTGAGCATCTGTCCCAGCCAAGAGCTGAGAGAAAAGCTCCCCAGAGAGCCATGCTGGGTAACTCAGAGTTGTAACTGCCTATTAAAACAGGAAACTGACAAACTCTTGTAAACCAAACTCATTAGTCATGTCCTGAGACACTGGCTCTGAGCTGTAACATTTTAATTGGTGTCCCTTAAAATTTTGTGTTGCTCGTTTGATTTTGTTTTCTTTTTTTTTAACTTTTCTTTTATCTCTTTAATGTGTGTGTATGTGTGTGTTTGGGCCCCAACTTGATAGGTGTCACATAGCAAAATGACTTAACAGAACGAGAGTTTTATACAGATATAGAACAACAGATAAAAAATATTTTCTGTCCAACTACATGCTTATCTTTCAGTCTTCCTAATTCTACTAAATTCACTCTGTAAACCTTCTTCTGTTTTACTATAGGACATTCCTGCAAACTACTGACCAAGAACATGGGCATGCTTGTGATCAATGAAGACACTCTTGATGTAAGTATACAGGATTTTTTTTTACCCACAAATGATTGAGCTTCCTTGGGGACACAACTAACAATGCAGCCAAAACACCTAAAGCTCACTGTGGTTCCACAAAATCTTTCAATAAATCTGTTGCTTCTCTTTAATCTATTCATCAAGCTAAAGTGTGATTCAGTCGCTCTTTTAAAATGCTAAAAATAAAAGTGGCGTAACTGTCATTTGGCTCATGCAGTCGGAATTTCTGCACTTCATATCACTGTTGCTACATCTGCGTTAAAGATGATTATCGCCAGAGGTCAACGAGCCTAACAAGAGCTGAATACATTTAAATAATTTAGTGAACTGCACAATAGCAGACAAGTGTCATTAATGCTAATGCTATGGCAGATTTTGTTCAAAAAATAGAACAGAATCTTAAATCAATCAAAAATTCTTCTACAAAACTGTATACAAGTTCAAGCAGTTACAAAGAAATACTTTCAAATACGCCTCGTGAGGACAGAAATATGATGTGAAGACATCCTTGAGTATAATAATCCCCTCGTGTCCTCACTCCATCCCTGTGAAAAAATACTGTCTTGAAGCTGAAAGAATGAGGCCACAGGGAAGCTTCCACATAAAACCACCACACATCCTGAAATCTGCATTCAACATCTTTGAGACACCCAGCAGAGAAGTGTGTTGACCCCCCTGCAGGAGAGCCTTGTCTGTTGTTTCTAAGATTGAAAAGGGCAAGTCCCTGCACTTCCAAGCAAGAGAAAGCTAAGCAGAGGAGCCGCAGATGGAGGAGAAACTCGACTGGGTTTAGTTTGTTGGACAAGAAGGGGGAAATGGCGAGAAGAAGTGGATGAAGGAGGGGAAAGCAGCAGGGGGGTGTTTGGGGGTGATGACGGACGGCCTTCACTCTGTCAGCCAGTCGTTAAGCGTGATAAATGGAGTTGAGGTAGAAATTTGGGCCCGGTGCATTCATAAAGCACGCAGACCAGTGCTTTGAAATGTCAGCTTCTATTCTGCTGTGGTTGAACAGATGCTTACATAAGGCAGTTTGTTAAAACGCAAAGGGAGAACCTCTCCACCAAGACTGAGGATGTACAGGGAACAGAGGTCCAGGCAGCAGAGCCGGTCGTTCTGAGCGCTCTCGTGCTGCGAAAGAGAGTAATTGGAGCATGTCTTCCTTCTTTGCTGTGTTTAGAAACGATTATCAAAGGGAGGACAAAGTTTTTGACATCTCCTGTACTAAATCTTACTTGAACTGAAATTCCCAAAGTAAAACTCTGTCTCCGAGGTAGGATTAGATCATTTTGAAAAGCTTTGTCTTCCAGTCAGTGTGTTTAATCATTTTGAGAGTAAAAAGCGCTTTTTAAGCATTAGTATATTAATCTTCAGTAAGCACAGTTACAGATGGATGGGACTAATTATTTTTGTTGTTTTAAGGGAAAATGAATTGGAAAAATATCATTTGTTGCGCAAACATGGTCATGCTTAGGTGTTGTTTAAATGACATATAGGCCCAAAGTATGTGTCCATATAGACTTCTAACTAAGGTGGAACATCCCCTTTTTGGGTGCCTCTGAGTCTAAGACAGATGATGACATTACATCAATACAAATGTCCAGATTCCACATCATGAGTGTCACGTCCTGTTGGCTATATCACTCAAGTCCTATATCAACAATGGAGCTCAGTCTTTATGGGAAGCTCTTGTGGATTTCTGAATGGACGCCACATACCCATTTCAAAACCAAACACTAGCTAGTCACATAGGCTAAACTGGTCATTATAGCCATAACAAAGAGGCTTTAGGAGGAGACGTGTAGCATTAGTGCTAAAATTCCTCAGAGGAAATTAGGGGGGAAATGGCTGCCCTACTTAAGGAAATGGTAAACTTTGCTTATCACACTGTGTGATGAATTGATTGTGCCCCAAGCAAAGTGAATTCTTTCTCAGACATGTAGTATACCAGCTTTTACTACAGCACTCACACTGAGATGCATCTAAAATCACTCTGGTAACTCAGATGGAGTAGTTACACTTGAATGTATATACCACAACCTCTGGCTATTCTGGCCTGAACACACATGCGGAAACACACACCGGCCTGCCCACTGCTCACCATCTCGTGCTGTTTTACAGACCCCATCAGGGATGGCTAAGTCCTTGCAGCTGCTCTCTGCTTGTATCCTCTTGCTCAGTTTCTCTCCTCTGTTAATCCATCATCTCTTTCTGTGCGTGTCTCTCACTCTCCTTCTCTCGCTTTGTGAAACGTAAAGCCCCTTTCTCCAAATATTTCCTTTAAGCTGGGGTTTCAGAGTTTTGTTATGCCAAGCGAACACTGCGTGGTCCCCCTGGTACAATCTGACTGCTCTGACATATCTGACCTCAACGCCAGGCCAGACCCCTCTATCCCTCGGTCCTGTTAATGGCCATCATTTTTAATGATTTCAGCTGTTTGGGCATCTGTTTAGCACATTAAATCCAGTACATTGCATTGTATATTTGCATTTTGTCTGCCCGTATATTATTGAAACAATTTTCCATTTGCACTTATACTTTTTTTCAATACAAGTACACCTGGATATGAATGATACTATTGTAAAATGTTCTACTTTAGTTACTTTATTATGCAGTTGTTACAAATGTGTTTGATTTAACATTTTTAAATAAAAATATGCAGTGCATCTACGCGTCACTCAGATAATGGTTACATATAGATTTTTTTTTTATTTTTGCATAATGATTTCACCATCTGTGGTGAAGATGATTGAATAACAAATACAATAATAATCTCACCACTCCATCCATCCAGTCCACATGCCCATGCACCAGGACAGTTAATCCTCTTGTCAGTCTCATATTTATACCTTTTCATCATCACTCACCATCAGAGCTGTATACACTGTAAAAGCAAACATGATCCATTCACAGCACTCATCTATGTTATCACCTCAAAGCTGAGGTCTGTGTGTAATAAATATGGGAATCATAATAAATATCTAAAATATCAAGAGCAGCTGTTCTGCAGCAGTAAGGGGTTTGCAATTTTAGTGGACAGATCGACCGTCTTTACACTAATATTAATTGGATTTTAGATGAATAAATATATAATATATTTAGAATCAAGATGAATGAACATTAATATTTTGAGGAAATATGAACACCATTGTGGAGTCTTCTGGTGTAGCACTGCAAAGTGTATCGGCACAAGTAATGAAGAAAATGTATGTAGCTATTGTTCAAACACTGTTTCTTGCTTCGATTACATTAATACAGTGCATATAGCAAAATGTTTGTTGTGCATTCTGCTACAGATCTTAATCTGCAAATTACAAAAAGAAAAATGTCAGAAACTTTGAAACATAGGAACTTCAGACCAAATTTATTAAATGTCATTGGAAATACAAGAGATGTAACAGTTCTAATGATGATTAAAATGTTTCACATGAAGCACACGACACATTTTCACAATATGTTTTTATGCTATGTCTTTGTATTGTGATTTGTCATCCATACAAAACAAAAACTAATTTTGCTTTACAAGCATAATGAATCTGTTATTCATACATGCTTGTCTACATTTAATTAATTTTGCCAGTGTAACAGATGGTATTGCATTGTATAATATTTTTTGCATTTGTTAATTAATCATAATGAGCTTGCACATAAGGCTCTTTAAAGCCAATCCACCAGGGCAGCATACCTACTTTTATCTAACGACAGCGCACATTTTCTCTAACAGCTCTAACACTGTGGGCTTGAAATTAAAAAAACTAATTACAGCAGCTAATGTTTGTGAATTGTTCTCCATCACACAGGGAACAAGGGAAACCCTCAGCCACCACTGTGGAATGCTGGGAGATGCCCTCTACAAGGAAAACGACTTTGCTCTCATTATTGATGGAAAGACTCTGAAATACGCCCTTACGTTTGGAGTCCGCCAGTACTTCCTGGACCTCGCCTTGTCCTGTAAAGCTGTCATATGCTGCAGGTAAGATTTACCCCAGAAACAATCAAATTAACCTAACAGGAGAACAGTCAGCAAGTAGACCTGCGGCGAACGATCGATTAAATGTTTGGTCTATAAAATGTTTAAAAATAGCAAATAACTGAATAAATTAGGTTGCTTGTGCTGTCAGACCAAATCCAAAAAGATTCACTTCAGAATTATTAAAACACTAAAATAAAGCAAAATCTTACAATTGAGAATCTAGAAGTAGATAATGTTGGGCAATTTACGCTTAAAAAAAAAAGTTTAAAAAAACTCTGTGGTTGAACTACAAAGTATATTTCTTTGCCACAAAAGTCATCCAGTATTTTATTGGCAGCAGCTTAAAAAGTGCGATAGCTGTAAATTTCAGTGGTAACTTTCAACATTATAAAGCTACACTGTTGACCTGCCCAGGCCACATAAATAATAGGAAGTACTTAAGTACTCAAGCAACCATGACGGGGTCTTGGGCCAGCAAACCTTTAGGTGCCATACGATTACTCCGTGCATTACGTCAAATTTGTATTTATTTTTTCCCCCCTTCCTCTACCTGCCTCGGCCTTTTGCACACTCTGTGGGCACTCAGATACGCCGGGAGATGAATGAGGCCTCTTAAACCACGGAGAACATAAACATTAACAGCTTCACAGCTAAAGACAGACATGCAGTTTACAGCATCATCTCCAGAGACTGTCTTTACTGTATGCTACGCTGATTTTGGTGCACAGAGAAGAAACTCCTGTAGAGGAGGCTACATAAAGTTAAAACTTACTTATGTGTCACAACTAATGATTGACTATAAGTAATGAATTAAGAATGATTTTGCGGTTTAGAGAATATGACGTGCAGTATTTGCAGCAGTCGGTTCCAGCTGCACATACAGTGCAGTTATTCTTACTGTCAGCTTCATTGTTGCTACACTTCATGTTGCAACATTACAAAGTAGATTTATTGACTTTTTTGACCCTAATAACTGAAAAATGTCCTTACATGAAAATGAAACAGAAGTATGCCAAGTAGTTTAAATTGTTTACAAGCATGAAATGTTCATGTGGCACAACTACATCATCAATAGCTGATTGATTTTAGTCATTAAGAATTAATTAAACGGGAACCACGTGTCTAGAGAAGGCGTTTCAATTGATTGAAGGAGTTACAACGTTGATACTAAGGAAACTGCAGATAACCAGCTGCTTCATCAGATGCATCATTATGGAGATCTGTTATCTCTTTGGCATTAGAGAATCTTTCCCTGTTGATGAGTGTGAACAATGACAACAGATTTGTTTTGACTCAACGTACTTGGCTCCAGCCAAACAAAATGAAAACTTCCAATGTGAACATAAATAGTTTCATGGACAGTACAGTCTTTAGTGATAGGAACAGTCTCCCATTGAGTCACTCTTGACTTTGTAGTTTCTTAGTATGTTTTGTAAATGCAGCTCCAGTTTTCAAAGACTAATATTTTCCCATTTTTAGTTCTTGCTCATAAACACAGATCTGTTACATGTTTGAGTAATTACCTGTAATCTGATATTTGTGGTGTTACTGCTCCCTTTTAGAGTATCTCCTCTTCAGAAGTCAGAGGTGGTTGAGATGGTGAAGAAGCAGGTGAAGGTGATCACGCTGGCCATCGGTGACGGTGCTAATGACGTCGGAATGATCCAAACAGCTCATGTCGGTGTGGGAATCTCAGGCAACGAGGGTCTGCAGGCAGCAAACTCCTCTGACTACTCTATTGCCCAGGTGAGGAGAACGGCAGGACATGAAGTGAAGAAAAACACAACACGTTCATTAGTAGTTGTGGATAGAAGACTTAAGTATATTCAAGACTTTTAGAGCTGACTAATGTAAAATACACTGCTGTGGAAAGGACATTAAACAAGGAACCTTTACTGGAATACAATTATGTACATAAAGTTAAAACCATAAGACCAGGCGGTCAAAATTATGCACTTTTTCAGTGTTGAAATGTGTTGTTAGCATGATCAGAATATGTTTGCTTTGAAGCTGCAGGTGCATGTCCTCATTTTGGCAGCAATACACTGATATTCGTGCTCTGTCCTCTGAAAGTCAGATTTCACAAGTTGTCAGTCCTGTCAGTGTCTTCTCAAGTGTAATATATGATAGCCTGGCACATTGTTCTGAGTAACAATGGGTCATATGTCTGAAAGGGCTTTTGCTTATACAGTGAAGCAGGAACACCTGTAAAACAGGCATCTGCTGACACCTAACTCCCAACACAACTATACAGAAACAGATTCTGGCAAAATGCTACTTAAATACACACTTACGTCCTCGTAACCTGTTTGTCTGAAACTCTGCATCGATATGTGATACTTGTAAGCAACAATAGCCACGGAGTTCCTGTGTCACGGCTCGGTTACACAGCATGCTGCTCGTCACAACATCATGTTTCTGTTGCAGCCAAGGGGCTTGAGAGTATGGGAAACCAATAGTTGACTAAGACACAGTACACTTTCTGTGCTTCAGTATGCAATTACTAGTCAAGAGACTCGGGTTTGTCTTAAGTGCCCCCTTCAATCTACATGACATAGAAAGTGTAAGTCTTTCACAAACAGGTGGCCTCTTATAATCCATTTAGGTTGTGTCCCCACATCAAATTAAATTACACCTCCAGACATCCACTGGTACTTTCCGCATCTCGGTGTTATGCTACATTAAGTGTAATTTGCCGACTGCAAACTGAAATCAATCCTGCAAAGTTGTATAACGTGTTTGTTTTTTTTGTTTTTTTTTATTCCTTTACATGATTTGTATTAATATTCTAGACTGTCAGATGGGCTCATTGCTGCTGGAGATGATTGGGCAGCTAGTTTCTAAGATTTAGTGCTTGAAAACTAAGAGCTATCTGTTAAAGCAAGTGGAGAGTACAGAGGCTTCGGGTCGAGGCACCTCTGCTGTCCGTCTGTCATCAGCTTAGATCTGTGTTAACTGATGTTTGATCCAGCCGTTGGAGGGGTCACACAAACTGGGGGCCGCCACTGTGCTTTTATTTCACCGAGGAGTTCTTTGGTGATGCTGAAAGACGTGCAGGCCTTCAAATAAACAAACTTGTGTTTCTCTCAAAAAGTTTCGCCCTGCTTCTCCTAACCCCCACTCCAGTTTCATAGGCATTTTTAAGATTTTTTTCTTTGTCGGATGGCAAGAGGATGTGATGAAACACTTGCTTTAAATTTCTGCTTCAGTGTTATCACGCTGGATCAGCCAGGAATTGCACTGAAATTGAAAGTTCGCCGCAGGCCTTAAATAGTGGTATAATTATGAGGCCATTTAACTATTATGTTGAGCCCTTGGAGACCAATACCCCCATATGAACCCCTCTAATTTCAGCAACTCAAAGCTCGGCCTTACAGTCTCTGCCTAGACATTTCTGGAATGTGTTAGTGAGAGCTTTGACCACAATGCCTCATCAGTCCTTTAGCCCTCTGCTGGGGAATGACAAAAGACTTTCTTTAATCTTGAAGTTCCTGTAACTGCTTTAGTGTTCCAGCGCTGATCTCTGATTATGAGGAGCCATTAGAGAGTCTACTGTACACAGACTTGTGCTGTTCATTCATCTTGTCGTTTTCCTCCATTTACTTCCCTCCCACACAGTTCAAATACCTAAAGAATCTGCTGCTCGTCCATGGAGCCTGGAATTACAACCGTGTAGCCAAGTGTATCCTCTACTGCTTCTACAAGAATATTGTTCTCTACATCATCGAGGTAAGTCCCACACTGTAGCTCTCCAGACTAAAAGTCACCCAACGAACCAGATATGAATGCAGAGCTTTGACATTCTTTCCCCAAATGACACAAATACTATGTAAAGGAAAAAAAAATCTTTATTAGAATTTCCATGTCTGTATGTCTGTTGACGGGGTCCTCATGTTATGGGCCAGTTTGTGCAGCTTTTGGGTGATTGGTTTGAGTTTTGACATAGCTGAACATACACAAACAAACGGGTCCACTCACAGGCATATACACTCAGTAATGAAGAGAAATCTATATGTAATTAACAGGAATCCTGCCTTTAGGAAGTCCTCACTTTATTGGGGTTTCCCAGAATGTTAATCCAGGAAGTTCATCGGAATAAGTGTGAGGTACAACCACCCCACGAGAGATCCAACCCATTTCTACTTATTCCCTACAATTACAGGACATTCACTTTTACCATTGTGCTGACAGAAGTTACAGATAAATATGGTTATAACACTAAAAATGCTAACGGATACATGTACAGTGATTATGTCCAAGCAGGTAATGACATATTATTAAAACAAAGCTTGCTCATAGAGGATCCAGGGTGTCTTTGCATTTGAAGGATTGTCATGTATGTGCTTGTAGTGTCAAAACTTTCTAAATTTGTCAGGCTACTCTCCATAATTACAAATGCTGTATCAGTTAAATTAAGTACCTTAATTTAATATGTCATAGAGTCGTATGTTATTACAGTAGGTTAGGGTTAAGTAATAACACTGTAAGGTCTCAGCCTTAATATGTATTATAGTTGGTATTGTATAGTGGTATAGTAAGTAAAGTAATGTTTTTGATCATTTATGTGGGGTTTTAACCGCTAATATGTAAATTACCAAAGTTAAATTAATCCCAATATCTAAACTTGATAGTTTAAGTCGTAACACCAATCATAGTCTTTTCTATTGGAAAACACGTTGACACAGTGACTGTTGTTTTTGCTATACACAAAAATGGTGTCTTGACTAATAATATTGTTATAACTTTGTATCAGCATCAATATGTGATAATAGTCTCATATCATATATCTTACTTTTTCAATTTCATTGAAAGCCTTTCTTTTGTTTGCTAAAAAACAGTTTAACAAAGCATATATTCATGAGGGTTTATGTAACATGTTAAAAGTGTAACTTCATTCTGATGTTGAAAATAAGATTGAATGACAAGACAATAATAATCTTGACCTTTTACTCCACCCTGGAATTATTAACTTTTTATTATACCGATATTGTTTACAGACACTCAACCCTTGCTCTCCCTGCATGCTCTCCCTGCATGTCTGAGAATAAGGGTTATACGTTTTATCTCTGTTTCTCCCAGCATGAGTCAGTTGGTGTGCGGTGGGTTTGATGGCATGTGACAGATACCAGACCCCTGTGCAGATTGTAGGTTCAGAGCTAAAACCAAGAGTGACCAGACAGGTTAAGTGCTTCCTATCAGCAGCAGCTGTATCACTGGCAGTGCTCAGATGTTTTGATCTATAGGCCATGCACTTGTCTGATGACAGTAACTTTGCATCAACTCAAAAAGTCTAAATCAGAAACTGCTGAATGTTTGATGACACTTTGCTCCACACTACACACCAGGAGGGTTTAATAGAGAGACAGTACGATAGTGTATTTATTCTTTTTACCTTTCGAATTTGGAGCCATATGGTCATAAAATGTGCTGTTAATTGCAAATGAAATGCCAGTGCATTTCTCTGGTGCTTAGGTAGTCGGATAATTAATTAGGTGGGAACTTCATCACTCACGCTGAGTGTCTTTGGCTACACCACACGGCATAAATTAAATATAAACAAGACAAGTGAGGACTTAAATAGAAAAAAAAACCCCACAGCATCAGGGAAGAAGGGAGAAGAATGGAAAAAGACAATGTTTGTGCTGTTAAATGAATGGTCCCTCCAGCTCGCTACACTTCTGTTGTCCGGGGGGGATGATTTACACTTTTCCACTGTTTTTGCTCATGAAAAGGGGACAATTAGGAGGGTGCTCCCTGGCCAAGATCAGCTACATGTTTTTAAAATATCATCACCACATAACCTGTGATGGAAATATGAGCACTTTAAACTTCTCTTTTGTTCATCCTCTTTCTATGATACTTGACCTGTGATCCCATTTTTCATCCTCATTCTAGTTTATGTGCCATGAAAAATCAGTAGACTACGTTTAACATTCCAGCATGTCTGCTCCTGGCTTATTGGGACCTGAAGAAAAAAAGAGGGTAGTTGGTCTCCTACCAGGCTGTAACTGCAGTTATTAAATTATTGCAACTGTTCGATTACGTTGCCCTTTTCCAGATAAGGTAACTGCTAGTTGCATATCCAAGTTCAATTTCAGCAAATGTAATTTTCTGTTGGCAAAAACCATTACGTTTGACATTTCTTCTGTGCCTGAAAATTGAATTTTCTTTGTCTGTCTGTGTTTTGAACCATGTTTCCAACCTTGCAGTGTTTACCTCACTCGTCAAGTTCAAAGGAGGGGGCATAACGTCTGATGTACTTATTTCTCTGCCCTTCATTAGAATTCTAAATGTCCCTGCATAATGGTAGAGCTCACAAACACATCAAAACCTGGGCCAAATTCTTCTCCACATCCGTTTTTTTGTGCATGCAGCTCCAGCTCCACTTTGAAACATACCAGGTCCCTTTTCAAAGGTCTTTTCCAACAACTGGAACATAACATCTATAGTTCTGTCTGCAGGGCGAGCTTCTTTCCAGCACACCTTTTGTCGCCCTCTGAAAACACAAGTCCCCTCCCCCCATGCTACACTCCTTCAGGGGTCTGAAGTAGATAATGGGACATTTCTTCACTGTTTGGCTGCTTCAGTATTTCAAATGTCCCTGTTTTGTTAGACCCTGACATCTAACACACCAGCAACCCCGGGGTATGAGTAAAAGCTGCATTTGTTGCACTAATAGGTTTACTTTTGAGCTCACATGTTTTTCTTTTCGACTCTCGGCCTACCTTGCAAGGAGAGAATCGGGGATGTTGACGGGAATTTTAACTTTTTGTTCGCAGCACCATTGTCCTGTACAGTGTGAGCTACAATTTGAATGCCAGGGCTGGGAGACTCTGTGTTTAAGCCTCTTTTCATCTCCCTCTCTTTCCTCTGGGTCTTATAAGAGACATAGAGTAGGAGGGTGAAGGATTCTTGGGCTATTGTGGCAGACGTGAATGTGAGCGCAACTTTAGTCTGAAGCTCTTGGAACAATTCAGGATTTTCTGCGACTCACTGAGGGTTAATTGTGGGCAAGAATGTAAGGCTGTCACTCAGTGGATGATTGGCTGACAGGTGGAACTGCTTCACAGCCTTTCTTTTGGCTTTTCTGATCTTGTTGATTGTAGTTGGCATTTCTTTTCCTAATCAGTTCCTGAGCGGTTCAAGTGTAGTCACGCTCGAGGCATGACTTTGTGTTTGATTGAAAACGGCAGCCATAATTATTCAAATATTTCTTAAACAATGTGCCTCGTAACTTAATGAACTTCAGGCATAATTCATAGCCTCGATTTTGTAACAAATTACACCCCTGAGTAGAGAATAGGAGTGAAAAGGGTTGAATCCAGGCGCATTAACGTTAAGAGACCTTTCTAAAGAAAGCCATAGCAACTCAATTCAAATGGACGATCCAGCTGGCCACTCAGGTTTGATTGACACATTGCCAGGGTGCTACAGAGGGGGCTGATGGACAAGTGGCATTTATGAGGCAATTACATGAAAGCTGCATTCAGTGGAGCTCAGTGTAGTCAGAGAGTAGCAGAGCAAAGCCTGCCAACCAGTAGCACAGAATTAATCCACAGAGGCCATGCCTGGCATTGTAAGGCAGCTTCTGTTTGTAGCTCCACATATTTCCAGCATATTTATCAGCTTTTTCTTTACGTCCCTCTTTATTCTTTGCTTGCTTTGTGAATGAATTCTATTGGAAATTCTGCTAAGCTTAAGAGTATCAGGACTCTCATTGTTGGGGACAAATGTCAGACTCCCTCAACCCCCCAGCCACTTCTAGACAACTCTGCAGAGCTGCAGAGAAGCCTTGGATTCAATTATTTTTCATTTGCTGATGAATATGCAAGTCGCCTTATCGGCTAGCTGCTGCCCAATCCTCCCTTTTTTTTTTCTCCAGCTCCCGCTTCCTTCCATCACTGTTTTTCATGATGTGCATTGGGGGAGAGAGGCCAGCCACACCCCTCCGCTGAGTGGCACTCAATGAGGAGAAGAAAAGGGGACGAAAAATCCTGCCTGGTACTTCCCCTAATGAGCAAATCAATGCATCTGTCCCTCAAGAGACAGAAAGAGTGAGAAAAAGAGAGAAGCTATTGGGACCCCGAGGACCAGGCCAAAACACTCACACAGAAGCAGTTACCACATGCTATGAATAGGAGCCTTTTTTAACTTAGCACAACAATATATCAGCCCAGAGCTACTCATTGAGCGGAGCTGTAATTAATTCAGCAGTTTGACCTACCCGCTAGCCTCTCGTTACCATTGCTTGAGCCACGCTAATGGTTGAACCTGCCTCATGGCTTGGGCTTCATCTACACATAACCCATAGCAACGGCATCTGAATTTATTTCTCGACAAGCCAAGACCAAAAACACCTAAGACTATTGTTGTGTTGCCAGAAGATGTACTGTATGCCTTTTGGATTCAGAACTGCTTGGTCCCAGATTCAAACAGGACACACTAGATGCGTTTAAAACCAGGCCCCTTCATATAAAGAAACAACATCATGGTAGAGTGCACCTGATGGAGTCGAGGGTGGAATCTGTGATGGGTGGGTGTAGCAGAGGAGGGAGGGGTCGGGGGCAGAATCTCGGGGCTCACACATAAGCACAGGCTTCGTCTACCCCTCCCAAACTACCCATGGAAGGAACGAACAGGGGTGGCTGGGTGGGTGACATTTGTTTTCATGCATATGCTTACACGATTAAATGGGCAGCACCAGTGGCAGATTGGTATTGGTCGTGTAGACAGTGGCAGCGGCGGGTGGGGCCCTCAAACAGGCTTTGTCCCAATCTGAGAATTTGTAGCAGTTCATGCCTTCATAATGAAGTTAAATGAAGCGAGGAAATGCTTGGTTGGCCATGGCCAAAACACAGCACCCCTGATGTTCCCTTGACAGTTTTGGCATGAGCAAGAGCCCGTCCTGGACCACAAAGTGTCAAATTGTAACACAGCGAGGTGCGATTTTTTGATTCACAGTACGTAAACAATTTTCAGGTTGTGCAGTCAGTTTTACTTCAGGATGTGTCCGATGGATCTGCTTTACAGCGACTAAAAATTCATTCATGCGCCATTTTTTCCGACCAGATTGTATCTTTCGCTTCACTTGCATGTTAGAATATTTTATTTAGAATACCTGGCTTCTGTCTTGATCTCAGACATTCATTTAAGTTCTGATAAGTATGACAAAGATACGGTGATAAGACTCGTTTCCACCCAGCAGATGGTTTACATTACCTCTGTCTCCCTTTCCTGACACAGTATATCAAAGTCTCCATCATTCAGTCTCACAGACCTACTCTGGCTCTACAACTAGCCTCATCTGTCACCCACATGTCGTTGGATAGGGAAACAGTATTAAGATATATGTTTGGAGGTAATCCTGTGATGAATCCAGCGGACAATTTGCGTCGTGGAGGTGGCATCTGGAGGTCTTTGCTTTCCCAGTGTCACTCATTTTTCCTCATTTGGCCTGTTTTAGCCCATCTGCCTTTCCTCAGTTTGAGATTTAGCTGAGTTAGACTAATAACACGTTGATCACAGCTCAGCACTCCACACTAAACCACATTAGTTAAAGGAAATATTTTACTTCCCTGTTCTACTCCTGAAACAAACTGTGTTGCAAAATGCATCAACCTTGCACTTATTTTAATGATACATCAGCAGGAGCTGTTCTCCCTTTGATCTGTTCTTTTTACGTAAACGATAGATCCTGCAGTCTCAATCTGAGCTCTCTGTTGTCATAAGACGGTGAAGAATGTAGTGTGACAGAAAAATGGATTGTTAGTCTGTAGACATACTGAGCCTGTCTCGAATCTTAACAATGGTAACCTCTTACCCCCACTATATCTAATGGAAAGCATGTACTGACAGGGCAATTAGAAAGACTCCTGTATCAAATTCATGTTCAAGTGCCTTACAGAATAAAATGACTGGAAGAGGGGAATGCAGGTATTTTAGACGTGAGAGCATATTTGTGATCATGGTTTGCCAATGAAAATAATTAACTCCTCAATACAAACTATATTATAAATCTGTAAGTACATTGCTTTCTGTTCTTATTTGGCTGTTCTGACATTTTCTTTGTAATTTTTGTCTTTCTTAGATCTGGTTTGCATTCGTCAATGGCTTCTCTGGTCAAATTCTGTTTGAACGCTGGTGCATTGGCTTGTACAATGTGGTGAGTGTAAAAAAAAATGCCCACTTTACTCCTCTACTTCTGTCCTCTCTTTGACACAGTACTGACTTGCTGTTGTGCTTCCAAACGGATCCCTTTATTGCATGATTATGTCATCAACATCCTGAACAATTTTTCCTTTATTTATGACCTGTTGTCAAGTCCATATTCCCTCTGTGCCCTAAACTATGTAATGAATTTGAAAGAACAACAGCTTTGCTTGCCCCAAAGAGTATAGTTACTCAGAGCAGCTATGTATAAATGATAAAAGAATAGGAAGACTGGAGCAGCAAGTGAGCTGACTACTGATGCAGGGAGTCCCACAGGGCACTATAGTAGGGCCACTCCTAATGAACTCATATTTCATATCTGTCATGAATTAAGTAGAAGGAAAAAATGTGCATCTGTAGTCTGATCTTTAATTCCATGCTGTTAAGACCACACTGACTTGAAATGTAACTTTAAACTGTTCAATAAAACAAACTCAATTCAGTCAGCAAAAATGCATGAGAGAAGTGTGAAGTGAAATTTCCCTGCGCTCCCGATACATTTGAGGTGCTGATCGGCCTCAAATGGAAGTAATTTATGGGAGGGAAAAACTGTCAAGTGAAGAGGACATTTCCCCAGCCCTGCCTCTTGCATTATTTCATAATAAACCCTTAGAACCAGTACTGTATTAGGGGTGGGAAGAGGGTTCAGTCTTTTACTTTATCCAAAAAACTCTGGGAATTCCTCCGCTCAGTGGGAGTCTGTTGGAGGCAGTGGGCTGAATCCGCCCCTCAATGGAGATCTTCCTCGGCTTGGCTCTGAATAAGAAAGGAGTCCAGTGGAGCATGTCCTGTGGCCTGCTGGTGCTGCAGACGGAGGCCTGCACACTCCCTCTCCAGATGGGCCTGCAGGGAAGTTTCACCAACTGACCCACTGAGCCCCCCCAGCCACACAATACCATCACTCGTCTGTCAGCAGCTGCTATACAGAACATTACAACACCACTAAGAAATTACACTTTGGCCAGACTTAAATACCTGCTTCTTAGTCAAGAACGTCGCAGATGTTCACTGGAGATGGGTTTTGCATATGAACGGACTTGAAGCATGACAAATCAAAATAAGAAATCCCAAAGGGTTTTAAGGTCAGTGATCTTCAATGATGTAAACCTAAGAGTGGAGCAAGTGGAGAACAGAGGGAAGCAGATTCTTTTACAAGTTTAATATATGGAGGTGATGGGAATGATGAAGACAGGGAATACCATTAGTTTGAACGATTACGTATTAGGTTCAAAGTCAGATGTTTAAATGGAAATCTTCTCAACGGAACTTAAAATCATTCTGTATTCAACTCAGGTTGATGTTGTTTTTGTGCTTTGTTTAAATGTAGATCTTCACTGCTTTGCCTCCGCTCACTCTGGGAATCTTTGAGCGCTCCTGCAGGAAAGAAAATATGCTGAAGTATCCTGAACTCTACAAAACCTCCCAGAATGCAATGGGTTTTAATACCAAGGTAGGTACATTTTAACAGTGTTAATGGCACAGAATCAGATTTAAATACTATCAGATTACTTTTTTTATCGCCCTCATTTTAATGTTTGTGGTGCAGCAGTTTGTGCTGTTATCAATTCAGTTCAATTTAGTTTCATTTTTATATTAATAATTCATGAAACAAGTAATCTAAGAGAACTTTACATAGTAAGGAAAAGACAATATTACTGTATAAACTCATAATATTATATTAAAGAGAAACCCAACAAATCCAACAATTCTGTGTGAATAAGCACTTTGGTGACAGTGGAAAGAAAAAACTCCCTTCTATCGTTTACTTTCTTTTTTTTTCTTTTTTTTTTTAACTTATTTTCCTGATTGTCCTGTTTTTCTGCTACACACCATAAATCCTTTACTGCAAGTTATCCAGTTTCTCTCAGTATAATGAAATATTGCACCATAGTTCACTTCAAACCTGGGTTGTCAGGAAGTAGTACTTAGTTTCCCCAACTTATTTTCTAGAAGTTATTATGTTGCTAGGGTTTAATTTACTATTTAAATGCTGTATCACTTCTGGAAGATGACTACCAACAGTAGAGGATCAGTAAATACCATGTTGGCAAATTTTTAATAAGTCAGCTTGCTTTGTGTGACACACAACACTCACAAATTTAGTATAGTTGTACTGTATCATCACAAGTTGAGAAATTATTATATGCTCTGCCAAAAACATAAAAAAGGTAAGACGTTCCAGCTTTTACAGCCAATTAACATCACCTTAATGATGGGAGACGTTCCTGTTGTGTTGCTGTGATGGACCGAGGCATCTCCCGTGTCACTGACCTGGCAGCTGTAGCTACTGGCTCTCCGGCCATAGCCTTGCTTGGCCCGGCTTGACCTATTCTGTCTGGTCGTGGGGGCTGTCCGTTAGCTTTCCCCCACTGGTAATAAAGTTGTCTCCTCCTTTCTCCATGCTGAGCCACAGACTCCCAGACCCTCCTCACAGGCGTGGTGACCTGGTTAGCACCACATGGAGGTGGATTAAAGGCGGATTGGCCATGGTGGTCAGGGGCAGGGAAGGTCAGATAGGTTGGAGGGGGGAAGCAGCAGAAAGAATTGGAATAGAGAGTGTGCTGTCATTGTGTGACGGCATTTGTTGCGGAAAATTATGCAATTTGTTTAAGTGAGGCAGTTGTTTGTTCTCAGAGCAAGGCTATCAGATCTCATTTAACACACACAGGAGCTTGTATCCAGTGACGTTCAATTTAGCCACTTTTACTAACCAAGAACTCCTCACTTCTGTTAAAAGGGACAGAAGTTTGTTGAAGAGTGAATGCAAATTACTCCAAATTCCTTCTGAACAACAGTCTTCAAAAAATTCTGACCCTCAGAAACACACATTTAGTGGGGATCTATTTCAAACCAAATAATCTTTAAAGTAATTCTCTAGTTTTGTCTTTGATGCTTTTCTTTTTCAACTGTTTAAAATGCAACACATTTAAAAGCGTCACACTCAGATGTGGGAAGTAATGAGATATGTTTTTTCACTGTTATTTATTTATTTTTGGCATTTTATACAAAAAAACCCTAATTATTTTCTATTATAATCATTAATTCTCACACTGTTTTTAATAATTGTAAACAGAAGAGGACGTATCTCCCAGAGCTATTAATGAGAAAAGAAGAAAACAATTTAAGATTGTCATGTTAAAGTGGATTAATTAGCATACTGTGGATCAGCAGGTAAATATGCAAATCCACTTAATGAATGAGAAGAAATGTAAGACCGTTTTGTAGAAAAACAGATGTTTAACTCTAAATCAATGCCTTATGTTGTTTGTAGAGTTTTCGAAGGTTTTGCCTCAGACATCATCTTTATTTTGTTTATTATGAACTCTACTGTAGATTAGAGGTACATGACAACACATCTTCTGATGTAGTTGTCCAACGATTTGTATGAATCCTGCAATAGGGTGGATTTTCCCTTCTTTTAACTTTTTTTGAAGACTTCAATAAGCTATTCAGGCCAGAGACGGATCACAAAAATATGCGTCTGATAGTTTAGAAGCAAATGAACCTCAATTTTGTTTGGGCCACGTTTTCCAAGGCCCATAAATGATGACTCGGCCAGGTCAGCAGGTTGTTTTTGCTGGCTTGTCCACTCTTTTCCCGAGATATTTTCCTTGCAGCTGGCCCGAGGCGAGGCGAGAAAATCCAGCAGGAATTTGGCCCCTCGAAGCCTGTCTTTCTGCACGCCTGGCTCTTTTGTACACAACAGATACTGTCTTTGTGAATTAAAGCTGTTTGTGTTGAGGTGCGAGAAGGGAGAGACTGAGGGTGTTAGAAGCTCAAGGCGTGGCTTCTGCTATGTTGCCCATTCACTTTTAAATACATATTCCGGACACTTAGGCCACCCCAATAAACTGCGCTCCCCTTTATGTAGACTCAGTAATTGCGGCAGTTTACCAGCAACTGTCACCTCTTATGCAGCACCTTTCCCTCTCTTCTACTCTTTTTTTTTTTTTTTTTCCCCTCCTTACCTCACTTGCTTGCAGAAGCAGGAAGGACTGGGCAGCTCTGGAAATATTTGGCTCAATATTAATTACTGGCTTTCATGCGCTTTTTTTTTTTTTGGCAATTAGGACCTTCACAAAGGGCCGAATCTTTACAGGACAGACTGAGCATTCATTCGGCGGGGATCCCTAGCAACTTGCTGGGAAACAAGGGAAAGAGAGTTGGGTGGCAGGAGGGGTGAAAGGGAGGATCCCACTGTGACAAATGATTATGAACATTTATTGATTTCATTAGCATTCATTACTGTAGAGAGGAAACTGGGGCTGCTTTGCACCCCTGCAGTGTTTGGGATGGGATAGTTGAGGAGGAGGCTGATGGAGAGCTGAGCCTGTCAGTGGGAGGCTAATTGGCATAAACATGTGATTGTAACATTAGTGATAATTTAATACACATTTGACCACGGGGATGGAGGCGTGGGGGTTTACTTTTGGCCACCCTTCACTCAGTGTATTGGGTTTCGTGTACACAGTGGGAGGGTGAGGTAATCCGGGGTAGGGGGGCGGCTGCTATAGGACTTTGTTTAGTTGATAGGAAAGGTGAGGAGGTCGTGCCACTGAGGCCAAGGTGTATTATAAAGGCTCATAGTACAAATTAGAACTTTTGGGACTTTTTCCCTTTGCCGTACCCTATTCTGCCTTCCTCTGCTTTTCTCTCTTTTTCACACCCTTTCCTGGCAGAATATTTGGAATAACAATACGACCTGAAGTAGAGCTAATATTTGTTCTACAATGACTGAAATCTGCATAAATTTTCAGTTTTCAGGGTGTCCAATTTGCCTCGAATAAGTCATGTTTAATGTTCTGCCGACAGGTTTGCTGAAGTTGTTGAAAAGGCAGTTTTTTAAGAAAGTGAGCCTCTAGCTTGTCATCTGCCAAGAAGCAGTGATTTAAAAAAAAAAGAAAAAAAAGAAAAGAAGCCAGAGATTAAAATGTGAGGCGTTCTCAGTTTTTATTTTACCTTCTCCTCCAGCTGCCGGTTACTCTCCAGGTTTGATGAATTCTCATCTTAGAATTAACACCAACGTCTGGGTCAGCACAGGGGGAGGAAAAGGAGGCATGAACGTGGAGCGTTTTTTTGGCAGAATAGATTTCACGGCTGTTTCATGCTACATCGCCCATGAGTGTTTTGTTTGGCTCTGGCGTTGCATAATGTAAATTTGAAACAAGGTGGTTTTGAAGTGGGAATATTGATTTAAACGACTCATCCAAAGTCTGCATGCTTGCATAGACAGACACACACGCAGACTGCGGTCCACACCACGATTTTCCAGGCCCTTAATAATTACCATGAAAACAGTTTAATCTCCGTCAGGCCTGTCAGTCTCCCTGTGTGTGTTTCTAGACTGATTCTTGCTTGTTTAAACTCTCCTGTCATTTATTACTACACCAGTTAAAATTCTCACATGAAAGGACCAAAGCCTCATGAAATGTAATGAGAGGAAACCCTCACGCTGGCGGCACATATATTGATGCTGTATAATGTTCTTATTGTCGAGGTGAGTACATGTATTAGTTTCTTATGCTCGCTACTTTTTAAATTTATCCGCAGCTGAGGTTAAAAAAAAAAACTACAAGTTAAAACCTGTACACTGGTATTGTCCACTTGCCTTTCACTGTTCGTACACACACTCAGCAGCCTCTCTCTCCCCCATAACACACACAGAGGATATACAACGTGTCTGTCAGCGGGGTGGCCATTGAGCAAGGAGGCCCCGACAAAACCGCCACTTAGCCTAGCGCTGGGCTGGCACAAAGGGCCCAGGTCAGGGGTCACTTGGAAAGCTGGAGCTCCCCACACCCTTTTCTCATGCTTTCTCTCTCTCTCTCTCTCTCTCTCTGTCTCCCTCTCTCCCTCTCTCTTATTGGAATCTCCTGCCTCCTCCAAACCCTCCCTACCCTCTCCTCCTCCTCCTCTTACCTCCTTCCCCTCCATCCCTCTTGCCTCTTTTTTTGCAGGTCTTCTGGGCCCATTGTCTGAACGGCCTCTTCCACTCCGTCATCCTCTTCTGGTTCCCCCTTAAAGCTTTCCAGCATGGTAAGTAGCTCCCAGAGACTCCTCCGCGGCTCTCGGCGGACTTGGTGGATAAAGAGAGAGGACAGTCAAACACACATACTTTGTCTTAATTAGTTCTCTCTTCAGCCGTCCAGTCATGAATTGCAAACATGTGTGCGCTCCGGTCTGAGCGACATGCATTAACAAGTGGTCACGTTTGCAGCAAAGACTGCTAAAGTGCTTTTGCATGCAGTTATTAACACTCAATTAATTTTTCATAAATCGCTCAGATACCCGTTTTCCAGATGATTGTTCAATGCCCGAAACTATGTTTAAAAAAATTAAAAATAAAAAATCCCAACAGTGTTTTTGTGTTTGAAAATAAATGTACTTCACAATAACTTTATTGATCCATAGAAGGTCATTTGTGCATGTTTGTGCACATTACGATGCAAGGTTTCTGTGTGTGTGTGCAGAGAGAATAGGGATCTTTGAGCCGGTAAGTCTTGGCTGGCCAGAGCTAAGGACCACACAAGCTTGGGCCTGCTCTCCAAACAAAGGCGCCAAGCCCCTTCACTCTGACTGACAGGCTGTCAGCAAAGCCTCAGCGCACACAAGACATGTGACCAGCCGGAAGTAAAGGGAAAGGGAGCCTCTCTTTCTTTTTTGTTACTGGCAGTCGCACACTGTTGATATTTCAGCCACAGCCCCAGCTCAAACCGTCTTGGGCATTTGGAAGCAATATGTCTGCGTGACTCACAGTTTATTTCAATCTTATTAAGTGAGGAAGTTTATAGAAAAGCGTTGGATTCCTTTGCAACGCCAGAATAATTATCAATTTTCTCAGAAAAACAATTCTGTTCTTTGTCTTTCATCAACAAATTAGCCAGAACATTTAATTTCTGACCATGATTAATGCACACCAATTCTGCTTGGATGGATTTTCATACAAACACTGTTTCTTAATAGTTGTGAAAGACAGAATTAACATTCCAGCCTCTCTCAAAGGACAGCAATGGAAGCAGCTTTTTGAGTGTGGTTTTCACTTTAAGTTCCCTGTTCCACTGCAAGAGCTTTACAACAAAGTTCACACTGTGATGTACTTAACGTAATATCCTATGTGTGCTGTGTGAAACCTTGAGAGCTGAAGAAAGACAGCATTGGCCCTAAAAGCCTTTATTGTTGATTCCCTTCACAGATACAGTTTTTGGCAATGGAAGAACTCCAGACTATCTCCTCTTAGGCAACATGGTTTACACAGTAAGTGCACCAATCTTCTTGACAGGCAGTTTCTGCTGTGTTAAAGACAGGTGTGTGAGCCAAGTGTTCTCCAATTTCAGTGAATAAACATTAGTTGTACTTCCTTTTCTTGCGCCTTTTCATTTTGCCTGTTGATACACTATATGAAATATAGTCTCAATGTAATTTCAGATACTTATGAAGCACTTCCCATGACCAGTTTTAGCATTGGATAGGGACATTCTTGGTTCAGTGATATTGTGATTTGTGTCTCCACAGTTTGTGGTCATCACAGTTTGCCTTAAAGCCGGCCTTGAAACTTCATCCTGGACCATGGTAAGTTGAACCCTCTCTTGCTTGGGTTCTCTTATCTCTTTTCAATTCCTCTATTTTATGTGGCCCCTGATACTTGTGACATATTTTACATCTTCTTCTTATCTCCAAATCTCTTTATGGTTTGTTCTCAATGGGCTTTTAACTGTAAACCCAGTGAAATGATACGTATGGTAAATCCTTCAGGTAAACGGATGACTCTTTATGTTAAGTTTACAGTCCAAATTACAAAACGTGACAACAAACCAGATAGTAAACTTTCTAAAAAGGTTAGCCCAAATACAGTGTCAATAAACAAATTCTGGCAATGCTCAAATCTATACTAATACAAAGCCTAAACTTTTGCTGTTACTTTCCTGTCCTCTGATTCTCCTCTACCAGTTCAGTCACATCGCCATCTGGGGAAGCATCGGCCTGTGGGTGGTGTTTTTCATTATCTATTCCTCCTTGTGGCCCCTCATCCCTCTGGCACCCGACATGTCAGGCGAGGTAAACACACATTCTAGCATGTATTTGTACTCATGCTTACGCTCTCTCACAACAACACCTTCCTTGCAGTACTAAAACAAAATTGCTAATATAATCATCTATTTCAGACAGATCAGTATCACCTTATTATTCATTTTCTTCAGGGAAATTCTGGTGGGAAAATTCAGAGTTAAACTTGACACAGGTCTTTGTAAGTCGAGCCAGAGGAGTGTAAACTGTCAGACCTCTGGCTTGTGTTGCATAATGACTAAATTGGGCCAATTTTCCCGGTGTTTGTGTTACGCTTTCCTCCCTCAGCTCTGAGTATCCACAGGTGACACTGAAACAGTGAAGCAGTCAGGAAGCAAAGCTAAGAGCGATGAGGGTGACTGATGTCTTATAAATCTACCCAACTTTCACCAGGATCAAAAATTGAGTTTAAAATGGCCTTTAAAATTCATTACTTTAAAAAAAAAAGAAAAAAAAAAGAAAAAATAGGCCTCTGAAGTGTTGTTTACTTTTTTCCTTTTTAGCAGTTGTTATTTACATGTGTATGCAACTTAGGTCTCTCTGGGTCACCACAGGTGGTCAATGGGAACCTATTAAACAGGTGACATTTCCTAATGCATTCCAGGGAGGAGGCTTTGTCGTTTTTGTCTTTAGAGAACAGAAACACAGTAGGAAGCTATTCAAAGAAAAGAGCTGGCATTACACAGCCTGCAGCAGAGGAAAATAACCCATCCCTTACAGTAAATATTGTCTTTGTCAGGATGTTGTGCAAACTGATCACTTTATAATGAGTATTAATGCCTCCGACAAGGGAAAATAACCGTTAAACACAAACAAAATCCCCTCTGAAAGTGTTTCTTGTCTCACTAGTCACAAGTATGGAAAGATCCGGGCTTTCCTACTGAACTGGAGCTCTATAACTCTTGTGTGTGCCATGTTTCAAATAATGCGTCTGGCATTTGTGTAGTTGGTAAAGTGTACACTGTAACACAGTTTAATACTGTGCTGTTCGATTGTTGGTGGAGTTCACACCAGTGGAAGAGAAACATCAAACATAGAAGTGAGAGAGTTGCCTTCAGCTCACAAGAAGGGTCTTTAAATGAGACATTTTGAATGGACATTCCTGGATTAGGGAAGTAACATTTTTATTTTGGATGATTTATGATATTTTTTCATTTTTCAAAACAGGTTACCATGATACTTGGTACAGATTGTTATATAACAGGTCCTCCTTGATAAAGGAACGTATTGACTCATTAAAAAAACAACTGAAGTGTAGAGCCTTATAGGAAGCAGAATTTAACTAAAAGTCATAGTCTATAGACAAAAGGCATCATTTCTTAATATGATGAAGTCAATTAAGTTTAACTTTTTGCAAAATAAACTGATTTCCATTTCTGGTTGGTAGTTGGATGAAAAGATTGATGCCACTCTCGGACCAGGCTGTAAAATTTAGTGCGACAGCACCAAACAGTTGGTTTAGTTTAACATAAAGACGCCCTCTTTGGAAAATCAAGTTTGCTAAGACCAGATAACAGAAAACTTCAATAATTCTGGAAGAAATTCTTTCCATACCCTATTGAAATGTCCATATAGTTGTTTTGTTTTTTTTATATGCTAGAAGACAAATCATGACCTAAACAAGAAGTGGACGTTGTGGCTGAGCGTTCCTGCCTTGAAGCTGCAGTGTACCAATAACCATGTTAAAAACATAGAGGGTTTCTTGTGTATGTTATGTCACAAACTTAAGAAACCAAGCCAGTCAGCTTGCAGGGTGGGGCTTTCTGCATCATTATTATTCTTTAGAAGTAGTTTCCAGCTCTAATATCTGTGACTAAATGGCTCCAGTGTTACCACTTTCTATTGAGTAGCATAGAGTAGTTTTACAGTGTTTGAGTAGAGTTGTCGGTGAGTGGGGAGAGAGGCAGGGACTTCATCCATACATTCTGGAGGAGACGTTGTTTTCATGGTAAAAAGACCCTCTAAATATGTACTTTTGATACACTGATTTTTGGGTCAAATTAATGACCGGTGAGGGACTTTAATCCTGTGATTTTATTCTCCAGTAACAGAATTCAACTAACAGTTATTCTAAAGCTCACTTATTAACACAACATGTCTTTGTTTGTTTAATCGGTGCTCGATCTGAACTGTAAAACCAACACCTCTCTTTTACAAAGGCTTATGTGCTGGATTACTTATTTGCCAGGCAACCATTAGAGGCTCCGGGAGGTTCTGTCAGCTGGTCCATGTTATGTTTGCAAAATGTCGTTACACTTTATGTTCATACAAATTTAACAATTGATATATAACATGTTAATCTGTGAGTTTTTGAGGTGCACGTTTTGTTACCTTTGGACCGAGCCACGATAGCGTTTTCCCCCGTTTCCAGCCTAAATGAACCAGTGGCTGGTTGTAGCTTCATATTTGCCATAGAGACATGAGAGTGGTATCAATCTTCTCATCAAACTCTTTGCCAGAAAATGACTAATGTTTCCCAAAATCTCGAGCTCTCCCTTTAGGGGCTGCAATTTTTAGTCAAATGTCCTTCATTTCTGATTAGTTGTGCTGGCTAGATGATTATGCTTGGGGAAGATTTTTGTGGCAGATTACAATGTAATTGTGTGCCATTATCTTGTCTGACAGACGCTTCAGCACTTCAACATTACTTTTGGCATCCCATAAGTCCATGTGGGCTGAGTACATGTATGTGCATGACACCATAACATAACTAGCTACACATGCACAGAAATGCTGATTGTTTTGTTCTTGTTCACTTAGTTACACACATGCGCGCACACGCACACGCACACACACACACACACACACACACACACACACACAAACACACACACACACACACAGAGGAGATAGGTATTGTAGCTTCATCCTATCCCCTCTCTGTGAAGCCTGATGCTTTCATCCATGCCCTACAGCACTTGACTGAAGACAGTAATGGTGTCCTGTGGGTAGTTGGTAACTCTATGCCCAGGCCTAACTCAGGGATGCCAGTACATCATCAAACAGGGACACATCTCTCTGAAACCTGAGAAGCCATCAGAGACACAATCTCCACTTCCAAGACCTTGTAGCCTCTGAAGAGCAGGATTATTCTCCACCCTGATGCAGCCCCACATATTTCACCACGGGCTCCCCACTGCGTACGTGAAGCTTCAAAAAAATATTTCTACTCCCCGTCCTTCCATCTATTTTCTTTTACTCTCTCAGCTTTTTTCGTCTGTTCTCTTTTTGTTCACCCCACCCCACCTCTGCCAGCTGAAAAAGTGCCTGAGGGCCCACAGCATAACAGACACCAGAACTCCCTTCTCCTCCTGTTTCTGCTCTCACTCACTACCCGGCTCACTGCCTTTAGCAAAAGACGTAAAGCAGCGCTCGGCTTCATGTGAACGCATTCATCAATGTCAGGCAAAATATTCTTTGGACGATTGACAAGACAGGTGCAGGATCCATCCACAACACACACTGAAGCGACTATTCTGCATTTCGCAGGTACTCCAAGACTGGCTAGATCCCAAACCACATATCTCATCCTGTTTTCACCCCACAAAAGTCTGACACAAATATCAAAAGAGAGCGTCAGATTATTCTGTTCAGGCAGTGTAATCTGCCACACTAAGCGGCTTAGCTTCACCTCAGGAGATGTCTCATGTACACTTTGTCACACTGACCTGCTGTCTGCTGACTTGCCGCTGCTATCAACACAACTGTCTCCAGTACACTTTATCCCGTCTCTCGCCGCACTTTTCACACACACCTTTGCTATTTTCCAGTTTCTGCTGCAAGCTGCAGCAAAGCACCTCTCCCTCTGTCAGACTCAAGTACTTGTCATCAACACATGGATTTTACACTCGACAAGTGCGCATCAGATTCTTCCACAGTTTCTGCTCAGCGATAAGAAACATTTTCTCAGAAAGAAAACACTTTACCGAGTGGTTTGTTAATGCCTAGTGTGCCAGGAATACACTCCGGGCTGTCAGTGCCAGTCTGTGAGAAGTTTATGGGATTAACAGGAATGAAAACACTTTTTTAGACAAACAGATCAACTTAGCTATTAATCTTTATCCAGTTTCACTTCAGTGTAGTTGTAGGTAACAGTTTGTCATTAGAAAGTCTTCTGACAAAACAGGAACAATTATCATGCTCGGTCTCTTTTCAAAATATATCCTTCAGTCCTCTTCAGTTCATTTCTCCTGCTTTACTTTGTAACTGTGGCACAAGCTTTCATAATGAATCAACCATCTTTGTACAAAAAAAATATAAAAAAAACAAAAAAAAGTTCAAGAAAAGTTTTTCAAAATACCTACATTAGGTCTTTATATGTTAGGAAAATCTCAGGGAAACTTGAGTGATATCAATAAATATCAACAAATCTGACTGACTGATGGTTGACTGACTGAATGATTATTGTTGTTGTTGTGTGGGATATATGTTATATTGATTTAAAAAAAAAAAAAAGAGAGAGAAAGTGAGCTTTTACAAGGTTGAATTTCCCTTCTGGGATAAATGAAGTATTTTTCATAAATAAGTGAAACACAGTTGTTTACCCAAAAAAAGCAGATTAAAAAACACAAGCATGGATGGATTTTCCAAATTGTACGTGGTCATCAAGTTGTGCAGTTATTGTCATTAAGGCATACATTTGTCAACAACTTATTCTTTGACTTTGCTCTTCCTAAAGGATAGTACCAGTGACTTTGCATGCTTTACTCCATTATTGTTGACAATTCTCCAAAGTGTAATGTTTTTTTGTGTGTATGTGTGATTTTGTGTGTTTTACCTGCCAGGATGTCACTCGTATCAGCTCACGTCAGTAGTTAGAAAACCGACCCCGAGAAACTTGTGTTATCCGTCATCTGTCTTCTTTAGCTGTCAGTTTAAGTTGTTTGTTGTGTCTTGCAACATGGCTAAAAGGAAATTTGAGATTGGAGAGTTAGTTGCCAAAATTCCCCAAAACAGCAAAAAGCTGTCAGTGATAGGTTTTTTCCCCTGAGCTATCGGGTTTGTAAATCTTTTAATGTAATCTATCAAGCAGTGTATTTCCCCTTTTTGTCCTTGTTTCACTTTAGCAGGCAGTGTCACTTTGCTGTTCATACAATAGTAGCACAAACATGACGAGAGAGCCTTTCTTCAGGATCCAGTAACTAAAAGCAATTAAATAAAGACGTGTTTGCACGTCTGGATCAGCAGTTCAGCATTCTGACAGTTTGTGGAACGGAGCTGTTGATCAGTCTGGAGGTTATCAGTATGATTGTCAGAACGACAGAGCAAAGTTTTTGCAGGAGAAAAAGTTTTCTGGTTTTCTTCCTGTCCTGCAACTAGTATCTGAAATCCTTCTAACTGTTCAACTTGGAAACATGAACTGTAAACTCTAATTGACCCTTTTTCATCACTGTGGCTGCGTCTTTACAGTCCTTCAAGACTCATGAGTCCGTGGTTTGAGAAGTGTTGTTCTTTTTTTCCTCTCTTTGATACTGATAAATAAACCCACAACTCAATGTTAGTGTCAAAGCAGACTTGAGTGCACAGTATAGGTTTAGAGAACAGTTTTAATTCGCTGTGCACACACTGTAAATCATTTGTGCGTAGTCGTCGGTGAGACTGCTGAGTTTTAAGTGTTTATGTAAAGAGTTTTTTTTCTCTGTTTTTCTAGTGGACGTCTTGCTGTCTTTGTTAGACGACACACAGAGAGCACAGAGTGGGAGAAAAATCCAACTGAGAAAGTCGTTGTTTGTTTTCTAAATTGACCTTCTTTGTAGTGGTTATTAGCTGATTCGTCTCCGCTAATGACATTTGTGGAATTTGCGGATTTGTCTTGTCTCAGCCAGGCTGCCTGTTTGCTCTTTTTTATTAGCTTTCTTGGTCATTTTTCAGCCGTCAGAGTCTTCTGTGCTGTGCCGTGTTTGGTCGCTGCTTCTCCATAACAAGCTTTAACGTTGTGTTTGCACAAGAAAGGCTGTTGAGGGTTAGAGCCCCATTTGGTTAAATGTATAGTTTCATCTTTAATTTTGCATCCCTTTCTTGAAACCAATCTCTGCCGTTAGTGCTGTCTGGTTCACATGGATAAATCAGGTTGACGTCTGAGACAGGATGCAACTTAGTTTAACCCTTCACCTCTACCGAATAAGAAAGCGTTAAACAAAGGAGCTCTGTGTAATCAGAAGGCCAGTGTGAATATTAGCATCTCTGAGATGTCGTACTGCTGGTAAAGTGTTATGAAGTTGGCTTTTCATACTCTGATTTGCTGAATCTAAAGTGTACTGAGGGCCTGCGGGGTGAATAGTGAAGTAGTGGATAACCTCAGCTCACATTTACCATCACAATGGGCGACATTAGCATAATTCAAGCTGCTGAGACTATGGGCTTTCTTAGGCATGATCAGCCAGGTGCCAGATTCCGCTGATCAAGTCTTCCTGGAAAAGGAAGCCTTCAACACTTCAGTTTGTAGGTCTGGTAACAGTATTCCTCTGAAGTTTTCCTCCAGACTTCAAGGATTTATGTCTTTTAATAAAGATGTATCTTTGATGTTTCGTATTTTTAAGCAGGGTAGATTGGCTGTACATGAATGTTTTTTTTCCCAGGAACTCCTTCCTCTAAATGCCACGTAGATACCTTCAAACTGCAACGTCCAACCAAAATCTAGTGTGTTGGCCACTCAGCTGCTTTACTGGGGCAGATGGGTGTTCAGCTCTTTGCCCACGAGAACTTCTCCATCCAGAATGTTCAGGAATTGAGTGACTTCACTTCCAGTCAGAAACTCAACTTCTTTTTTTTTTTTCTTCTTTTCTTTAGATTTCTGTTCGGAATTTTGCTTTGGTGACAGTAAATCTAGAGGGAAAGGGGTTTGACAAGCAACATATGTTCAAAGTACTAACCCTCTAAATCCTAAAACTTGCCCGAGGGTTTGAGATACAAATCTTGAAGAATGTATGACTTACAAAACTACACGATTTATCATCGTGACAAACTGTAAAAACAGATAGTAATTTCAGATTTTTAGTTCACGGGTCCTTGAACTGAGCTGAAAATTGACCTGTTGTAAATAAAAATGTGACAGGAGCAACAAACACCAGAAGATGCTTGGAGTTTGGAGGGTTAAAGGTAACCTGTGGATTAGAAGAACTAATGACAAAACTTCAGTCTCTTCTAGTGATCTACAGGTGACGGTTTTTCGCCAACATATATAGCAATGCTCCAGCAAATTTTAGGAAAGAAGTAGGCAGGGCAATGCAGGTTTTGAGTTTTTAAGTTGTGTATTACACCTCAAGGATGCAAACACAGTTTTCAAGAAAACTCCGTGAGACACCTTTTAGGCTACGAGGACAAAAACACAGGTCTCTGACCACCATGCTTTCACCTAATTTGGGAAAAGCACAAATACTCCAACATACATCTCACAGCAGCGTGTGCATTTTGCGTGTGCACATGTGCGTGTATGATTGCTTCTGTCTGTCTGGTCCTGCGTCTAGTCTGTCTGTGTGTGGGTGTGTGGCCATGAGGGGGTCATGGCCTGTCAAAACACACCCCTCCATGCCAGCGGACACTACTGTCTGTCCAGCCAGACAAGTTTATTAGTTTGTCCTAAAAATACAGCCCCGCTCCCTGGACCTCTCTCACCCCGTCCAGCTCCCAGGGGCCCCCTGGTATGAGACATCGCTAGCATCCACCAACACTGCTGGCCCCACTTGTAGTCATGGAATCTGTCCAGATGCCTGAAGACAAACATTTGTTGTTTGGATTTTGAGACTTTGACGTCAAATTGATGGGCTCAAACTGAATTAATGCAGTTTATTTAGGTCTAGATTTACTTTGTTTCTGTAGCTTTCACGGTTGTCTTCATGAGTTATTGCGCCAAATGTTGTTACCAGAATTATGGAATTTTATGACAAACTTGAGACCTGAATATACATGAATATTGTGGCTCAGAGTTATATATGAGGATGTATAAATATTGTTCATGTATTCAACTTGCAAAAGACATTGGTAGTTTATTTTTTAAGCTCTTTGACTGTGATTTCATATGCTGAATATACATCCCTAGTTTATTTTCAGAAGACTCTCAAGACAGCTTAAACACCCTCATTAAAATGCATGATACACTGAGTGAAAATGAAAATAATTAAACTGAAAAAAAAAAAAATGTTTCCACCAGGACTGCATAATTTTAAAATTGACATGAAAATATCCCGTGCTTGGATGCAATTTTCCTTCATCCCATACGTTTTCAGCCTCCAGGCGACAGAAAAGCTTTATTCATTCATGTCCCATCTCAAACTGTAGGAAAAAAGCCATTTTTGATTTCCTGTCATTTGGGATTTCCTCTCCCCCCGTGTTTAGTCAGACATCAAAGTCAATTTGCAGGTAATGGCGAACAGATTAGCTAATTTGAGCAAACCTGAGCGCTTTGATAGTTTTGACACTGATCTGTGTGTGTGCATCCTAAGGGCCGAGCCTGTGTCACGTTACAGGAAGGACGCCGTCGAGGGGCCTCGGCAGTTTAAACAAGTGGCACGTTACAATGCAAGGAGCACGAGTTTTGCACTTTGACACGTAATGACAGATAGTTTCAGTGCAGCGGGCCAAAGCAAACACGGTCCTCACACAGAAAGCTTGAAGTTTTTGCCCCCACCCAGATGATCCACTGTCTCCCCACCACTCCGGACCCAAGAACAACCTCATTACTCATGAAGTCACTATGAACATTTATAACTTAGTGTGTTAAAATAAAACATTAGTTGTAATTTAATGTAGCTCTGTGACAGCGAAGAAAATCATCCGCGTCTGAACTTTTAGTCAACTCTGCACTAATGATATGATGAACTGTTTTATTAGGAGCGTCTTTTTGGGGAGGGGTGTTTTGGGAAGCTGCGGTGGGCATTTCACGGTGTTGTCTGAAGTTTTTAGGCCAACAATTAATCAAGACAAGAATTTTGCAGATGAATCTGCAACGAAAATAATTATTAGGTGCAGCCCTGCAGTGAACCGTAGGAGTCAGAATAAAGCCAAAAATGATAAACACTTTCAGTAAGCTTTCTATAACCCTGCAAACACTTTTAAGAAGTCTGGAGCTCATCTAATGTGAGTATTCTCCACAAACATTAATCTCTGGAGTTAAATATCAAGCTTATACTATAGTAATTAAAGCTCTTATGCTTCAACACTCACTCACGCTGAGTGGTTGCTGTATTGAACGCATCATTAGAAGCACCTCAGATCACGGTCCTGGTCTCCTGTGATGTATCGACAGAAGCTCTCAGCAGCACACGGCTGAGCTGCTTTCCTTTGAAAGAGATACCACTGTCTGAATACATCGCAGCTACTGACTCCGCCCTGAAGGGCAGAGAGGTGGAGGGGGATCCAAACAAAAACATGGTATCATTTAGTCATGGAGGATTAACCCACTCTGAGGAAGTTATTTGGACCCATCTTCTCTGTGTCCACAATACAAGTGTTTAGGGCTGCTTTTGTCATGTATGTGTTTTGATATGTGGCACCACAGAGGATGGTTGCGCCTTATCAGGTGTTTCTCCTTTTAAAGAGCTCTTCTTTTTATCTGATAGGTAGTTGAACTCTGCATTGTCAACAGTGACCTGAGAATAAGTGTCTGTGTGTGTGTGTGTGTGTGTGTGTGTGTGTGTGACAGGCGGCCATGATGTTCCGTTCGGGGGTCTTCTGGATGGGCCTGTTCTTCATCCCAGTCACCTCGCTGGTCTTTGACGTGGCCTACAAAGTGTGAGTCTTCTCTCCGCTCTCCTCGCTCATCATCGCTCCAATACACACAGCGTACAGGAAATTCCTCCACAAGCTCCCCTATCTCAGAGAGAAATTTCAGCTACAGTTTTTCCCTCAGACGTCCACAGAAATGTAGCGTTTCCATCCTGCGAACGCTCCATGAGAAAACGTTCCTGCTCCGAGTCTGGTTGACATCAGCGCACAGCAGATTCAGGGTGTCAGGATCAATTTGCAAAGCTGGAAGTTTTATTTCCTGAGTTACTCCAAACAGCTTGAATTGGTCGATGGGGTGTTTTATTGTCAGTCTGTGGAGATTCCATCATGTTTAAGCATCTGCCACATGATTCTGGTTTTTCTAAAATATTGTTAAAATTACAGCGTGAAGAAGGCGTGTTTCAAGACGCTGGTGGACGAGGTGCAGGAGCTCGAGGCTTTATCTAAAGACCCTGGAGCAGTGGTGCACGGAAAGAGGTACGGTCACTCACCACTTCAGCACTCCTTGCTTTACGCCATGATTTTACATTTACACAATTATACTGAGTTAATGATTTATCTTTAAGTGGATCACAGATAATTTGATGAAACGTGGATGACAGTTTTGTCCCAATTAAAATTTCATCATACAGTGAAACGATGTGAACGATAATTTAGAATTCAAATAATATTTCTCCAAGATATCATTTTGGTCTCTTTGCTTTTGTTCTAATGTACCATTACGATGCACACATTCCAGTGTTTTCATGTGAAGCAAGCAAATTGGGAAACCCCATCTTCTCTGTTTCTTGTTTGTCAATGTGCATAAAGCCACACTTGCAAACTAGCAAGTAGCTACAACTTTTTTTCTTTTCTTTTTTTTTTTTTTTTTACAGCAACTTCCAGACTTTTTGCTAAGCAGCACTTTATTTGTATTTTCGTTCTTGCAATTTTGGAGACATAGGATATTAAAAAGAATTCTAGCAACTAAAATACACTTCTGTATGGACATTTATGCTGGATTCACTGAATATCAGACTTATGATAATAATGAACTTCCAACTTCTAAGTAGTTCTCAACATCAGCTTGTCACTAAAACTGAGAATGACTTTTCCTAAAGCTGAAACTTGGCACTTAATAACACAAAAGTGCCTGAAAACCGAGTAAACATGGATGTGATGTGAATGCAACATAATCCTCACCTGTCAAAAGCCCAACCTCCTGTCCCACAATCACCTTTTTTCTTTTGGTTTTTTACATTACTGCTTAGTCCTATACACAGTCCCAGGCAAAGCATATTTCTTGTTTCACACAAGATAAACTGAATTTTCCACCATTTTCAATTTGTGGTCAGCATTACGAGCTGTAGGCTATTTGAAGTCTCCAGTCACAGAACATGTCATTTACATTGATAAGAAACATAAATTTTGGTCAAATATCTGAGAAACTGTTTATGGGTAAAACAGCCAGATAGCGCTCTCTGTTTTTGGTTAATCCAGCAAATCAATTACATGACAAAGACATTTCATTACATTGATGCAAAATGCATGTAAAAATCATTTACTGCCATAAGGCAGTCTTTGTCATTGATTTGCAGCATTGCTCACATGGCTCACATTAACACTGCGGCAAAATGACAGATTTTATTGTCTCGGGATATCATATCTCACCGACCCTATCAGGGCTACATCCTTGATGCCTCGGCTATTATTCTGTCCTCTGAAAAAATATGGAACATTTTCCTAAATTCAAGATGAACCGGGAGGAAGAATCATCTGTATCCTCTCAAAATCCCTCAAAATGTCACAAATACTCACCATTTTACTGCCAAAAGCATTTCTAGGTGGAGGTTAGAAATCTTGAAATTGCTGCTAAATTGCAGGAGTTTTACTGTAATATCAGTAATCATGTCATAAGAGTGGCTGTCTGCGTTCTTCTTTTTTTTGATGCTATTTCTCATTTTAGAGCAACAGTCCAGCTATATTAAAGCCATATATTATAAAAATGTATCAGCTGAAGCAGGACTGCTCTACTCTCTGGGGTCTGAGGCCTGCTGCAGGCATCGACATGGAGCAGATCAGTGTGAGATCTCCTGCTGGCTGAAAGTGATCTTCCTGCCTGGCCACTGTCCCGGACCCAGCAGGCCGCAGACACACACACACACACACACACACACACACACACACACGCGCGCGCACACACACACGGACACACACACACACACACACACCTACAGAAACAAATACGAAGAGACACAGACACCCAGGTACATGAATGATTTTTACATATATGCATATCGGCGGTCGCACATGTGCACACACAGACATGTATAGTTGCTCACATTTGCTAGCTTTACATGAACGCCTTTTGGCCAACCCGCTGTTTTAAATATTTCACTTCACACATTCACTTTGTCCTTCCTTCGGCGTCTTCACGGTTTTGTCTCCCCACATGGTGTTTGTACCAGCAGGTAGAGCAGTTGGCAGGTCCGTGCACTCTGGAGGTGCTTGGACAGCCTTGATGTATGGGTCATTAAATCTGCCTGTGGTGCGCAGCATGCTGCTAACACACTCAATGTTTCTGTGTGTGTCTTTGTGTGTGTGTGTCTATGTGTGCAGTTTGACGGAGAGGGCACAGCTCCTGAAGAACGTCTTCAAGAAGAGCACAGTCAGTCTGTACCGGTCTGACTCCATGCAGCAGAACCTGCTCCGTAAGTTGCACCAAAGTCTTTCTTTCTTTCTTTCTTTCTTTCTTTCTTTCTTTCTTTCTTTCTTTCTTTCTTTCTCATACTGTATCTCTAGCTCACCTTTCGTCCGCGGGGAGACAGTAACCCTCATCCAACTTCTTTTCATAAATGCGCTGGGTTTTTGCAGATTTAGATCAGTAATCGTGCCTTCAAATGGCTCCACAGTTCCTTGTATTCTAACCTGCACTGTATCTATCTGACAGAATGCTAATATCAACTGTTAGCTGTGTAACATCAACACATAGAGTTTAGATTTTGACTGACTGTCACTATTTTATAATCTCAAAAGCATGAAAAACAGAATTGGTAATTTATAAACAGATGCATTTTAGTTAATTTTACTTTTTCTTCTACTGTATGGCTGTTTAGAGGAAGACAGCATTTAACACGACCATATTTAATTTCCTCATGCAGACACAAATCTTCACTCTACACATAAAAGTCAGCTCAGTTACTCTGGACGAGGTTTTAATGTTGTTAAAGAGCGATCTGCCGGGTTAGCAAAGCGCATTCTCTCACCCTCTGTTGTCAGACTGTGCTCGGCCGATGCAAAAGAAGCAGTTCAAAGTGTGTGTGTGTGCTTCTCTCGGGACTGCAGTTAAATCACAGGAGGCTCAGTGAGTTTGCCAAAAATCAGTCGGTAATGAGGACTGTAATTATTTCTGCTTTCGAGGTGAGAAGTCACAGACATGAGCACTCCAGACTGGATTAAAGTCACTGACTAGCAAAGTGATATTGTAAGAGTCCCACCTCCCAGAGAGATAAATCCACTTCGAATTAGAGTAAAGTATTTCTATTTATGATAACATATTTATAAAAAAAGTACCTGAAGTGGCTGAACTCAGGTGTCCCATTGAAACCCTTCAGTGGTTCTCTCAGCATGGGTTTTGGTTTTTCTGTTTGGTTTTTCTCTGTTCTTTTCTGTCTTTTGTCTGATCAGTTTGTTTTTTGTTTGTCTCATAGGTGGGGATGAGACCGTTGTTGTGTGATACCTTTTTTAAATCCAATATTCAATCCTCACCTCACCGTTTAAATCTTCAGCCCCTCTGTAGCTCCCCGATAGACGCCACTCTCTCTCCTTCTCGCTGTTGACTTCCCGTCCTTCCCCTCGTGTGCCTTCGTGTGTCCTGAGTTGAGCTCAGTAGAGCGAGATAACGATGAAATGATGAAATGTTGCGCTGTTATTCCCCCACAATGCACTCTTCTCAGCGGGGTCCTTTGAACTCGCCCGCAGGCCTCCAGGTACTGAGCGAGTCATTTGACACCTGAAGGTGAGTCAGGGGTCAAAGGTCAGGTGAGACGCTGTAGGAGAGTTTAGGTGGTAGATCATAGAGCAGCTATTGTACTGCAGATGGAGCTTTTTTTGCAGGGGGGGGGCTGTTATGACTGTCTTTGTGTTTTATTGTCATCACATGATTCATTTTAAGAGTATAATCCGACATAATGGGAAATTTGCTTATTTTGTTTCTTTTCAAACTTGCATAACTGTCTATTCACTTAGTGCCTCTTGTGTATTCGCGTTATGCTTCGAGCACAAGGCTAAGTATTCATTTCTGTGAAAAACACTTCCATGTGCTCCACAATAAAAAATGAACTTCAGCTTGTATCCCAAGTTGCACCTCTGTTTCCTAATCCAAATAGAAATGGTAGCTGGTGACTACCTGAATAGAAAACAGGTTAAAAATCTTTTCTATCATGCTACAGTAGATTTTTTTTTCCTCTGGTGGTTCGAACAGTCTTTGAGGATTATGGAAATATCGTGAGCACAGCAGTGAGAGTTGTTAATCGACCTTCTGGGTTTTTGAAACATTTCTGGTAGGAGAAACAGATGTTTGCTACTGTGGCTCAAATGTGAGCGCTCAAACTGGAGCTTACCACAGCCGCTGCTAAAGTTAGTTTAGCGTGATGATTTTAGGAAGTCGATGCTTCCAGACAAGAAATAGTCCAGCACATAAGCTACATTAGAAATGTTTAAATGTTTTGGGTTTTTAAAAAAAATGCATTCAGTCAACAAGATATGACATTAGAGGTGCAGGTAGGCGTGTTGTCATCATGCTTCTCTCAGGGGAAAACATGCTAGTTTATTTGTAATTCCTTAATCACAATCTTGTTTATTGGAGCTAAGCCAAGGATGCAGCAGTGGTGCCCCCTCAAAATACTGACATGGCAATTGTTCTGGTGGAACGTATGAAATGTGGAGCCAGCAACAGTCTTATACCTGCAATCTACACCCAATTAGTCTGAATAGTTTTAGACAGATTCAGGCTAGTTTTTCCTCCTCAGTTTTCTTTATTTTTGTTCTGCTTTTGCCAACTGCTGGCTGTTGCCTTATTGTTGCTGTACAGACGTGGAATCAGTATCATCGACAACAAAAAAAAGCCAAAATAAGCATATTTCCCAACTATTATTTAAAACTTCATTTTGTTTGTTTCATTAATTCATTTGTTTTAAATGACTTTTTATGTAAATTTCATTTACTTTGTACTATTATTAACTGATCTGTACGACCTTCGTCTTAACTGCTTCAATCCGTTTGCAGATGGCTACGCCTTCTCTCAAGATGAGAACGGAGTGGTGTCTCAGTCTGAGGTCATCAGAGCGTACGACACCACCAAACAGAGGACCAACGAGTGGTGAGCCGCCGGCCTTCTTGCTCTCGGCCGGCCAGTTCGGAGCCACAGCAGCCGTTTCCGATGGCGATATTTGAAGCTGAACGGGGAGGAAGCGATGGTGCGAGCCTCCAGCACTGAGGGGGGCTTTTTTATTTTTAGACATGAAATGGACAGAAGAGAGTGACATTATGTAGTCTTTGGAAAAAGGGAAAAAAAAAACAAAAAAAAAAAACAAGGAACAAAACGAAAACGTGTTCACTATCAGCTGTAGTTGTGTGTCCAGCAGACATGATGAGCACTGTGCTTTCTTAGCAGCCTGTGGTCTGAAGTTCTTCACTGTTCTTGCTCAGTTTGTCGGAGTGAACGTCTCCTTTCTATTGATTTAAGGAATGACAGCTTTCAGCACTGAGCCAAAAAGCCTAAAATCTTGATATTAAATTAAAATCAAACTCCTAAACACTGTTATAAAAAGTTGAAACACTGGACAATGAATATGTTATGAGGATTTAAACTTGTGAAAGATTGCCAAAGAGCAGTCGTGTATACAATCGTCCAAGTACTAGTGATTCGGAACACTTTAAACCAAATGTAATGAAACTCCTGTGTGTATTCCAGCACTGAACAGACCACTTCAGAGCAGATGTTTGTAAATTTGAATTTTCTTTTTGCACTTAAGGAAGCATCTATTGTGTAAAGCCTTACATTTGCTCATGCCTTCGTCCTTCTTCGTTTTCTTTTCAAGTACATTTGTTTTTAGTTTTATTTTTTAAAGTATGTAGATATTGTGCCTGTTTTTTTTTTTGTTTTCGTTTTCACAGTTTCATTTCATTTTTTAAGATGTTGCCTCATGCAACCCACAGTAGTCCCGTTTCCACCGTTTTAACAGCAGAAGTATTGCTCTCGACTTATAATTGCATTCCACACATCACTCCTGTTTCAACAATCACAACGGTGCCTAAGTGAAACTTTTCCCTCTTAGAAGAAAAAGACAGCCAAGAGTAGTTTAGCCAGCTAGCTTAGACCAGTGCTCCACACACACTCCTGCTGAGGACAAAATCACTGTCTCCCCACCACAGTATTGCACTCATACGATGTGAAAGCTACAGATGTTGAAACTTGTTCCTGCAGAGGTGAACAGGAGGCTCTCTGACGGTCTTGTTGAAGCTTACGGTGGTGGTCGTGTTTCCCTTAAAATGGAGATTTTATCCTTCTAACATAAGTGCCATTAGCTTAAGGGAGAGAGAAAATATTAGCCAGGAAACTCCACGACAGTATCAAAACTGTATCAAAACTACTTTGTCTCTATAGTTATTTTGTGGATTTGTATTTTTATATTGGAGATGTATGAATTTTGCATTGACTGGCTTTGTAATGAATCGTCTGTAACTTTTCGTTTTTTCTTCCTCTGATAAACTGGCAGGATAGAATAGATCTAATGAGGAAATGGAGCTTTCTTAAATGTCTTGTTATTATTAATATTAATATTGTTACAGCTTGATTTATTTATAATTGACTACTTAATGTCCGTGTGATTGCTTTCTTCTCCCTATGGGAGATCAGATTTCTGATGGTGCGAGTGTGTGTGTGTGTCGGTTTATTGCCTGCATGTGCATGTGCTGTATGTGTACGAGTGTGTGTGGGCGTGAGTGTGTGTGGGCGTGAGTGTGTGTGTGTGTCTCCTCTACTGTGGATTAATTCTATGTATGCATTGCATGTCTGTGTCCTCTATGCGAGACTGGGAGTTTGTGGCGCCTCGGTCCGCCTGGTGTGTTTCCTTTATCGTGTGGGCGTGTATGGGGGTGTGTGTGTGTGTGTGTGTGAGTGTGTGTGTGTAGTGAAGCTTGCTCCAGTTGTCCGTCTGCACGACTCCAGGTATAGCTATGGTGTACTACTGTGTGCCGATGCATGGCCCGTATGGGAAAGTGAGACTGTCAGTGTGCTGTATGACTGTGTGCGTTTACGGTCAAACTCTCGGCCTCGACTTGTGGGAGTTTCTGACGCTCGGCTCGCTTCGACAGGAGATGTTGCACAATGCACTCAATGTACCTTTCCAGTTGTGGATATCTGGTATTATCTGGTTTCGGTATATGATTTTCTCTCGAGTGTACATGTTTGTAACTTGTTTTCTTCATGCAGTGTACCTCTGCTTTACAGGAAAGCTCTTTTGTGTTTTGGGTTTATGATTACTTTTTCTCTGCTGGTCTTTTAGCGTGAAAACTTAATTGGTCGTCATCTTGTCCAAAATTTTTCCAACCAGCTGAATGTGGATGTCGTCGTTGTGGAAGGCTTGGACTGTTGCTTTCTTTTTCCAGAAAACATAAAACACACGTTGTTGTCTGTGAAGGTCGTGGGCTGCATGAATGGAAAACACAAACTGTTCTCTGAAGTGTTAACTGTACTACTTTGATTCTCCCTCAAGTGTTGATCACTTTACAAAAGAGGAAAAAAATGCACCTTTAACTTTTCTTTTCAATATTTGTTTCTTTTCTGTCATTCTGTTCAATGATTGTTCTGCATGTTGGGACTGCAAACTTATAAGTGTTGTCTTTTACTGCCATGAAGGACTACTGAAATAAACTTTACAAACATGGAGGAACAATGTGAACATCTTTGCTGATTTTTGCATTTGCAGATTTGTAGTCGATGTGTTATCCTGTGGCTGTGTGTGGCGACAAACAGGACGGAAAGCCTAAACAGGAAAAGGCAGGGAGAGCCGTCAGACTGCACGTAGGACAAACAAATGATATCGAGTCATTTGTTGTGATTGTGAGGTTTAGTCAAACTTGTACATGTGTGATCTCACAACGAACATCTAGATTCATTAAAAGTAACCCAAGTAGACCTTAATTTTATAATCACGAGTTTATGTAACTAAATAAGTCAGGTCTGCACACTTGTGGGTACCAAAAACTAAAGTCTTGTTTAAAACATTTTCCTCTGAAGCAACTGAGGAAGGTCTTCAGGCTCTAACTACTGCCTCTGAGAAGAATGCTGTAAAACAGAATTACTTATTTGGATTCTAAAAGTGTAGCAAACTTTTCTAACCTGTAGTTACCTTTTTGTTTTTGTGTTCCACTTTAAAATTTTTGTGCAAATTTTTGACTAAATAAGTCAGGGTGTTTTCCTGGCGATGCCTAGGGTTACAGGTGGTGGCAGTAAATGTGATTTAATACACAGAAGACATTTGTTGAACTGTGTCAAAAATGCCACAGAAGAGCTTCTGATTACAGAGCAGCCAAACAAATCAAAGTCGTTTCAATAACGAGGCCACTTAAACATATGTTCAAGTGAAGAGCTGCTGGTGTTTTTGTTTGACTTCCTGTAATAAATAGTCCAACCACTGATTAAAAAAAAAAAAGAAAATTCAGTAACAGCACTTTCCACTTTCTTTTTGTTCTGTGACACATTTTTGACGCGTCAACCGTAACGACAAATTCATCGTGTTTCCTGGGACTAAAACTACTATAAAGACAGTTAATGCTGGAAAAATGACCACAAATACTATGAAAAACGGGGTTTCATTACACAAAAGTCGTAAGGGTTAAAAAGTCAGAGCTGCTGATCTCATTATTACAGCAAACAGAAGTCTGATTTTGTTCTCAGAAGAGTTTTCAGAAGTTGATGACCCAGAAAAGATGCTCAACTTCCAGTCTTATGAAACCCATGAGTTAGTTTTAAGTAAAAACATTCAGTGGGTGAAGTAATAATCAGGATCCTACCTTCACAGATAACTTGGAAAAGAAATTGGAAACGTTTTTGAGCTTGGCAAAGGCACAAAGGTTTAGAAAAATCCAAATGATTTAGGAAACGTCATGAAAACATGTTCACAACTTGTGTTTTCCTTTTAGAGGCAGAGCGTGGAAGGTGAGAGAGAAGTTCAAACTGACAGCTGCATGTATAAACAAGACCTGAAGAAGCTAACGCTGGAATCTGTCAGGTACAAATCATGTAAGTTGTATTTTTTGATAAAAGCACAGACTCGAGGAATCTCTGGCTGTAGCAGCAAACATCATGAGACCAAACAGTTTGCAGACACTGATTGCCAAATCTATTTCACAGTCAGGTAACCGGGGAACAGAATAGTCTTTGTGGACATTTTGCCATACCTGCTGCTGCAACCTAAACCTCTATTTCTGGGGCGAGTTGTTTTTAACACTGTGACCATGCCATGCTCATTGAACATTGACAATGACTGATCTCAGCGCTGCATTCCTGCTGTGAAGTCTGGCGCAAGAATGAGCGACAGGTAGGGAGCTGCTCTGCAGGCCCGGCCGCTCCGGTTTCCTTTCTGTCTGAGCGATGATGAGGCCTTTTTTTCTACGCATGGCGTCTTTTTGTGAAAATGTCACACATGTCATGGAACAGACTTTACATAAATCAGTGCGCAGAAGTTACAGAGACAACATTTATTAGCGGTGAATTAGAAAATCAATATGACAACCCAGATCTGGGTCTAATACCTGTACAACATCTTATAAAAGTCCACAAAATAGTCCTCCAAAATAAAACGTCCTTCCTGTCTCTCTGTCAGAGGGCCTTTCGATTGTCAAAAAACGTAGTTCCCTGGTTTCCAATATCTGATATACCTGCGTGAATGGAGCGACGCCCAGCAGAGTGAGAGTGACAGGAACAGTCGGTTTTTTAAAGGAAGATGGATGAAAACTTGGCAAGATTTTAGTGTTGAACTTCCACCAAAAACAAAAACAGAACTTATAGAAAATAGAACAATATAAAAGTGCATATATTTCAGAAATTGGTCTAACAGGTCTGCTGATGTGTCCCGTGTGGCACTTCAGGACACGCTTTGTAACGCTTAACCCCTCAGCCTGTCGCTCCCTCGGTGTCCCTTCAGCTGGGCTGGGTCTTTTACACCAACAGCTGTGTTGCTGTGAGTTTGTCCTCGCCGGTTCACATCCTACCCTCTAAATGCCTTATAATCTCTCTATTTCCCCCCGAGAGCCTGTCAGCTCTGTCCAAAGTCTGCAAAGCCCTTAGCCGCTGTGAAGGCGTCCGGCTGCAGGGGGAAGAAGTACTGCTGGGGCAGGAGGAAGCTGGCGCTCTGAGAGGGGTGAGAGGGCTGGTGCAGCTGCAGCTGGGGGTGGGTGGAGGGCAGAGGGTGCTGGATGCCTCCTGCCATGGGTGCTGGTGGGGATGTGTAGGGGGGAGGTGGAGGTGGAGGCAGAGTCTGTGGGGTCTGGGTGGGAGTGGAGGCTGACGAGGACACGGTGGCAGACACCAGGCAGCCGTGCTGCTGCTGCTGGCCCTGACCCCCAAGAGAAAACCTCCGCATGGAGCTGCCTCCTCCGGCCGAGCTGGAGCTGGTGGTGGCCGTGCTGGACTGCCGCGACGGGGCGCGGAGGCTCGAGGGAGCAGTGGTGAGGATCATGGGGATGGTCTCGCCCTGGCAGCTCCGCAGGGAGAAGCGAATGGGCTGCTGGGTCGGCTGTTTGGGCCGCAGACAGGTGCAGCAGTAGACGGCCACCAGCGAGCCGACCACGACGAAGGCGATGAAGATGCTTCCCACCATCAGAAAGGGCACGTAGACGGGCTCTGAGGGGGAACAAACACAGGCAGGTTAGGATCAGCTGTGAGGACGCAACTTCATGTGACAGAAAGCTACAGCTTCCAAAAGTTTGTAACGAAAACACCAAGTAGTTTTGTGATTAACCCTGAAGATATAAAAACACATTTAAAGGCTGAAAAATGTTCAGAGGAACTAATTACATGAAAGATTAAGAGCATTTTTTATACTCCACTATTTCTAAACACTTAAGAAATGATTTAAGACACACCGTCATGTGCCTGTTAGCAGACATAAGATTATTTATCTTTATAGTTTATTATTTTGTCATTTATTATCCGTTTCCACACAAGCCTCCACTTACGTTTGGCCACAAGAGGAATTACAGTTGTCAACAAATACATTATATAGTCCCAGTAAATCCTAAATAGGGGGTTTTAAAGTCTTACCTTGTCAGTCACAAAGAAATATGGCCTTTACTGAAACTTACAGTGGAGAACACTGTGACACTGAACATTTTAATCATGTACTTTCTTTTAAATCCTTCAATGTATTCTGAACAAAACAGACGCATTCCTGCTGAAAACACAAACATCTCAAGTTACACTTGATGAAGCCCTTTTGCTCTCAGGGAGGAAATCTACGAGTGTTTATTTGTTTTAATAGGGGGAAAATAGGAAATTGTGAGCACACGGTCCATTCAGTTAAGGGCTTACGAGCTTATCCGTTCGGGAAATTTAAGGAAAACTGATAAAACCTCGCGAGTTAAAGCAGCTTATTATTAAAACAGTCACAACCTACAGTGAGTTAATGTACCAACCATGAAAAGAAGCCACAGAGCCGAGTTGCTGCCTCACAATGTTGTGATTGCTTTAGTTTGAAAATGAGTGAGCTGTCAGATTGAATGTGCTTTATATGTGGCAGCACAATAAACCTGCTTGTGTGAGAAGGTTCTGACTCTGGAAAAAAAATAAATCCTCATTTGTAATCCAGCTCTGCTTGATCAAGTTTCTGACAAATTTCTGCTTATAAATTGTGACAAGAATTTGTTTTAAGAGTATTAGCTGAGTGACTGACAGGCTGCTCATCAAAAAGTCGTCCAGGTTTCCTCTTTAGACTGACGACAATCTGGAGTGTGCTGAGGGAAACAAAATCCAGCCACAAAGATAAAAGCAGGTGCTGGAAACTGGACTCTGCACCTGATTAATGCTGAAAATACATTTAATTCTCCTGACTTCAGCATCACACATCATGTAAAATACATCAGATACTTTAAAGTAACACAAATATTTCCAGGGCATCGGTGTCTGTTTGAAAAGTTTAACTCCTGCTGCTGCTCTCAACAAAACACATTTTTATTATTATTCTGAGCTGTGGTGGTTTTTTTTTTTTTTTTGTGGTCTTTTATTTTTTTTTTTTTTTCTTTTTCTGATTCCAGCTCCTTAAATGTTTTCTGCTTTCTTTCCCTCTTTTTTCCCATTAACTTCCTTTTTTTTGGTTAAAGGTTAAACCAGGCCTTTGGGGGCTTTAGGTTCGGTTTTTGGGCCCCCTTGTTTTTTTTTTTGACATCTTATAGAACAAATTTAGAGGAAACGATCAACAGGTTGGTCAACAATGAAAATAATTTGAAGCTGAAGTAATGATTTCCATTTGTGTGGAATACTGGCATAAATGTGGGTCTTTAATTTCTAATTATTTCAAAGGACAACAGGCTGGTCTGGTGGTAAGTAAGTCCTCAAAGTGCTTAAGTGTGTTTCAGCTGACCTCTGACCTCTTTTAGTGGATCTGAACTAACTAAACATCCATCACATGTACTTTAGTTTTAATCATACATTACAGTTACAAGTATGTTTCTTATCATCCAATCAAATTAGGCCTTTTGTGTGAGATTTTGCAGAAGCTTTTCTCCTGAGCAAATCAAACACTCCGCGTAAGAAGGAGTTGGACAACAGGGAACATACGCGCTGCGAACTCGGTGTTGTCCACCTCCCGGTCGTTGGTGCAGCTGCCCTGGTCCAGTCGTGCGTCCGCGGCGGCGCAGCAGTAGCGCAGCGAGCAGGAGCCGCAGCACACGGTGGCGTCCATGGTGTCAAAGTCCTCCGGACACTGGAAGCCCTCATGGTAATTCCCATTAGCGTCCAGCCAGCCGTGGCAGTACTCTCCCTGTGCGTCCGATATCCGCAGATTCCAGGTCAGATATCCCAGCAGCAGGCAGCTCAGCAGGCGCATCATCCCGGCGAGCCGCGGGGGGGTTCCCGGTCCCCTGTGGACACCGAGGCTACACTCTCTTCATTGAGATGAATTCAGCGAAAGAGAAACTCGACGGCACACATGTGAAGTTATGTCACCGTCATGTTCCCCGCAGCCGGAGGTGGAAATCCTTAATTGAATCCTCTCCTCGTTTTGTCCGCCGCTAAGTAACTTTTACGAACATCTTTGCCGCACTTTATCCAGAAGAAGCAGCAGAGCGACGCCGAACAACTTTCCCTCAGACCTCCGTCCCGTGTCGGTGCAGAAGTTGTGCGCCCACCTCACCGCAGAGCTGCTGCTTTTGTGAGTCGGGCTTTAGTACGCGCGCACGTAAGCCCCCATTAAGTGGACGTGCGCGATCACGTGTGAGCAGCAGGCAGCGGTGCACCGATGCCAATTAATGAGCTGATCATAATTCCGAGAAGGTGCCCAAACAACACGCACACATTGTTTTAATTAGCTTATTCTGCAGCACAGTTTAGCCACAGTGCAGCAGCGTTAAACTGCCTGATGTTATTCTGACTGCAGCTTGTGTCTTTGCTCGTTTTTGATTTAATTTAGGACTAAACAATGGAAATGGCTTTAATGGAGGCACGACGGGATGGTGCCGTTTAGAGGTAAATCACATCTGACAGTGAATTTTAAAATCATCAACCAACATTATCCTGCCATCATATATATATATTTAAAATTATGTATTTGGGAGAAATGGCACAGACCTCATTTTCATGAGCTGCTACTGTCAGAAAATAGGTAATTTTATAGAATAATTCAGTATTTTTGAAATACACAAATAATAATAAAATTGCAAAAGCAGTTTGTGACTTAACATGTCTAATGTAAAATACCATTTAAAACATTAACTGTGAATAACCATAATTTTATTTATTTATTAAAGAAAGTTGAAATTCTTTTTGATGTAAATACTGTTGAAATGCATTTGCACATTTATTGTAATTTCACTAACACTTCATTTTTATTTAATAGATAATACTGTTGTAAAAAAAATTCTACAATTGGTGACAACAGCAAAAGTTTGGTAGTGTAATTTACATAGACTTAAATGAGAGATATGTAAGAAAATTACAGAAGTTTAAAACAAAAACACTGAATGAATGCGTATTCATGAGTGTACATGTATAAGAACTGATCATTTTAATCATTATATTTGTCACTGAGCTACAGAATTAGATCCAACAAACTATATCATCAAACATCAAAAAGCTTAAAACAAAACAGAATTACAGACATTTTTAGAAGGTGGTTATTTTACATTGTTTAACAATATTGTTGGATGATGGCCCAAATATTATTTGTTTTTGTTTGTTTGTTTGAAGTGTTTAGCCAAGTGTTCAGCCTACTTGTTTTGGTGTGAGCAGTATGTTAGCTAAAGTTAACAACGTTTAGCTAGCCTAACAGTTAGCTTTGCTGAGTCAGTTTACAGACAATTTGACAAGTTTCTACTTTGGTTGGTTTAAAAACAAACCTTTAGCATTTAAGTACCATGGTTGTTGTTCTAGGCTATTTCTAATGGGTCTTTTTAAGTAATTATTTGACCAGTTAGGCTACCACAGATGAAAATTAGCCTTATAAGCTAACTCTGTGTCTGATTTAAAAAAACAAACAAACAAACAAAAAAGTTGACAAACCACATTTTAAAAAAAAATCTTTTTAATTCTCTTTATGGTGATTGTAGCAAAAGTTACACCATTTAAGCTAATTTTATTCTCTACATTTAGCTTGCTGATTTGTTGGTTTATAAAAATAGTGTTTAGTTAGCATGTTTAGCCCAGGTTGCAGCTAGCCTTGTTAGCTTCATTTTTATTTATTTTTTTTAACCCTTGTGTTCAGCTTGGTGTCTATAAACAAAGCTAACTGGATGTGTTTTGGGCTTAGACAGAAGCAGAAGCTACAGACTGTCAGTGGTGTTTAACCAGCAGCTGTCTGAATCCTGTTGAAGCGGCGCCCTCATGTGGAGCCGCAAACTTTTGGTCCTGTTGGACAGTGAACCTGCTTTTATCACAGCATTTCACACTCACTCACAGCAGGTCAACTCACTACAATTATACTTTTATTTTTAGTTATTTAATAATCACGCCGGTAACTTATCAGTGTGCCTCCACTTCACATGGAATTAAAGGCCACACATGCGTAAATGTTTTTTTTTTTTTCATTCTGCTATTTTCGTTCAGTGATGATTTGTAATTGATTAAAAAAAAAAAAAAAGAAAAAAAAAACAACTTATGGGAGATAAATGTTGTCTCCTTCTCCTCCTGGTGCTCCTCTCAGTCATGTGCGCTCATGTTGCTCTATTGTTGCTTTGAGCTCAGTGGCAAAATGGCCCCTGCCTTTTCTTTTGTAGGATTTGGCTCTGCTTCTTTCTTTTTTCTTTTTTTTTTCTTCTTCTCATTTTCAGATCGTACTATTGCTACAGCGCCCCGTTGTTCTCGGTGAGGATGTTGGCTACAAAGGAGGCAGGCAGTGGCGCACAAGTCCCGCCTGTATTTCCCCCCTGGAGGAGTCTCGGTGTCGGAGCTGCCGACTGGGGATTGGAGCGGCGACTTGTCAGTAAATTAGCCCACCCTTCACTCGCTGAGTGTGAGGGGAGACCGAGCCAGACACTGACGATCTGATCCCTCACTCATCAGCTGCCTGTCACACCAGCACGCTACCGCACCGACCCGCCGCGCTGTGACACCCTGCCGGGATGGAGGGAGAGATGCAGCCCGCAGATGAAGGGCCCTGCGCCTCCAAGATGTGCCGACAGCAGCGGGGTCCGTACAGCACCCTGAAGCCCTTCCAGAGCAAGCGCTCGGCGGGCAAGTCGCGCTTCGAGCGGTCCGCTGTGGCCGAGCTGCCCCTGTTCGGCGACGGGCATCATTTCACTTTTCATCCCGAGCAGCCTCATCCTTTCCAGCCGCACCACCACCACCAACAGCGTCTGCAGCATCTCCACCAAACCAGCGTCGCTATCAGTAGCAGCCAGCAGCATCACCCGGCGCCTCAGCAGCAGCAGCAGCAACAGCAGCATCGTCTCCCCTGTGAGACCAGGCCCAGCAGCAGGGTCCCGACATCCACCTCAGCGGCGGCGGCGGCGGCAGCAGCATCTCTTGGTACCCAGCAGCGGCGCGCCAGCAGCGGCGGAGCGGAGCCCAGATTCTCCCCGGACTGCACCTACAGCATCAGCACAGGTGGGTTTCAAACTTGTTCAGAGTGAGCGGTGAGAGTGGCTCAGGTCTGCTCTGATTTGGTATTTAGGATTTGGATTATTGGGACTTTCTCCAGTCTTCATGTCTCCAGGTATTGGTGTAGATTTTGGATTTGCAGCTCAGACACAGGAGCGTAAAGCCTGTGGAGAGTCAGTAAACTTAAATGGAAACCAAACAGCTAGCATCCCTTTTGTTTGCTCCACATCACCTGTGCATGCTTCATGGTTTTGTTCCTTCTTTTTCTTCTCCTGTCAGCAGTGATTGATTTGCAGATGTAATGAGGGCAGTCATGATTGAATCTGTACTGTGCATGTGCTAAAAATTACACTGGGTAATTGTCTGGCCGCCTGTGTGTGTGTGTGTGTGTGTGTGTTTACTTGTGTGTTTTCATTTGTGTGTGTGTGTGTGTGTGTGTGTGTGTGCGGGCAAGAAGGGCCCTCACAATCTCCTGTTGAAACACATTGTTCCCTGCTCATTTTTCTCCTCAGCTGCTGTTCATTAGAGGGCTGTGCAGGAAGAAATGTGTTCCCCATGTGGAGGGCGGGTCCATGGGAACCCAGCATTAAGATGAAAGCAGCGAACCTAATCCTGGCAGTTACAAAATTAAATATTAGACATCTCATCCTTTAATCAGATATTAATCTCTTTATCACTGCTGGCAGCTGAGGCTCAATTTGCTGCTGGTTATTGTTGCTTTACGGACAATCAAGCGCTCAGCCAGAGCTCAGGTTGCACTGTGAGCCCTACATCACCTAACCTACATGTGGACTTACAAATGTCTGCATCCAGTATTACGTGTTCAATTTGAAAAAGATAATATCTGCAACCCACTTGAATCCGCCAGGTTCCAGTGTTCCGTGATCCCATTGTTTGGATTTGTGCGCACATGACTGTGATAGTGCTGATGAAATAATCACACAAAACCATATTTTCCCTGCTCTGGTGAATCTGCTCATATCGCACAAGATGCACCATCTAATCCCAGCTAAACGTGCCATGCATTCTTACTGATAATGACACGTCAAAGTGCTTTTATCTGCACGATGGGAACAACTTAATGTCCCTCTCATGGCAGAGGGAGAGAAGAAAAAAACTTGATGTCCTTTCTTATGAAGAGAAGCACCAGAGGGGACCCTGGGACTCAGCAATCAGTTCAGCACACAATAACACAAATTGCATTGAAAAGCCTTTCCCAAAGAGTTGTGATTAAAATAAATGGGTCTCATAAATTTGCCTCTGCCGAGCGTGTTGTTTTTAATGAAATTTTATGAGGCTCTCAGCTCACACTGCCACAGAACTGGTGAGAAAAGAGGCGAGGGTGGGGGTGACGGTGGGGGTGCAGCGAGTGATATCAGATACATCTCGACGGGTAAACAGAGACAGCACGCATATTAATAAATGCGACACATCTGCGCCAGGCTGATAGACACGTCTGAGCGAGTGGCAACGCAGCAATGGCCGCCTAGAACTCATTTTGTCAGCGTGTGTATGTGTGTGTGTGTGTGTGTGTGTGTTTGTGTGAGGCCAGTGGACTCATAATCATTACATGGAGGTGTGTGTGAGATCATCTCATTGAGACGTGCCTAGACTACCAGGGTAACTATACACCGAGGCTTGTTTCTGGACAATAGCTCTGTGCTGATTTTCTTTGCTCGGCTGGGTTTGGTCACAGCAGATACTGTGACTTTAGAGTTTATTGACATCTGAATAAATCAGCATAATCGAGCTGACATTTTTATGAACAGAGGAGCCGGCTGTGTGCTACTGTAATGGAACACTTTGCCACGTTAAGACATGGCGGACAAGAAAGTTGAAGGAGGCAAAATGAATCAAAACCGAAAAGCACATTTGATCAACTTTGAGATACTTCACATGAGTATTCCCATTTGCTGTTGCAGGACACGTCGTTGCATTTCAGACAGAAATGCTTTACTTAGATGTAGCTGAACTTATTGGTTGATGATAAGCTTATTGAAAAAAAAAAAAAAAAAAGCACTGATAACAACTAAACCAGTGACCAAAAAAAAGGCAACAATCCTTTGATTTTTGCTCCAGCAGAAATATTTTCCCTCTAAACTTTTCAGAGGTCAAATTATGCAAAGTTTTATGAAGCTGTGCTACAAAGCTTCGTTTTCCTTCTCTATTAATCATCTCACGACCCCTCAGATTTATTTTCTATCCCAACCCGTGTCGGGAACCAGCAGTAAAACACTTGGACCAGCTACAACAGTAAAATGCTGTTTCCGCACCGATGCATCTGTTAATAATCTAATCGTGTCGTGTATAACATGAAACAGGAAGAGTACATCCAGTGCATTCTGCTGATAATAATTATTTTTGCAGGATTTAAATCAAATACTTGGAGAAGTACAGTTTCCCTTAAATAAAGCATCTACATACTTTCTCCTCCACTGTATTTCAGTGTTAAAAATATCCAGTTGAATCCAAATGGTGGCCAACAAAGAAAACATTATCAGCATCAAGGTCCTCAAGGTCCTTTTCTTATCTGCTGTGCATCTTTCGAGCTTGTCTCACAATCGCAACAGCAAATAGTTTGTTCATTTGCCCTGAAATCTGCCCTGTAGCCGTTTTCATCTGTGTTGACTTAAAAGTTCAAATATCTACATTTCTGTAGCAGCTGAGCAAACTGAATTGTCTAGCGAAGATTAATTGTCTTAGGAGGAGATGTTCGTCAGCTGATTACATTGGCAATTGGGCACTGAATAGGAGCCATGTGATAAAGCCAGAAGATTCAGATCTGCCTTGAAGTGGACCTCAAGTTGTGTGCTTTGTTATTTGGTGTTTCAGGACTTTCGGAGTTCAGGAAGACACTTCTAGAAATAATATCAGTTTAAAAGCACGACAACCTTCTGTGATTCAACTGCAACTAATGAGGATTTCGTTTGGTCTGTTAATCTGTTAATTATTTTCTCAATTAATCGATTAGTTCTTTGGGCTACAAAATGTCAGAAAATGGTGAAAAATGTCGATCCATGTTCCCCAAAGCCCAGGATGATTGTTGTTTTGTCCACAACCCAAAGATGTTTAGTTTACCACGGTTTAGAAAAAATATAAGCAGCTGTGATCAGAGGTTTTTTTCCTTTTTTCCTTGATGCCTTAAAATGATTTAGATGGATTAATTGAGCGTCATAGTTGGTGATTCATTTATTATCTGCCAACTAGTCAATTAATTATTACCGTTCTGATAATGACCATGTCTGACATCTCCGGGTTTCTCCTCTTTGCTGTAGAGAATCGTCTCATCCTGGATGCCTTCGCCCAGCAGTGCAGCCGTGTCCTCAGCCTCCTCAATAACGGGCGTCTCCTGGAGCCTCCCTCCTCCTCCTCCTTCCCCTCCAACATCAAGCTGGAAGACGGGTCACAGGACGCTCAGGGGCTCCACTGCTCCTCGCAGGGGAAGTCTAAATCTGAAGAGAGCTCCTCCAGCACAGACCCCGAGGAGGAGGCCCAACAAAGCCATTTGAACCAACAACAGACCTCTGCAGTTCTCCGCATCTTCACGGACTCCCTACAGAACTATCTGCTCTCAGGCCCTCAGCAGCAGCAGCAGCAGCATCTTCCTGTGGGTCTGGAGGACGAGCAGTGTCCGTCGGCGGAGCCCGGGTCAGGGATGTCTCCCCCGAGACACAACCTGGGAGGCTGGGGGTCCCCGACCCCGTCAGAGTCTTACGGCCACCCGTCGTCTACGCTGCCTGAGGAGGAGGAGGAGGAGGAGAGCTGCTGTCCTCGCTGCTTGGAGCTGGAGCAGGAGGTGCTGTCTCTGCAGCAGGAGAACGAGGAACTCCGCAACAAGCTGGAGAATATCCCAGGTGCAGCCATAGCAGCCAGGACTTCACTGGGTATTGATGCTAAACTCTGGGAGGGGACAAAGGTTTAGACAGTTTATACTTTTGTGTAATACAGAGTGGTGACAAACTAAAGGAAACAAAGCTTCTTTTCAGCTCCATTGGAGATGTGAGCTCTGTTCTTCCAAAAAAATCCTTTTGGTATTTTTCTGATGTTATAGAGAGTGCTGTCTAACTGTGACAAACAAAAGCACCAAAACACACTCAAATCAGTGAATCTAAGTATTTTTATTTGCTATTATCCATCATTAAAAGTACTTGTAGATTTTTGTTTTTTTTTACTGATAGACCAATTAAGTTGAGATTAATTAGTTTAACTCTCAAACCCATAATATGTCACCTGTCTGTATATCTGTTCAAAAGTAGTATGAGAAGAAAAGTGTTAGAATGTGTACATGTACAAGAGTATTTACTGCAACATTCATGCAGACAGCTGCACCTTTCATTAGCCTATTTCAAAGCTGTCATTATCTACTCACGAACATGAAACATACAGAACATTTGAGCCGTCATTATCTTATTTATCTCAATTAACCTACTCTACAGAGACAGTAACAACCTCTGTTCTTGTTTAAGTTTTGGATGGGCTTTTAAGAAGCTCGTAGTTCAGATCCAGAATCTTAATAATATGGTATATTTGCTGTAATTATCATTAGACCCTATATGCAACCACGCTGTAGCAGAATTAAGAGCAGTGGTGCCATCTTTCTGCATAGTGCTGTGAAATATAGTGACCCCTGAAATACATGTGAGATTGACAAAGCTGAGCAAAAAGCTTGCCTGACCAGCATACAAGAAAATGTTGAGCATTTTTGCCTGAAAAAGTCCTCTGACTTGATTATGTGAAAGGCTGTCCCTTCATTTTCTTTGGTTGCGTTATCTAAATGCATCACACAGTTTTGGCAATGCTTTAAAAAGCATCTATTTCTGTAATTTTTTCTGCTCTCCCCAAAGCATTCGGAGCGCTGCAGTGTCACACTAACCTAATTTGCACTAAAATTGCTTATTTTAACTGCACACGGAGGTCTGTGTGCAGTGCAGTTATCTTTCGGATCCCAGAATGACACAACATTAGAGTCAGAATCAGCTTTGTTTAATTATGCACCAGATGGGTTTTCTTATTGCTTCTGAGTCATTTTGACAATGTGTTTCTTCTATTGGTTACATTTGCTTGTGTTTTTATGCAGTTCCCTGTCAAAATGTTCTTGACTACTTCAAGACTGTTCTTGAGTTTCACAACCAGCTGGTCCAACCGATGCCAGAGGAGCAGCTCACGGAGGTGAGGAAACAGCCTCCTGTTCAGTATTCACAGCGATTTACAGCACGTGTTATCAGTAACATATGTTAAGGTATAAAAATATCATATCAGATCCATGCTGCACGGAGAAGGTCCTCATGGTGATAATTGTGTGATCAAATGGTGTAAAAACATGGAACTAAAAAATGTGTCTGTACAGGAAGAAGAACGGCAAACAGTCTTTGAGGTTTGTGTTTTCATTTCTTTCTTCTTCTTTTTTCAGAACATACAGATGAAACTGTCATTACATTTTTAAAAACATGCTACAGATTGAAACCAGTTTTACACTTTTGAATACTTTTTATGCTAGCATGCCTGAACTGTGTCTGAGTGTTGCTTCTGTCCTGCTCGTCCCTGCAGGGCAGTAAACAGCTCCTGGAGAACTATCCTCTCTTCATCACTAATAAGCAGTGGGACGAAGCCGTAAACTCCTCTAAGAAAGACGGCAGACGGCTGCTGCGCTACTTGATCCGTTATGTCTTCACCACAGATGAGCTGAAGTTCTCCTGTGGTTTGGGCAAAAGGAAGCGTTCAGTCCACTCAGGAGAGCCGGGCCTGGAGAGACGACCGCTCAACCCCGTCAAAGTCAGCTGCCTCAGAGGTACGTGGCCTGCAAGGCGTAGATTTAATGGAGTGTTGGCATTATCTGTCAGTCTGCTTGATTTAAGTAAGATATCCTATGACCTCTGCTGAAACACTGGTAGAACTTCTACATGAATCCATTAAATGTCTGCTTATAAAATATTACTCATGCTCATTAGCCAACTCCTCTTCTATGGACCATGGTACAGAATTAAAAAGCAGCAGCAGCTGCAGCAGCTGTCAACTGTGCTCATTATTCATGGGCTCATAATTACACAAACCTGAATTCTACCAAACTGTGACACTGTGTTAAACATAATGGGCCAGATAACAAACAACAATATTCACATTTCAGAATGGAGTTCTGTGAACTTATCTTCAGATCTAGTTTAAC